TTTGTATCTTCGACCCTCTGCGGAGACGTCTTGACAAGGGGAAAGACACAACGACGTGTGTGAGAGCTGCTTGCTGGATCTCCCACCAGCAGCTGATTTATTGACTGTTTTTTCTTTAATTCCTACTCTGCTATAAATCATAAGATGTACTAATGTTAACCATCGAATATCCAACAACTAACTTGTTTAAAGCAACGTGATGCAAACAATAGCGGGTTTGGCCTGAGAAAGTAAACGTTACCAACAACTTACACGTTTCAACACGAGGTCTCAACACCCCAAAGGAAATCAAACACACAAATGTGGCCTCCACTTCGCTACATTAATGAACTGCTTATTCAGAATTAATTAATAATTAGACACACAACAAACAAGCAAAGCATATAATCAGTAAAATAATTGGCTTTAATCTATGTCACGTCACGGGCTCTTTGCGTCCACGCGTCCGTGTTTCTGCATTTGACAGAGCAATTAAATTGGTCGGGATTCATTTACTGCACGTTTCATTTGCGTCCCAGTTCTCTTATTGTTACGTGAATCTCTTCAAGCAGAAACACACTGATGGCATGTGGGTGCTCACTGCAAGTGAGGTACGAATCGCTGCAGACAATCAAGAATCTGTGTCAGCAAATTGCCTCCTGAGTGCGAGTGTGATGTGGAGGAGCTCGTGATTCCCGCGGGGGGGGGGCTTCAACGTGGGTAAATGACAGCAGTGAGTCACTATCATACACAGGAGGACAACTTGTTCCCATCTCTTTTCTGTTCCAGAGTTGAGCACTGCCCGTTCACTGGCTATGCATGCGTGCATGTGAATCAGCATTTTATATTTTCCAACCCTGTGCAGCATCTCCATGCACAGTTGTGAGGAAGAGGAGCAACAGGAGCATCCGCAGCTGTAAATCTTCAAACGTCTTTGGGAACGGCCCCCCTGGCCGGCACGCTCTCGTTCTCGACGAATGCGTGTCCGACAAACCTCAGTAATGTGGCCGTTGGAAGAGACGCCGGAGGCGAGACATTAGTCAACTCCTCGACCACGCGAGGAATCCCACAATGCATCACACGCGACACGCGCAGCCCCTACAGTACAGGAAAAGAAAAAAAGCAGTGAGAAAACGAGTGAGAAACCCGGGAGACGTTTGGGCAGACACGCACATGCTGCTTTGCAGTTCGCGGCCATCAGGCCACATTATTTATTGATAATTTAACTGAAGTATTGTAGCAACCTTCTGCTGCCATTCGAGACCACCGGGTGATGCAGCAGCCTCACAGTGGGTTCATTCAAAAACAACAGCTGAGGGAGGAAGCTGCCCCCGCTGAGACCGAACCGAGTAACCTGCTGTACGTGCTGTCACTTTGATTAAAGCGTCCGTCTTTTAGGCTCGTGTGTCTCTGTGCATCAGGAAAGCCAAAGCCAAGGCTACCCTGAGCACAATAGAGTTAGCTGAAAACATATCAAACTACATACGAGTTGCCGTGTTGTGACACTGATCCACAGACAGAAAAACATGTCCGTGCACGCTGTAGGTCTGAACCTGAACCAGAGGGACTCTCTAACCTTTGGTCCACACCTCTGAAGGTCTATTGGTCTATCGGCGTGTATGGTGGTAGCACATCAACAACTAAACGCAGTGCACAATTGCCAAAATAGATTTGAGATCTTCACCATCTGTGGTCATCAGATCTAGTTTTCGTTTGCATTTCTACAGTCTGAACCTTTTGATCTGCTGACATTGTCCAGCTCAGCACAGGGGAGGGTTAGCAAACGTTGCTGCAAATATAACTATTTAAACAAAACTGTTATTTTACCGTGTCCGAAATGATATCTACGTATGACAAGTGATGTAGTATAATTGCATGGTAAAGATAAAGATGCATGGTATTTCTACAGTATTATCTGCCTGTTTTCTATATTATTCCTCTCTGTGGTGACACAACGCAACAACAACACAACAGAAAGCCCGCTAACGCTCATTTCTCTTTCGTATTGCTGAACTTCTCATTAGGCAGCGAGAGGGGGGAGACAGCAGATAGCAGCGGGGCCGTGCTCAGAGCTTCTCGGGGCCCCGAGGCAACACGAAGAAGCTCTCCTCCTACCGCCCGTGCATTAATTAGTCATTGGGCCCAGCGTTAAGACTCTCTCGGTAATCTCTCTGACTGATTGGGGAGTGGGATTTCTGTTTGACCATTTTATTCACTGGGAGGTTTAACTGTCCAGGAATGGGAAGAGTTATTAGCATTCAATAGAGTTTCCCAACCCCCTGAAAACACTTTGGAAAACACTTTGGTTTTCCAAACGACGACATCCTTAATATTTACACACAAAACATGATGATTCTCATCCACAGCTACCGGCCGTGTGAGCCGATAGCTGATGTCAGTTCATCCTCAGCACGAAGCCAATCCAGGAAATTAAATAGTCTACAATGTTTATTATGACATTTAGGGTTATTGTCCCCGTACAGACGTTCCTGTTGACAGCGGATGTCTCTCCTATACTTGATGGCGACCGATGACTCCGCCTGTCGAATTTGTCCTGTCAAGTCATCCAGCATCTAATTAAACCTTTTGTACCGACCTTCTTTGACATTGGCAAGAGACTGACCCGAATACCTGAAAAACACACGATAAGCCTCGCTGTTCCACTGGGTGACTGTCATTACAAGACGGACAGTATCTGCATACATTTTCCTCCTGACTGTGTGTGGTTTTCAGTGGAAAATCACTGTCCGACCCTTTTTACTGTTGATGTGCTAATATGAGCGGCGCTGCTCACAGTGATCTCGTCGATGTTGTTTTGGCACGACGCATCACACTTCCCTCAGGAAATAAGAGACCAACACGTAGCCTAAAGAGAGGCCAACTTCTATCGATCATCTGGATTTTCAAAGGGGCAGCAGTTTGCCACCTTACTAACTTCACCTTATTAACTTCAGGTAATAGGTCAGCCTTGTGTTAACACCTTGTTGCCGCTGCCCACAAAAATGGATTAATGTCCATCTCAAACGGCCCTTCATCCTCGAGAGAGGAGCACGCTTTCCTGTTTCCACTTCAGCACGGACGCGCCTCCCTCTCTAACGCAGCGGTACTTGGCCCATAAATAGCCCTTACATTGACATGATGCTTCCACTGGAGATTAAAATAGCTTCACTGAGCCTCATCTACTGGAAAACCTTTAGCCCCCCCCGACACACTCTCAGCTTAGCAGGGCGAGAATTGTTCTTGGCAGCATCCGTCATGTCACAACGTATCCGACACAGTGCAGACAGCCTGCTATTTGTTTCCCCCTCTGCGTCTTCAATGGAAGCAGGAGAGCCTAAGTGTTCTGTGTGCTGTTTGTGTGTGTGTGTGTGTGTGTGAACCTTTTTGTTTGAAGCACTTTAAAAACTCCTCTGCTAAAGTGCCAGGCTCACCCTTTGACAGATGGCCTCACTCGCTTGTATCAGTGGGTCATGCTTCGCGTGCGTCGTTGTGTTGCTGTGCGTGGAGTCGGAGGCCTGTTTTGGGTCGCTGAGCCGGAGGGGGCAGCGCGGAGGCCAGGGGGGGGGGGGGCAGCGCGGCCCGCGGGGTTGAACAGAGACACTTTACGGGCTTGATTTCACCGTTCAATCTTTCCTTCCTCAACGTCCTTTCCTCCCCTCACGCTCGCCTCCTCGACGTGATTACTGATCCCTCATGTGTCAGAACTCATCGGGGCCAATTTCCAGTCTCAAATTGCTTCACATCTGCCAACGTTGCGTTGCTGATGGTGGCGTGATAACGGTGGAGTGTTTTCTTGGACTCCTCTTTTTATTAAACTTATGTTTTGCAAAATTGTGATTGTTGTGCTCGTCTACATTCAGATTTCTTTAATGCGTTCCTCCGACTTCACTTTCGCTCTCCTCTGAATCTCAGTCCACTTTAATTTCTTTTCTCTCATCTATGGTCGTGAGCAGCGGCACTTAGACGGTCTCTTTCTCTTCCTCACTCACGCGTCGTCTCTTGATGTGACAGCGCTGGCGAATTGTGATAACAAGAAAAATGTTACCTGGTTGCTGGCTTCTGGTGTGTAATTGAAGCACAGGGGCACTTTCCCCCACGCTTTTCCCCCCTCACCCCCCCCCAGTGCCAGCTGTGCCTCTGGAGACATGGAATAGTTGCCTCAGACTCCTGGCAGGCGGATAAATGCTGCATTATTTGTTCCTGGTTTACTCTCGCCACCCAGTAAGTGCTTGTTCTGATGTGACTTTGTTGTTTTACGCTGTTCCAGGAGCTTGTAAATGCAAAATTTAGCCGAAATATCAGCATGCACCTGCTTGCTGACCTTTGGGAACCAAACATCTAAATTACAAAAATGTATATATATGGATGCCTGATTTGTAAAATAATCTTCAATGGTTGACGATTTACTTTCCATAATAACTAATTAAAAAAGTAAGTATTAAATAGTCCATTATTATAATTACATTTAAACAATTTGATGGTCAATTAATTGCAATTTACCGTCATTATCACCGGCTCATGCTGGTTCAAATATCATGACTGCGTTAAAATACAGCATTCTGCTGCAGAGTTGTGCAGAGGGAAATGATTATTGAGGTGTTACAAATTGAAATGCTACTTGCTGATTCTTTCAAGGTGAAGTCGTGGCCTTCGATGAAAACTCGTTAACCTCGTAACGCGGTCCGCAATGCGTCTTCTGACACTTTGACGTCTGCCACTTTTGCCCAAATTAAGTGACAGTGAAGACTGAAGGGACAACAAGTTCTTCCGTAAAACACAGTAGAATAAGACACAGCGTGAAGGATGTTTCTGTTTGAGATATAAAAAACAAATGCCTGTTTGTATTCCGCTTTCTCCTTTGAGCTCCAACGCATCATTACTCAATTAGAAATAAAGGTAACTTCAGAGGTTGATTAAATGTTGCATTTTAGATGTTTAAAAAAGCGAATACTGTCTCCACATTATGGATGGTTGGAACAAACACTGAGTCTAACTCTGTGTGTTTGTGTGTTTGTTGACAGGGTGCGGCTGGAGGCCTTCTCCGACAGCAGCGGGAAGCTGCAGCTCTCCCTGCAGGAGATCATAGAATGGCTCACAGCCAAGGACGAGGAGCTGTCGGAGCAGTTGCCCATAGGAGGCGACGCGGGGGCCGTGCAGCACCAGAGGGAGTTCCATCAGGTAAAGTGGGTTGTGATGGCTCTTTAGTGCGGGTATTGCACTGATGCAAGTCGTTATCCTGCCCGAGGGTGAATCGATATCCGCGCTGCGTCCCTCCGCACAACCCGCACGAAAAAAACAAATGTACTGAAAACAATGCTGTCATACTACAGTGCAGTGCCCTTTAACGTCCTGTACGTGCACTCATGCTGGAGCGGTGTATACACATCTATGGAGGGTGCACCTAAGGTCATTGAGATGCCAGAGGCCGGGGGCGGGGAGGAGGTGGAGGAGGAGGAGGAGGAGGAGGTGGGTGGTAAGTGGTTGAATTTGTTGTTGCTGCCGGAGAAGGTTAACATGGTAAAATGACATGAGGAGCAGCGGGGGTATCGTGAGCTGTGTGGTCTTTCAGAGGTGTTTGCAGAAAACAGAGTTTACAAATACCACAAAAAATTGGCAAAAGCTGAATTCTTTTGAACCAGCCTGAATCAATACTCGACTGCTTCCTCCCAGTTTCAGCTGTTGCTATTGATGAAGTTGGACCTCTGAGCACTGCGAGTGTGCGTTGGAGCGCCGGGGACCAAGTGCAAAGACGCCGTAGAAAAATAAATGCATTTAACTACAGTTCTAAACGCTTAGAGCGTGAAGTCTGTCCGGGTGAAATTGATGACTAGCAGCCACGAGTCCCCCGTTGGAGTTCCTGAGCCCGAGGAACATCAAGCTGTGCTGCGTCTTTTTTCGTTCATTTTTGGAAATTTGTAATGCATAAGCATCAAGGAGGCTTTGTTTTTCATTGAGAGAAAATGACTCTCATTATCCATTCATGATTTCCTCGTGCACACAGAACCAGCCTCAGGTAAACAGGAATGAGTTTGCACATTTGACTAAATTAGGGTGGCAATTCGATTAATCTGTGGATTATTTTCTCACTACACAAATGAGTCATTTAGATTATAAAAATATTGTGTGTGTCTATTCAGGAAATCTGACTCTGCTCTAGCTCTATATTTGTATCAGGGCAAAGGACAACACTTTTTTCCCAGTGAGCAGCGTGAGGATTAACTTTCTCATTATGGTATGTGTGAGGAACAAAGGCTACGAACAAGCATTTTTATCTGATGTCGCCTTTCTCACTATATGAAATAGTTATAAACAAAACATTTTGTCAAGCCGAGTTCCGCCTTTGCAGCTGCTACGCGTCCTCTCATCTGTCAATCCCGCTGACTCAGCACCGAGCACCCCCCCCCCCGCCCCCCCAGCCTTCTGCCTCCGTTCAGCACAGGAGATTGAGGTGCTCAACTGGATCCTCGTATTTCAGCCGCATTGGACTCGATCCCCTTTTGCCTTAAGTGAGCCGTCCACATCCTCCGAACCCCATCACTTATCTGCTCCGCCTCTTTTTTTTCAGACCTGTGTATCCCCCAAAGGCTGGAAATCGGCCGCTGTCACTCCTCTTTCCATACGTGCCACTGAAAGTCCAACTACACAGAGTAGTGTGTGCGGCTTTGTTAGTTGACCTTGCAAAGGGCTTTGACTCTGCGGCCGCTATCGTTCTGCTCGACAAGAAAAAATACATTTCAGAGGTTGGTCTCGGATGGCTTATGTGGGGTTAGAACCTCTCTGAACAAAGGAATCGCTCTCTCTCCGCCGCCCGGCAGGAGACAAGGAGTCAAACGGAGTCAAATGGCCCAATTTGAAAAACGAAAAGGAATTAAATAACTAATAGAAGCAATGCAGCTCCAGTGAAAGTGAGAATGCAGTGTGAATATTTAAATATTTTGCGAAATAGAGAATCCCCCTAGACTTGTATAATAAGACCATCAATACAGGTTCTCCAGCAGAGCGTTTGGAATCTCGCAGGGTTTGTCCGCGTGTTGTGGTCGTATGTGATTGGCAGCTCCTCCCACGTTGAATTTCCTTCCTGCCTCCGGGCATTTACGACTCTGTACGTTGGCTTCATCTGATGGCCGCATCTGAAATCCCTCACTGGCCTGACCCGTCCCTATTCACTTAACATTACAATACAATTAATCAACGTTTAATCTTCATGTAAACATAACATGCATAAGATCATCGTCATCTAATCGCTAATACACTCGAATCATCACAGTTCATAACATCTCAACCATCATTTTATATGGTGCATAATCAATGTGAGTTGCCTCACAGGGTTTTCCTACATCCTCTGTTCGTAAACGCCCTGACAGGAGAAAAAAACCTTCATCGGGGAGAAAATATAAAATAAAATAAATAATAAAATATAAATATAAGAAATCCATCAAGGAAGGTTTAAGCGTCCTTCCCTTTCCGTGTGGCAGGATGTCATGTGTACAGTAATTAAGTGACTTATATAACTTATGTTTGAGTCCTATTGCAGTTATTGATCTAACATACTCATTTAATAACTATACTAATAACATCTGGCTATGTCAAATCAGAGAAAGTCCATTCCAGGGCCGCCGTTATTCAAAATCGACATAAACGCTGGCTTTCACCTGCATGTCAAGAGTTTTCTTTACCGTGACAAAGCCTCGTTTACCCACCTGGCAAAGCACATCCTGGTTAAAATAACAGTCCTTCCCATCTTAGACTTCTTAGAGGTGATGTAATGTGTAAACTCTCTGAATAAACTAGATGTGATGAACCACAGCGATATCGCGTCTTCATTGGTGTTGCTTTCATCGTCGTCACGGCGACATGTACTCTCTGGTTAACCCTTCATATTAACCCGTTAATCCACTGGTATAAGTGGAAATCTATGAAACTGTCGTTGGTAAAACCCTGTCACATTTCCACTCACTGGTCATCATCTTTAACCGCTATTTACCATTTCCTTCCGTTTCTCAGTCCAGTTTTCATCTCCAAGCGACTGGAAGAATTTGCCAAAGAAACTAAAGGTCCACACGCTCATCACATTGCCCTACTTCAATCCCTCATCACTAACGATGGTATCTGATCCCTGCAACTGCTTGTGATGTCATCATTATTGTACGGGGGTTGTTTGAGATGTTCTTGTTGCTGCCTTTTTGGTCAGATTGTCATTTTAATGGGAAATGCTTCTCAATTTACATGTTATTTCTTATAATAACGAAATTCAAGGCTTTAAGGAACTTCAATAGGAGTTGCTGACAGAGTAGCCTCCTCCTCCTCCTCCTCCTGTCAGATAATTCCTTCGTGGTTCAGTGATTTGAAATGGCCTGTAAATCCCTTCAAGGTCTTGTGTGGATAGAAGGACACACAAGCTCCCAAACTCAGAGGCCTTATTGATCACGACATAAATCAGTGCTTGTTTATCTTTGCAGTAAATATTTACGGCTTCATATTAAGGGCAGGGGATTAATACTTTCTGTAAAACCCGGGATCATAATTTGCCTCACTGCTTATAAACTGATTCTGCAGAAATGTCTGTTTAACTGTTTCAGCAACACAGACCAACATACAAGAAGCTTCTTCCAGCCCTGCAAGCACAGGTCATGAGTGAAGCGGCTTTGAACCCTCGCTGGCATTAAATGCACGCAGTCGTCTCCGACAGCCTAATTGGAGGAAGTTTTGATATTATCAGCATCTTTATTGTTTCATTGGGCAGATCAAAAGAAAATAAATGGCGTTTGTGTGTTAGAGGCTCCCACTGTCGGGACAAAAAAATCCAAGGATGTTGTAAAAGGCAGGAAAGCCTCTCCACTGAAATCCTTTTTTAATTGATATATAGCCTCGTGTGAGCTGTGTGGCGGCAGACCGTCATGTTGTTGGCCCGAGACAGGAAATCCCCAGCTGGCAGGTGTGTGTTTGTGTGCGCGTGTGTTTGTGTTTGTGTGATCCCGTCTTCGGGCCCCAAATAGCTCTGCACCGTCAGCAGAATCTGACGCAGTAGCTCAATCTTATCAGAGATAAATCGTATTGTTCCTCTTATTCAAACGAATCCACACGGAGCCACCGCGATGTCTACATCCAGAAAAGATGTATTAATTCAAACGTACTTAAAGGTCAGCGGGTGTGTGAAAGGGTAAACGTTGTGCTGTTCTTGGTCCTGTGTGAAAGGAAGTATTTGGGGAAATGCGACCTGGGATGTTCTTTCACATCGCGGTAAATCACGTTAGTTGTGGGTGATATATCACAGCAGCTGGAACTGGTTCAGACAATGCAGACGCACACACCTACACACACACACACACACACACGCGGTAACCCACATTCACACTTACTCGTAATTGGTTCTGTAAGTACATCAGAGTGTCCCAATTTTTATTTTTTTTTCCTCCAATTTTCGGTGCTGTCGGTTTGTGCCGTCTCTTTGAAAGGTGACTCGAATCGACAGCGAGAGCGTCGTGGCTCCCGTTTAATCCCACTGTGACTCCCGTCCCGACGGGTCGCACTAGGAAACAGGACGTATTCTCACGCATTCACAGTCCTGCAGTTTGTTTCATCCCCCTCAGTCTGCCTCGTTATTTCTCCTTCTCGTGCTTCTTTTCTCATGCACACAATATGCTTTTCCCGTCCTCTCAGATACCCCTCCTAGCTGCTGCTTAAGGATGCACAGGCCGTTCTGCTGCTTTCCTCTCCTCTTCCTCCTGTTCTTCTTCTCTAAAATGTTCCATTTTCACCACAGCACGCCTTTAGAATCTGGGATGCCTCGGACTGCCTCGTTTGGTCGCTCTAAAACTCTTCTGACAAAGCAAAGAGGGAAATTGCTTCCTCGTTTTCTATAGAGAATTAAAGCGTTTTAAGAAATGTGAATTATTGATCTTAAGTGGATTTATTCTGATGCCGTTTGCGAGTGTGGGAAGATTTCTGGCTGTGCGGCGTTCGGCGTGTGTGTGCGTGTCTGTGTGTTGGTTTGGGAGCATGTTCGTTGTGTGTCTATTAAGAGTGGGGACGAAGGGGAATTTGGGCTGGGAAGTATAAAGTATGTCTTTGAGAGTCTTGCTTGTGTGTGTGTGTGTGTGTGTGTTTGTGTGCGTGTGTGTGTGTGTGTGTGTGTGTGTTTGGGTGAATTACTTTGTGCATCTGCAGCAGCAGAATCTTCTCTGCCTCCTGCGACGGGCCTCATGAAATATAATGTCCTCCTTTGTGTAGTTAGAATCACACTGGAAGGAGTAATAGGAATGCCATCAACATGTTTAGATGAAATGGATTCCATGAAGTCACCCCCCCAGCCCCCCCCCCCCCCCCTTGACTTTCTCTACCCCCATGCATAATGAATCTTAATCTGATCTGAAGGCTTCACTCGTAATGTTCCTTCAACCATAGATGAAGCCTCCGAGTGTGAAATTTAGCTGGAATTAAAGTTTCAACATGACAGCTGGCTCAGGGAATCCGTAGCTCAGCTCATCTTTGGGCAGCATAGCAGCTAAATGGAGTGTGGGGATGGTAAAGAGAGCCGTTATGTGAGGAGAAAAGGGGAATGGGTTTGTGATCAGAGAGGGACTTTCCTGTTGCAGCGGGAAGTTCATCCTGCGCCGCAGCTCCCCGCTTTTCACTTTTGTATGTTTGCTCAGCGCCGGCTGGTGTTTGCTGCTGTTTCACGCGGCTGATTCCCGGCTAGCAGTGGCCATTTTCCAGCTAAAATTGTAATCTCTTGTTGGCGCAGGAGGATAGAGAGCTGGCATTAATTCACACACCTGCAGAGGGGCTTCGCACAGAACGGACATTAGTGTGGACGAATGAGGAAGGTTGACGCTCCGGCTTCCTTCAGGGCTCTGGGGGTCTGCACAGTGTCCTTTGTGTGTGTGTGTGTGTGTGTGTGTGTGTGTGTGTCTACTTGTGGACCAGTGGAGCTGGGCTCTGCAGCTAATTAGCTGTTCTGTGTGTGGCGTCGAGCTGACCAGTACTCCCAGTGGTCCAATAGTGCCCTGGGCTCTGAGTGCAGGCGGACAGTCATGCAATCTCACTCAGTTGATCCACGCTGTGTGTGTGTGTGTCTGTCTGTGTGTGTGGGTGTGTGTGTCTGTGTGTGTGTGTGTGTGCGCGCTCAGTGATTCCTCTTTAACCGATGCAGTCAAACGCATTTTCCCTCATGAATGCCGTTTCTTCTCTGTGTGGGTGTGTGTGGGTTTGTGTGTTCGCTGTCTTCTTAAATGGAACCTGTTTTAACTTTTAGATAGAAGAAATAACACGTTCAACATGATAAAAGAGTCCCCGGCTTGAATAAATACACTCAGACAATTCTTCGCTATAGAGCCTTTTCTTTGACCCGTAGATTATAGAGACAAAGCGCAACACGGCAAGAATGTAATCTATAAAACAAGTTGCATACTGTCCAAATGCTTTGGCGTAACGTACAGAACTGAACTGACATGTGTAAACTTCTCGCATCCACACAGTTTCCCTATTTTCCTGCCCATGCTTCACTTCTCATGAACTGTATCCTTTTTCTGTATATCTAAAATATAGCTTTGGGTTCCTTATCGGTTGTGCATTTCCCCACACAGCAGCTACTGTATGAGTAGTTGTTTAGTGACTCCACACAATACAAAATCAATAGTAAGCAGAAGTGTTTGCCCTCTGATGCGGGTAGGAATTCATTATTATTGTGGATAGTTTTCTGACTTTATTCTCATTTCTAACTAGGAATTCTTTTAGCATTTAATCTGTAACTTTTTTTTTTTCTCGATGAAGGATCCCCCAATGTCTGCTTTTCTAAAAGGAATATTTGGCAATGGGTCAACAAACTCAAATCCATGTGTCCTTGGACGAATCACTGACAATAAAAGATAAATGTAGTTTTGGGCTGTTTGTCTGGTTTTCTCTTCAAGGCTCTAGAATGTAACAATGACTTTTTGTTTTCTACCTGTAGGAGTCGCCATGAAACTATGACAAATTTTTATGAATTATTAAGCTTTCAGTCAATAAAATGTCACGACTGACCTACTGTAACAACAACCGAAATGCAAGAATATCCAATTTACAATTTTTGAAAAAGCAAAACATTTTTGTGTTTACAACTCAAATGAGACATTAGTCTCGTTTGAGTTGTAAACACACATTCAGCCTCGCCTCCAGCTCGCGCTCCTCAGCAGCATTTTCTTCCACTTAGAAACACTTCCCGCTCTGTGTTTGTCCCCCCGGCAGGCATTCATGGAGGATGTGAAGTCTCGCGGGCCGTTCATCTACTCGGTCTTGGAGTCTGCCCAGGCCTTTCTGGCTCAGCATCCCTTCCAGGAGCCGGAGGAGACCCTGACCGATGGAAAAGGTCTGCTCCCCTCGTACTCTGTGCCGACTGCTGCGCCGGCCTGAATATCATATTCACAGCCTCCCTCTGCTGAGCCTCCCTGCGGAGTTCATTTGACTCATGCAGGTGAAATCTACCATTAACCGATATTAGCAGTGTTCCCTCCTCTGGTGTCACTCTGGGTGTAAGGAAAGTGTCCGGTTCGGGGGCCAATTAGGTCCAGCTCTGCTGTACCATGGGCTCAGATCAATAATACAGCAAGCTCTGCTTTTTCCACACACCGACACATCCTCTTTCTTAAAGTTCTTTCTCTCAGCGCCTCTCGGGAAATACCAGTTTCTACTTTCCTCTTTCCTCCTCATGTGTCCAACTCCTTCCTTCCACCATCTTCCCTTCCACTTCCCCCTTTGCACCTGCTATGCTTTCACCCTTTTATTTCACGGCCCTGTCTAACCTCTGCCCACCCCCCCCCTGCAGAGGTGTCTCCACGCCGACGGATCTTAAACGTGAGCCGCTCGGTGTGGAAGCAGGCGAACGTGGCCAGCGACCTGTGGGAGAAGTTGACCGCACGCTGTGTGGATCGCCACAGGTCAGACTCTTCTCTTACTCTGTGCGCAGATTGAATGTGGTTCCTGCAGTGGTGGAAAGCACTTTTATTCATGCGCAGTTGTGAAGAACGTATAGTTGACTTCAGCGTATGGACTAAGCTATCAAACGGTATAAAGTAGTTAAAACTTTCTCCGCCTCAACCAGCATTTTGTGACCAGTTTGAGTGATTATATTTTCTGTAGGTCATCGGGGAGTTAAGTTAATTTTCCACTCTGTGTGCACATGAAACTGCTGCCAAAAGGTTTCTGAGTTGATAGTTTTTTTTTCTGGATCATTTAATTTAAATGTCATGGTCCGCTGACCTGTGGTGAAAGAGTCCCTGTTTTATTAATGTAGACATCACAAAAAATAGTCTAATGTGCTGTTGCTGTCTTGGCCAGGACACTGTTTTCTCAAGTATATTATCTTCATTGTTAAGTACATCTGATATGGAACGAGAAAAATAAAAACGTATTTATTCATAAATGGATTTAAATGAAAAAAGAATCTGTTATCTGTTCTCCAAAATGCCTGCAGCTATTCAAGCTCTGATATTGAATGGTATTTTTTCCTGTGAGTGAAGCAATACATTACATGTGATCGAATTGCAATAACCTTATTACAACCTCTGGTAAATTGAATCCATGACAGAAACAATTAGGAAATTGTATTCTTCAACTTTTAAATGAAAGAACATTCAGAGCTCACTAGAATATTAAACATGTTTTCAAAGCAAAAGCCCTTTGAATATGAAACAACATGCATTAGGAAATAATTTGGGTACGGCTCTACTGAAATTATGTATTTGCATGCTGTATGCAGGTTGAAACATGCATTTGTTTGCATTACTCCATAACTGTAAAGAACTGCATTTTCAACCCAACCCCAGACACATGGAGCGCACATTAGAGCGACTGCTGCAGGTGCAGGCAGCCATGGAAGAGCTGGCGGTGGCCCTAGAGCAGGCCGAAGGGGTGAGAGACGCCTGGGAGCCCGTCGGAGATCTCTTCATCGACTCTCTGCAGGATCACATCGACGCCACCAAGGTAGCGCGAGCAAACCGCGCCTTTTACGCGTAAAAAGCTCTCTCATTCGGGCCCATCTGTCGAGGACGAGGCACTTCAAACTGACGCGGCGGGATGGCATTAACCCGGTTGAATAGGGGTTGTTAGAAAAATGGCAGGTCGTTGGTTCAGTCATTATGGAGCGGCGAGGAGGCTGCTGCTGCACGTAATTTTTTGTGGCGCTGTTCATTAGAAGTCGGCCATTTCGAATAATGATGTCACGGTCAGACATGTTCAGCCTGGTGTTCAGGGCAGGCAACTCACATCTGCACACAGACGAACGCATAAGAATGGGACACAAATACACATTATAAACGCTGCAACTAAGGCTTATTTTCCACAATACGGTCTATAGAATATTAGAAAATAGTACTATTTCCCTTTCAGAGCCTGTCACGAATCCCAGAGTGACATTTCAAATACCTTGTTTTCCAATCAGCAGTTCAAAACTAAAAGCGTTTTCTGTTACTAGCACACAGCTGAGAAAAGCAGCCGACACGCACATTAAAGAAGATGACGCAAAAAGGAAGTAGTTGTTTATTTCTTTTTGATTTTCAGAATGAACTATTTGAGGGTAGTGATGCATTTTGTTATACTTCTGCTTGTCATTGTGTTGCCTCGTCGTTTCTCGTCGTGCCTGTGAATCGACTGTGTTAACAATCATGTATTTTGAACATATTTGAATGCTTCTACGTGGATTCACAACCTCCTATGAAAAAGATGCGTGGAAGCAATGCCTGAAAAACTTGTGACTTCAGGCTATCAAAGGGCTGATAACATCATACATTTGTTTCACTTTGATTTATGTTGATAAATTGCTACAAAGTATTTCCCCAGACACTCATTTATTTAATTTGGTTAGCTCAGTTAGCTCAGACGGATGTTCCGCTTCTTCCCTCTCTCTCTCTCTCTCGATCCTGCAGTTATTTAAGGAGGAGCTAACCCAAGTGAAGGAGGGCATGAAGCACATCAATGATCTGGCCCACCAGCTGGCTATCTCCGATGTCCATTTGTCGATGGAGAACGCCCGCGCCCTGGAGCATCTCAACGGCAGATGGAAAGTGCTTCAGGTAGCGTTCGCTGCCGGGTTCGCTTTGTCCGTTTGACTTCTTTTCAGCAGCAGCTTTTCCGGCAGTCAAATTCCAGGGAGAACATCCGAGAGTGATTCCGTGTGTCAAGCTGATTCCAGTTGCTCTCGGAGAGCTTGAAAACCTCTTAACTAAGCGCTTCATTTCAAAGCGAACAATCAATAACGGTCCAGTTAGCTCAAATGTGAACGCAGATTAAACACCCACGCCGAGTATGGTGGCCTGCGGGTTGATGCTCCGATCATCGTTTGCAACACAAGTCCGGAGAGGAGCTTTCTTTCTCTCATGTGTTCATTGTTTCTTCCCATCGCTCGTTTCTCTCACATCTCCTCAATGCCAGCTGTTGAATGAAGGCACATGAAGGCGATATCCCCAAAACAGAACAGAATGCAACTGATTCGCTCATCTTTTCATTGTAGAGCATGTAGTGTTCTTGCTCTTATTGGATTAAAGACTGTTTAGTTTTTTATTAACTGGATCAAAATATCTCTGGCTGGACTCCAGGACATTTCCATTTCTCTCAGTTACGTTCAAATGGATCGCCTTATGTTGTGTAACCCATCAGGATGAAAGTAAATTGAGAACAATAGAGAAACAATGTATTTAAAATGATTAAAATTGAATTCGGTGATATTTCTTCAGAATGGTTCATATGAATTAGGGCGGGCATCAGTATGGGCGACTGAGGTTTACAGAGATTATTTTAGCTGCTAAAAATATTCAGATTAATTGCAAATATATATGGATCCATTTCTATTCACACATTATGGATCTGTTTTACAACAGTTGTTTGTGGCGAGTTGAGTTTTTCTTTTGGAATGAACACACTTAAAGGAGACGAGCATGTAAGGCACATCGTGTTAACTACTGATCACATCAAATTATTTAAATGTTTACATGTAGAGTCGCTGTATAAATCCCATTTTTGCTATTTCCATGTATTCATGATGAAATATTCATATAAATATAAATAATACATAAATATTTAAATTTCGGCGGCACGGTGGCATGGTGGTTAGCACTGTTGCCTCACAGCAAGAAGGTCCTGGGTTTGATTTCGCCCAGTGGCCTTTCTGTGCGGAGTCTGCATGTTCTCCCCGTGTCTGCGTGGGTTCTCTCCGGGTTCTCCGGCTTCCTCCCACAGTCCAAAGACATGCTCTGGGGATCAGGTTAATTGGGGACTTTAAATTGCCCATAGTTGTGTGAATGTGAGTGTGAATGGTTGTGTGTCTCTGTGTAGCCCTGCGATTGGCTGGCGACCAATCCAGGATGTACCCTGTCTATCGCCCGAAGTTGGCTGGGATGGACTCCAGCCCCCCCGCGACCCTGTGTGCAGGATAAGCGGTTTGACAATGGATGGATGGATGGATGGATATTTAAATTTCAAGGATGAAGTGCCTTGCACTCATTGAGGTGGACTTCCTTCTCCTCGGTGCTGGGCTGAATGTATGGATCCATTATCTAGTGCACATTAGCTCCTTCAACACACCTTCTCCACAGCCGGCAGTTCATGGCCTCATCATTACGTTTTAATTGCCACTCGTCCCGTTTGTTTCTCGCTGCCGTCGCAGCATGATGATATTTTCTTTCCCTGCAACAACTCCTGGGAATAATTTTCTAATTTACACTTTGTTTATTCACCGCTCACTGACAGTTATTGTCAATTTTCCTTAGATTGATATTGGTCTGTTTTTTAGAAACGAATCACAGGTCAAATTGGAATATTTCAGTATCGGTTAGTTGTTTCTAGTTTTTCATTGCATTGCTGGTCTAAATGTTTTTGGATAGAATAGCGTTTAACTTTATACAGGAGTTCATGGTCCCCGGATGATGTATCCTAGCGACTTTGAGCAACTAACGCGGCTGTTCCAAATCCACACAAACCAAAGAAATGTTTGACTCAAACCAGTCACACACATCTGTATGTGTGCTGTTGATTCATACTTTTCAATGCACAAAGGAAATATCGGAGCAGCTGATAGAAAAAGAAGCGAAAGAAGCATTGGTCTTACAGAATATATCTGCCTTGGTGGCTCTTGGTGATGTTTGGATGCTAATAGCTTCCAAAGGTCTGACATCTGAGACATCTAAGTTCACATTTCACATTCATTGTTTCATTTTATGTGTGTGTAAATCGGTGGCTTCATATAACATGTAACTGCTAAAACCATAAAGCCATGTTTCTGTATGGAACATTAAATTAGAATGGATTTTGGACTCAGCTTGTGTCCGGTTGAACGCCACTCCTCCTGAGTGAGGTCCTTTAAAGGGATTTATTTGAAGTGGTGTTGATCAGTATACTCAGATGTGCATTAAAGTCCAATGCCACACTTTCTGGAGTCTGAATAGTCACAGACATCTTCCACATATTTTCCCCACCGCCTCGTGTATATTAGGACTCCTCATTCGTTTCCTTTCATGTTTGAGGTAAAAAGGAGTCCTCGTGAAAATGGTCTTTTACGGCACAATTTCTGTTAAATCTTTGATGCCCTTTATGCGGCGGTCGGTAGTGTGTCCTCTGGTCTTTGATGCAAGAAGCAAGCATCTAATCGCCCCCCCGATGATCAACGCTGTTAAGAAGCCTTTCATTATCCAGATATTCGTCTTTCAGATACTGGATTGTTCGCTGAATGTCTGTGATGTTAAAGCCCAAGAGACGTACGACGAGGCAGGTGCTTTCCAATGTTTTCGAGAGAAACACACTTCTTTGAGCCGCCCTGCTTCATCGATCCGCTCTCTCTCTCTCTCTCTCTCTCTCTGCTTTTCCACATGAACTCATTTTAACCCAATAAGATGCACTGAGCCGCTATCGTTCACTGTGAAAGTAAACAGATTGGAGGGGCCGTTTTTCTTTGTCTCCCTCTGTGTTCCATTTCTCTTAATTAACAGGAGAAATGATAGATCCCATCACCATCCTCAGCCCTGTTGATTTGGGCCGCTTTGCAAAAAATGTTTTTTCCAAATTTGGTTTGCTTAATCTTTGTCGATCACGGATAATTCAGCCATTCGTCTTCCTTATGGGAACTCAAATTGCCCGTACAACAAATAGATTGTACAACACCGCACAGTTGGCGGTGACATCGCGGCGATAAAAATCACGCTCCAGATTGTATTGTTCTGTTTCACTGCTGAAGGAGTAGTGACATGTGTGAGCAGAGGAATGCCAGCTTTACACATTAAGACGTGTTGTCTTTGCGCGTCTTTAAAGTCTGATCGCCTCTCTCTTCCGTTCTTCATCTGTCGCTCTACCTCACTGAGAGAGGATTTAGTTTCCCAAACATCCAGCTGACAACAATTCATGTGCCAAATCCAATACACTTCAAATGAAGCAGGATTAAGAAGGCTAAATCCCATTCGGTGGGAAACATACAGTAACTGATATGAAATGCTTTTAGGAACTCGTCTCTCTCCGGTTATTGGTGCAACACGTGAGGCTTTGCAACTCATCCTTTCCTCTCTTCGTGTCATCATCTCTTCATCTTTTCCACCGTGACATTACAAAGCAGGTTCCGTTGACCTCATTTCAACGAAAATATCTCACCGGGTAATCTCTGTCTTCATGTCCTACCTGCTGCTCTTCAAAGGCTTTCAAAGTCCTCCAAGAGGACCAGCAGAGGAAAAAGAGATCATTTATATTCCGTAGTTAACTAATGGAAGAGAAGCAGGTGTTCTGTGTGCGTATCTTGCTTTCTTTGGGGGATTTGTCTCATAGATAGATCTAACGTACGATTCCCTTTGATTTAACCCTGCGTGTGTGTGTGTGTGTGTTTTCTTCAGGCTTCCATAGAGGAGCGGCTGAAGCAGCTCCAGGATGCACACAGAGACTTTGGCCCCGGATCGCAGCACTTCCTTTCCAGTAAGAGTCCTTTGCCGCTATTTGTACTTTATACCTGCACCAAACTGCGCCGTGCTCTGCCACAAGACACTCTCAGGGTGTTGCGGGGGGGATAAAAAAAAAAGTTAGATGTGCTTCTGCCTCGATAATGCTGTAAAACACGATGCGTATTTGCGTGTGTATTTGGGTTGGAGGTGGAGCTGACAGGATTCATCAGCACCGTCGTGATAAACATCCCCAGCGATGCTCATCGGATCCGCCTTAATTTGAGCAGAGATGCATATTTGTGAAGTCTTGGTCTTCTTTTTTTTTTTTTTTTACCTCCTGCTCTTCAAAGGCCAGAGCGATGAAGCAGGAGGGCTTTTATTTCTTCTTTTTTTCAATCTAATTTAAACTGATTTGCGTCGAAGGGCCCTCTACGTGAGTGCATCTGAAGCAACGTGTGCGCTCGTGTGCTTTCGTGGTCCTCACCGAACCACATCCTCCTTTTACCGCTGTCGCGCTGGCTCAGAGATGCCACACTGGGGCTTCAGCCCACCGCGCTGCGTTTCTGTGGATTCTTTATGCATCAGCGTGTATTTATTTCAGCGCGCCGTTTGAAATAGCACATTATTGCACTTATATCACATAGATGGATGTTATAGTGTGCATTTACTTAAGTACAGTATACTGTGAGGTACTTTAGTTGTGAACTGAAGAATGAAGTAATTTTAACCAACTCCACCTGGAGCACTTACAACAGTAAAATGCTACTTTTGCATCGATGTGTCAACGTGCTTCAGAATACTTCATGAATACTTCAGCCTTTGAGTTCACAGTCGCAGCGACGCACACGTCTGCATGGTGCCACGTTGAGATACAACAATGGACAATGACTGGCGTGAGCACGTGTCCTCTTTGATCCTCCGTTGGACCCCCTGTGGTTCAGTCCAGGGAGGCCGGTTTAAACGCTACAGTCACCCCCGTCTCCCCCGACTCCTCTGGGTGCCGTGTTGTGTCCGGCCGTGCCAAACGGACCGACACAACAGACGTGTCCCTTGAGGGTCGTAGGCTGAGAAAGTGCACGATGGCTTCCCGTCACCTGCCGGCCGCCAAAGCGACTTGATTTCTGTGTGTTTGCGCAGGTTCGGTGCAGGTGCCGTGGGAGCGTGCCATTTCCCCCAACAAAGTGCCCTACTACATCAAGTAAGTGCGACTTCAGGCTCAGCTTCTGCCTGGGAAGTGGAATCTGTGTGCTTTGGCTGCACTGCGTTTGGGAGTTTTTGACAATGAGGATGAGCGTTGTGCTGTGTGTTTGACTTGACTTCACTCTAAACCTCTAATGAAACATAAGGTCATTTTGCTCCATGTGGGGATTCAATCTATCACAACGTTGGTGCCATTAAGGATTACCAGCCATAGTGTCTGATTTGCCATTTGTTTTTTTCATTTCCTTAATTCGGTTTTACATCGTGTTGATGTTTGCGGGTTTCCCTTACGCCTAACCAGCAAATCAGTGGTAAGGGACGTATCAGTTGTAATTGACATAACTTGGGGTAGCAGTTGCTTGGAGACCTTAACACTTAACTGATATAACAGTTATTGACCATTGTATTGAGAATTTCCTGCTTTCAAACCTCTGATGGGCTTGGCTACCTTCCCATGCAGGAAAACGGTGGGCAAAGCACCAGACGTAAAGTATTTAAATCACTGAAAATATCAGAAATAGGAGCAATTCAAAGGCCACCAGCTCCATGCCTTGAATCAAATCACATCCCAAACTGCAAAATACAGCTCAATTTTAAGCACTTCTTGCTTCACAATTTCAAGATCTCTCTTTGCCTGAACATTTGTACAGCGCTAACCCCAGAAAGTAGATACATACCAAAAGATTCAACATCTCCATTGAGCCACTGCGAAACCTATTTGCTTGTGTAATCATTTATTTGCCTACTCATTACTATTGAGTGTGTGAAGGTGTGTGTTCATAGCAACAGGAGGGTGCATTTGTGTGTGTATTTAACTGTGCAAGCACCTGCTCCTTAACAAGTCTTTATTGGCTGTATTACTCTACCAACTGTATCTGAGTAGCACTATATAGGGTACAAATCAACGAGCGCTGGTGCAGGTGAAGCCATGACTGCTGCCCTTAAATGCTCCTGGGTGCTGGCATGCATTTTTGCTGCGCTCGTCCTTTTTTATCGGACCTTTTTTTTTATGTGCCCAGCGAGCTAGTGGTGTAATACGAAAGGGGTGTAAATGTATGTTTTTTAAGCGTGTGTGTGTGTGTGTGGGTTGGGATTTTATGCGGTGTCACCGAGTGAAGCCTTTACAGTCACTGGCCGTATATCTCCAGCAGAGCAACTCTCCTGCCTGAACCTGAATCACGTTTGACGTACGTCCGCATTTTACAGGCCTGAAATCTCCTGTAAGCGACGGTCGCCCCATCTCGCTTTTACCCTCCGATCCCATTTCTCAGGCTGCCCCGCCCCTCTGTCTCGGCTTCCCTCGGCTCATTTGTGCTCCATTTTTTTCTTTTTCCGGTCTGGAAATATTCACCTCCATTCTTTTTCCTGCTTCTCAAATTCTTCTTCTGCCCCTTTTGTTCCCACCAGTCATCAAGCCCAGACGACGTGCTGGGACCATCCAAAGATGACCGAACTGTACCAGGCGCTGGGTGAGTAAGGAGAGAGTTACAGCTCGTTGGCCCAGGACCCCCCAACTGTGCTGCAGAAGCACCGGCAGCACGCCACCGCCGGGCTCCTGCTTTGAAGGCCCCCGTCACGCGGCTAATTAAGGGTCCTGTATTCCGAAGGCCTCGGAGACTATATCTCTACCGTCTTTTAACCTACGAGGCCCAATTTGCCGGCGCTGTGATTGCTTTTCGCTCAGCCTTTAATTAATTGTGATTGAACAACATCATTCGTCCTACTTTTAATCTGAGAGCTTTCAAGGGGAGATAGGCATGCTGTCACATACACATGCTCAGTATAACATATATGCCACTAATGACTTCTGCAATGGACTGATAACAGGAAGAGAGATCATTTAGTCTAATTTCTCAATGGCAGGTTGGTGCGGGATTGTTTTTTTTCTCGCCCATCGTTTCATTTACTCTAATCTCTCTCTCTCTCTCTCTCTCTCTCTCTCTCTCTCTCTCTCTCTCTCTCTCCCTCCATTAGCGGATCTGAACAACATCAAGTTCTCAGCATACAGAACAGCCATGAAGCTGCGGCGAGTTCAGAAGGCTTTGAGATGTGTGTACAGTATTTCATCGATGCTTTTTCATGCACGCCGGTATACCTACAACATCACTAATCCACGGTGACAAGCGCTCTCCTGCAATAAGATATACCAATTAGCTGTGGCACATCGCTGTATCGAGTTGAACAAGGAATCATCGCATACTTGATAAAAACGTAATAGAAAATATACTCTCCATTGCTATCGGCTTTCAATGCAGGAATCCAAAGTATTCGATTAAAGAAACAACTCCGTCTTTCTCATTTTCATCAAAACTGGTCTTTTTTTTCTTCATCACAACGCCTCCATCTTCAGTCACCTGTAGTGCTCCAACACCTTCGCGTGTTACCCCCTTATCCTTCCCCACCCGCTCTATCCACCCTCCTTCAAGGCCTGTAATATAAGTGCAGCGTGCTCAGACCACTGGCAGGAACCTCTTTCAATGACTCTCCCGGCTCTCTTATCTCAACCTGCTAGTTACTATCGTGACAGGATTTAATTGCCGAGCTGCCTCGATAGCGGAGCTCCCGCTCTTTCTCTCAGCACACTTTGTAAATGATTGAGCAGCGCTGCACAAGAGCCCATCAAAAATACATTTTTCGGTGATTCCCCCAAAACCCTGAGAATACTCCTCTTATCTCCTCTCTCTGTTCTACCTCATTATCGTGCTATCCAATTATACCTGGCAGCCACGGACACCCTTTTAGCTCCACTGCCAGAGATAGGCCATCAAATTACTTTAGAGGAGCCAAATCAAATTTGTGTCACTGCTCTCAAAACATCTGGCCGGGGTTAACTGGGGAAAAAAGGGTGAAAAAGCACAGTCCTGTGGTCTCTTTAGCTGAGGTAAGGGTGTTCAAAAATAAAAGTCCAGTCATTGACGTACCGTGTCCATTTAAAGGCCTGAGAACATTCTCTCAAACTGATGTCCGTGTGCTTTATTTCAAACCGTATTCAAATATCTGAAGGACATAAACAGCACATACATACGTACTCAATTAAAGTGTTGCAATTAAAATGCTTCCCAGCATGTTGCAAACCAGTAAGATGTGTCCATGTGTGCTTTAGTGGATTTAGTGGCACTGAGCAGCCTCGTGGGGGTGTTTCGGGAGCAGGAGCTGCAGCAGGGGGAGCATGTGATGGACGTGGTGGAGATGATCCACGGCCTGACGGCTCTGTACGAGAAGCTGGAAGAGGAGAGGTCCGTCCTCATCAACATTCCACTTTGCGTTGACATGTGTCTCAACTGGTTGCTCAATGTCTACGACAGGTGGGTGAGCTGGGGTGAGATGTTTCCGGGTCTATCTATTAAATCCGCTTGTGCTGAAAGCTGCATGGAGTATATATATGGATATGTGTATATATATATACAGCATATACACTGTTTTACACCATATATACTGTATATATATAAAAGATATAAAAGCTCAGTCTTAAGCCATCCTAAATATGATGATGCTACTTATCAGGAACCTGAAGAATCCCTGAGCAAGTCCGTCATCAGGTGAATCCATTGTTTTGTAGATACAGATGGACACATTTCGGAAGATTATTGGTTTGGAAATAAAAAAAAATGGATGTGGAATAAGGGTTAGAATAAGTGTTCATCTCCGATTGTGGCTAACGGGGCTACATTAGAGGCTACTTGTGTAACACACCACCATCTCCATGCTGGGAAGCTGCATGCACCGAATCCACCGGATGGCAGACATTTCTGTCCTTTTTTACCACAATGTTTTAGGTTGCAATTTTGTCAAGTGAAAGCTAAAATGACACATCCATCTCATCTAATGCTCATGAAGTTCAGCATTATAGCGACAATTGAGAAGAGTTTAATGGAATTCACTTCCACTCCATCTGTTTTTGTCACTAGAAATGTGACTGACATTGTGAACCTGAACTGGTAGCTTTCCCCAGTGGATTCCGATCTCTATGTATTGCCTCCCTTTTGTGATTTGATAATTCCTCTAAATGCAAGAAATGATATGTAGATATGTGATCGTCCTCCTATTGTTTCTTGAAATGCTGCAGAGCCAGCAGAAATATGGTTGCAGGCTTTTTGAGTCGTATAAAATAAGGGAGCTTTAGTTAATACACACAACATACGCATAGACTAACTACGTGAAATTGCATGCTTCTATAAACAATATAAAAATTATATTAACCACTTCTCACAGTCCTGGTTCCAGTCCTACAGATTGATCTAAATGGTCCAATCCATTGTTGTACACATCTATATACAATAGAGCCACACTGCTGTTAAAGCTCCAGTAAGAAACAGAAAGAGTGTCAATCTGCAACAAATCCTCCTTAACACCAACTTTCACCACGTCGTTGCTCCTGATTGACTTGCTCCAAAGAGAGAACACCGAGCACGGAGGCAGCGTTGCAAGAATAACTCCACCATTGCTATAAATTCAGTCAGTAGCTCTTAACCAACTCACTGCTAATGAGAAACAATCAGAGGGTTTACCCTCTGCATACATTTCAGTAATTGCTTTTTTATTTTTCCCTGAATCTGAACGAGATGTGCTTGTGATTGTGTGTCCATTCTTATTTCTGCGTACGCATCACAATTTATTACAGTGTGCAGAGCCGCGTCACACGAGCGTAGGAGGGACCCCCCCCCCCCGTAAAGAGGCGTAAAGACGGCATACGCAACACAGTAGACGGGCTGTGAAAGGTGTTGCTCTCGAGCTCCACCAACTGCAGCTCCGAATCTAACAGGGGAAAGACCTACAACATCCAGGCTCTGGAAATGTCTTTGATTCAATTGCATGCTACATTGATTCCTTGATCATTCTCAGATGAATGTGATGTTCTTGATTTCTCACTTAACAATTAAGATGTTAATTTGATGAGCCGGACCAGTAAAATGTTCCAGGCGGTTTTGTCACTGGAGCTGTGAAAAGTCAACACGAACGGTATGTTTGTGTGTTTTAAATCAAGCTGTAAAAAAAAAAAAAAAAGCTAATGAGACCCTTTGCAGCTCAGGTCAGTGCACAACAGCGTCCATCTCACTGGCCAGTGGGTTGAGGACAGCACCTGCGATTCTGGACAAATGCTGCATATGTGTATGCGTTTTTGTGTGTTTCTGCCTGCATGTATCGGGCGTTTTGAGGTTATTATTGCTCCTCTGGCCCGTAAACCAAACGCACCATCGTGTATCGTGCCTTTAGGTGCTTTGTGCTCTAATACAATTTCACGCTGTTGCACTGACCTGTGGTTTACTGCTTTGACCCACAAAATTCCTCCTCACTTTGTCCCTCCCAGCGAGGCCCAACCGGTGCATGAAAATACTACGGCAACGCAATGCGCCCTTTTTTTGAGTTCATTCACCGTTCAAAAAATGTAACCTCACAACTTTTTCCTTCTTTTTCTTCTTCTCTTTTTTTCCCGCTAGTGGTCGAAATGGAAAAATGCGCGTTGTCAGTTTCAAGATGGGATTGGTGAGCTTGTGCAATGCAGACGTCCAAGAGAAGTATAAATGTGAGTCTGATGCTTGCTCATGTGCCTAATGCGTCTCCTCAACTGCAAACAATGGGCCAAAACAAAACGGGCCTGATTGCCAGTGTTACATAAAGGCTTCTACTTAGTTTAATGGAGGAAATAGGTCCGCTGCTTTAAGAGGGGAAAGCTCTCTTTACTTCTGCAAAGTGCACCAGGGCCCTTAAAAGGATTGCTTCCCAAAGACACCATACGCGCTCACTCTCTTTTTATGGCCCCCTTTCCCATTTTTATACACAAATCAACGAGCGAAGAGAAGAAGCACATTTTGGATTTAATACCAGACTCGTTTCTTTCGGAAGTCATCACGTAAATATAGGTAAAAATGGAAAGTGAGCATTTTAACTGATGCTGGCTGGAGCTGGAACAGCTTGCAGTTAATACAAGATCAGAGACAACGCTGCCAAAACTCATGCAAAGATTATTCAAGCCTTGCACACCATCTGTGTCAGCTCTCATGGACAGAAATGACAGATTTTCCTTCAAATGAGTAGTCCCTGAGGTGAGCCAGCCCTCGTTTTCTTGGTCCAGGTAGACGTGTTGTGGCCTTAAAACAGTTTGTCATTTCCCCCGACTGCTCCTGTGTTTGCCAACTCCAGACGTCACTGGAATAATATTTGCAAATAAATCTGCAGCATTTGCATCAATCCACTTTGAGGTACAGATGGTGGGTGTTTATTTTGTCTTCGCCAATCTTTGTTTTGTGATTGAAAAAGGAATATTTGATGGACTTTGTCGTACTCCACACGAGCATCATTTTGCAGAACTCTGTGCTTACTGCATTCACACCCAGTTTGACAAAGGCGCTGCTTGCTGCTCCGTCACTGGCTTCTGCCTCCAATTTTGTGATGAGAAAAACACGGCGGCCATCTGAAACGCTTTTTTTAAAGAAAAGATTCCATACAGTTGCCGGGGGCATCATTTATAATTTCTCACGGTCCTATGGGTCCTCATTATGAGAGATGGACTCTTTTACCTGCAAATTTGAGGTCGTAGGTTTCAAGGATTATATCATCAGTGGGCTGTAAACTGTAGGTGGATGAATTAACATATAAGCAACATGTATTTGACTTGAAAAGCCATAGGTGAAAATATAATATGTAAAATAATTTTTCGGATGTAATAGACCTCATTTACTGCCTACTGTCCTATGGGTCCTCATTATGAGAGATGGACTCTTTTACCTGCAAATTTGAGGTCGTAGGTTTCAAGGATTATATCATCAGTGGGCTGTAAACTGTAGGTGGATGAATTAACATATAAGCAACATGTATTTGACTTGAAAAGCCATAGGTGAAAATATAATATGTAAAATAATTTTTCGGATGTAATAGACCTCATTTACTGCCTACTGTCCTATGGGTCCTCATTATGAGAGATGGACTCTTTTACCTGCAAATTTGAGGTCGTAGGTTTCAAGGATTATATCATCAGTGGGCTGTAAACTGTAGGTGGATGAATTAACATATAAGCAACATGTATTTGACTTGAAAAGCCATAGGTGAAAATATAATATGTAAAATAATTTTTCGGATGTAATAGACCTCATTTACTGCCGCAACGTCTCCATAAATGTGTCCGAAACTCATCTCTATCAAACAGCTCAATGCGAACATTTAAAATGTCAAACAGGTCTCAGCTCTGTTTACGAGAACTATAAATAGGATGCTGTTTAACACGCGGGTGTTAAAGCCAAGCGTTGTCCCTGTAGGGTTGAATAAGTGCACAGAGAGGGGGGGATATATGGGACGCTGCATGTCGGCATTGTGCAGCAGCCTCACACGCCTGTCAGCCTTCATCTCCTCAGTGACAGGAGAGTCCCGGCCAGCTTGGTAAAGGTCTTATTCAAAACCTGACAAGACTCCACTTAATGCAGCTCCTTCATCTGCAAGCAGACCAGCAGCCAGGACATTAACAATTATTCTGTCTGTGATCATTAGTGAGGTTTACCCAAATAAATAGGTTTGGTAAACCTGTTGCCGAAGGTCGAGGTTCATTGTTAAAAAAAATGTGTAAAGGAAAGCAGATGCGTCATTTTCGTTTTTATGTTACATTTTTTTAAGTTAAGCCATTATTTTGCAGACAAAGTGCCAAATATTTTAAAACGTGAATGCATGCCATGCCATGTCTTGCCATTAAAGACCTAATTTGCATTTTAAAAAGCAGAGAACATGCTGCAACAACTGTCCCTAAATACGCAGATGTGAATGCGTAAAAGAAGTGTACGCCGATGTGAGGGCCCTAATTAAGGCCGCCACGCACTGGGTCGTTTGTGCATGTTTGATGCATTCCTTCATGTATTCCGCGTACGTTCCCGCGGCTGCAGATCTATTCCGTCAGGTGTCCGGCCCCGGAGGTTCGACTGACCAGCGGAACCTCAGCCTGCTGCTCCACGAAGCCATCCAGATCCCCCGACAGTTGGGTGAAGTCGCCGCATTCGGGGGCAGCAACGTCGAGCCCAGCGTCCGCAGCTGCTTCCGCGTGGTGAGGACGCACTTAAACACACTCGCAGATGCTGAGCACAACTGTGTTACTGTTGTAACACTTGACGATGCTTCTTTCAGTCCTTGAATCAATCGCTTGATTGCTCCAACAAGTATTTCCAAGGTTGACCTTCAAATCCCCACGTTGCCGTGCTGTGTGCTGCGGAAAAAAGGCTAATCTATTAACCACTCTGTACGAAAATAATGACCTCCCTGAGTTCTAGGGCGCAATTACAAATACAAAAACATGTTTCATGAAGTCAGAAACAAATGGAGTGGCAAACATTCGCCACAGCAGAGTCCGACTTATAACTTATATTAAGTTATAATTATTTTACTTTCACAGACATTTCTTTACATTAATATTTCATTGCTTTTAATGTATATAAAATTAAGTTCGAGGTAGACAATCTATGATGTTTCCAACCGTACAGTTAGTTGAGAAAGTTGCATATGGAATATGATTTAGTGAAATGTTGTTGCGAGGTCACTGAGTCAAAGCATGAATATTTTTCTATCTCTCCTCCTTTGCGTGTTCTTCACATATTAAGAGTAATGTTTGGTGCAGGTTGCAGGAATTTTAGCGTGATATTTAGGGAGTTGACAGGAGCAGTCCAACTCTTTTTTTAGAAGGTACAATCCTTTTAATTCCTTCATTTCTTCGGCAGATCATTATTATTCAAATCACATTCTGGTCCACGCTCGCCGCCGTATCAGCTACACCTGCTTAAGATTCTTTCCCCCTGAGCTCACGGCATTTAGTTGAAGATGAAATCTGCGTATTGGGGCTTTCCCGTTCCTCACTTGGCTTTCAGACGAGCTCGTTTGTCTGTTGAGGTGTTGCTGGCGCCTCTTGTGGACGTTAACTTTTGGACTCCGCTGGCGAAGGAGCCGATGGATTGACTTGGGACAGAGAGTATGCAGCAGTTATAGAGAGCAATGGGATTGCATGTGCAGAGGTGTGGTCAAACTCAACATGGGAAGTGAACTATGACTATTTATTTTATACTTTACGAGAAGGATGGCATGTCGCTTAGTGGGTACACGGGGTTCAAAGCAGCAGAGTTTTGGTGGATGTTCATCACTTTACTTTTGCAAGGATGTCTAAAGCGTCCCATCTGCTCGGCGAGCTGCTTGGAGATGCCGCGCGTGCTCAGCATGTAGCCAGCGCTAGTTCCAGGTGTTCGGCATGCGAGCAGCTGCTGTTCGACCTCCCACATGAGGCTGGCTACTTTACTACCAAAGAGGAGCTCCTTCATCCCCGAGAGACTCCGTGCCTCCGTACCCCTCAGAGTCCGCGTGATCAGTGCACTCACACACACACACACACACATTTATTATGCTGCTCTGCTTGAGCAGTGGAGGAAGCCCCTTAATGCATCTCTGATGCAGACTTAATGAGAATTTAGCACTTCACGGATTTCGGTGCTTGGCGAGTCATTCTTTTATTAGGTTGACTTCCTATTTTGGGAATTATCAGCGAGGAGAGCTGGACTGCATGCAGACCAACAAACACATGCACACACAGTATATATACGATCCACAGACACAAAAGTTATGTGCTGTGTTTCAGCTTTACTTTTGTTTAAGTAGTCGCATGAAAGCTAAATACGTTTTTAATCTTCCAGCGTCTCGTTCCTCCTCCCGTCTTTTGCATTCTCTTTGATTTCCTGTGGCTCAGTGCTGGACGCTTTAGAAAGAAGGCCCGCCTTGTTCTCTCACATTTTCGTGTACCTTCCCTACTGTTGGTCTATATTTGGATTGTTTACAGTCTCCCTCCCACCTTCCTTTTTTCAGGCCCCGGGGAAACCTGCCATTGAGGTGTCTCACTTCCTGGAGTGGATGAGCCTGGAGCCCCAGTCGATGGTTTGGCTGCCCGTCCTCCACCGCGTGGCCGCTGCAGAGTCGACCAAGCACCAGGCCAAATGCTACGTCTGCAAACAGTGTCCCATCAAGGGCTTCAGGTGGGCTTCAACGTCGTACTGGCCACGGTGGGCTTTCTCACCAAAAAGAAAAGAACAAAGAATATAAATGTGAAATATATGCACGTAGATCCCCCCAAACAAATTAGGTGGAAGGTTATCATAGCGTTATACTTAGAAATAACAGTACAGTACAAGAAATTACTAGTAATTTGAATTAATTCAGATACGTGGGGACATTGTGACAATCAAAAGTTAATCCTAATAGTGGCAGATGGTGTCGCTGCTCACTAGATAAAAACTTGTTGCTGGAATTAAGATGAATTTAAGATAAGATCAAGCATCATGATTGACGCTCCGTGACAGAAAACTCTCCTTAAAAAATATATATTGCAACAATTGTGCAACGTGTACAGATGATGTTCCTCACCAGGTTAGTTTGCTGTACCTGCCTGTCGCAGACGGATGTGTGAAAAAGCATACAGGCATCATGCACCGGCCCTTAATTCTTTGCACACACGCACAACGCAACGCCCTATCCTGCAAAGTTGTCTTGCATCCGTTTAGCCTCTCTGTTGTATTGGTCTCGACAGGTATCGCAGCTTGAAGCAGTTCAACGTGGACATCTGCCAGACATGTTTTCTAACCGGCCGCACTACAAAGGGAAAGAAGCTGCACTACCCCATCATGGAGTACTACACACCAGTAAGAGGAACACGATCTACGGAATCCAAGTCCAAGCCTCCAGGGACAAATTACACTCCGCTGTGCTCCAAAAAAAATCCTATCTCCAGATTCCTGCTGCCTGAGCTAGATTAGCCCCGTTTCCAGCGTAAAGTCTTTAAATGTACACCGTCGGGGATGCTTATACTGGCTCATCCCAGTATGCAGAGATTGACTGCCACTCAACAAGAGCATCCTTTTCGCCTCACGTAGTACGCACATAAAGTGCTGTTCCGAGTGCAAAGTAGAGTAAATTCCAAAGGAAAAGCTTTGAGTGCTGCAGAGTCGCCTGAATGTAAATGTCGAGATAGAGAGGACGAATTTCAGATGAGGTCATTTTGAAGAAAGCAACATGTCTAAGAAGTCTCTTAAGCGGTGTAATTAGTGGCCAACCTTCCTAACAATGCCACCTCTCCACCCTCCTCCTCCTCCCCTTAAATCACAACTCCAGACCACCTCAGGAGAGAAGATGAGGGACTTTGCCAAGACTCTGAAGAATAAGTTCAGGTCAAAGCAGTACTTCACCAAGCACCCGCAGAGAGGTTACCTGCCGGTGCAATCTGTGCTGGAAGCCGAGAGCTCGGAGACGTGAGTCCCACACGATCACGAGACACACAAACACAGACGTCTCTCTCTGTAGTCAACTATCTGATCGCGCTCTCCCGTTCAAACACGTGGGAGGGGGGTTTTGGCAATTTTTTTATTTTCGGGGGCATTATTTCTTGCTTAGATGAGTGGTAGGGTTCAGGATTAATATAATATTATTCCTGTGATCTCAGTCTGGCTCAGGTACTCTGCTCACACAAGCGAGTCTCACCCGAAGGGGAAAAAATCCGAGACAAAACGAGACAAAAATCCATGAGATCATCAAGAATCATAGCCGAGGGCTACGACAGTACCCAGCGAGATTTAGCATTATTACGGGTCCATATTTTTGGCCCATTTAGTCACAGTAAGGTCAGCTTTTATAACCTCATAAAATGATTACATGACTCCAGTGGTTGGAGCCAAGTAAACGTGTTATATTTTAGATTACTGTAAAATTATTACTGTTGCTTTGATGTATAAGCAGCATTTTAAGTGTTACGGCTGGTTGTAATATAGTGGATATAAACTTTTTCTACCCTTTGTGGGGTAGTTTTAGCCAGAAGACACCCTTCAAAGGACTTTTAAGATAAATCTGAAAGTTATGTTTGGAACAAAATAGGGAATAAGAAACAAGACCTCATTTTTGCTGCTGATTGTTTATATCCCCATAAGCAACTTTGGATGTGAGACTGGGTTTTGTGGCCAGTTTGAAAAATCATTTTAACCGAAAAGCTTTGAGACGATTGCCGATGGTTCCACAATCGCATATATAGTGTCTACCAGTATTCAGCCAAAGCATGCTGGAACGTCACTGATCACCACTTATTGGTCATAGTTTCCTTCTCGCCAATGCCACACGTCCACAGTATGAAAATATAAACATCATAGAAACCATCAAAACAAACAAGGTGAATTCCTTTCTTTATGTAGTATAAAGCTCTGTATAAAGAGCCGTTTTCTATCAATATTCTTGGTGTGATTAATCATCCTGTGTTCTCCACTGTTGGTGTTATTGGTGTTCATGTATGCTTCCGATCTTATAGAAATATACAAACTGTGGTAAAGAGTCATGGAAAGTTATTGCATGACTATGAAGCATCACAAGCCAACGGTGTAGGAACCCGTGGTTTAATCAACATAAATCACATTGTTCACGAGTAAAACTCTCTAGGCAGGAAGTTACACGTGTAAATCAAGTGTTTTTCAATAATGCATCATGCAGACTTTGAGCTTCTGTTGTTTCCAGGCCGTGCTCCTCACCCAAGCTGCCTCACGCGGACACACACAGCAGGATTGAACATTATGCCAGCAGGTACGTGGCCCCACCGTGCTGCCCATCGAATCACCGCCTCACTCTGCTCTCTCCAGATCAACTGTTTCTTTTCTTCTTATCCACTCCGCGCCCGCTTCTGCCTTCCTCCCCATCCTCTCCCTCGCCTCTCCTCTCCGCTCTGTGGTCTTTGCCACACACTGATTGAAGTATTGATTTGGCCACATTGAACTGCAGGGTAGAGACTGTACTGCCCGACAGTCCCCCCTAAGCCCCTCCCCCCCCCCCCCCGCGCTCACCCTCCACGTGAACACGCATAAGCACAGCAGAATGTAGGTGCGTCCGTGTGTGTGTGTGTGTGTGTGTGTGTGTGTGTGTGTGTGGAGGTCGGAGGGGGTATATCGTGCCTAGCGGCTTGTCACTTGCCAGGGCAGCGGTCACCTGGGAGCTGTTGGTGCGGATTAGTGTCGGTGTGACAGGTTATAAACAGGGGCACCGCACTGCACTCTCCCACAGCGCTGCAGAGCTGGATATGCGCACATTTCCTCTGAGCCTGAAGTGTGTGTGTGTGTGTGTGTGTGTGTGTGTGTGTGTGTGTGTGTGTGTGTGTGTGTGTTGTGAGCCATTGTGTATTACTTCCCTGAGACTTGTACACAGCACTGCTATACTCACTGCCAAAACACAGGGAACAGACAGCAGCAACAGAGCAGGAGAAATTGTCCTCTCTACCCCTCTCATCACTCCCGCTTTTCTTTCTCCTCTTTCCCGTTTGCCTTATTTATTTTGGATCCACCTCTTTTATTGTCTCCCACCCACACATGTATGTCTCTCTCTCTCTCTCTCTCTCTTTTACATTTCATGTTGTTCTTCTAATCCTCCTCCTTCTTCTTCTCCTTTCTTCTTCTCCATCTTCAATTGTTTTGAAGTCATTTTGGTCACATAAATCCAGCCTCCACCAAAATAAAACCAAAGAAGAAGAAACGGAAACGGTGGGATTTAGTCAAAAGGAGACACGTTGTCTGTTGAGAAAACAGAAGAACAACAGCTCCTACAGCTAAATGTATCTCTGAATGAATCAGCGAGGGTCTTTATTCTATGATCATAGGGCTTTGCATTCAGATTGTGTCTTAAAACACTCGTTATAAACTGCCCACAACACACTGTAAGTGTAACTGTGAGCAGATGTAAGAAGGGGTTGGGATGTATTTATTTGTTTACAAGCTACTGCTCATGTGAAGCATCTTTTACTAGCGTAGGAATAGATGATACATGTTATCTAATGTAACATTGTTGTATTCTCATATCATCATGTTTTTTGAGCACATTTACGGTACAGTTTGAAATGCCGAGCCTCAAGCCCATTCTTTACAACTATGCATGTTTTAAATGTGTCGTGCACACAGTGATAACAGCTGGTCACTGATGCTCAAGCAAATGTTACTCAAACAGAAGTAAATTGTGACTTTGTTTGGGACTGTTTTCAGGCACCAATCCGGTGCACGTAGTAGCTTTGGCAGTTGGATTAACTTCAAATGATGAAGGAACACGTGCGGCTCAATGACGTGTTTTCAATAAAAATGGCACACAACTATGACTTCTTAGGTTTATATTTATAGTATTATTGTGAGTGAAAGGATGAACAAGAGGCATTTGTGCGTTTTAATGCATTTGCCGTGTATATTGCTCTCTGTTTTTATGCAAGAGAATAGAGGGAAAATGTTTTTGTGTTCGCCATCCGTCCGGTCCATTCTTGTAAACATGATACCTCTCAAAGGCCCAAAAGGAATTCCTTTAAATTTCCCCCGAAATGTCTGTTTGGAGTGAAGAATGAAATTAATGAATTTAGTGGTTAAATGTCATTACGACATTGCTGAGCACATTTTTAACCGTATGTTTTCAATCAAATAAAATGGGGAATTGGTGACGTTTGGCTCATGGATTTAAAGTGGAGGCCTACAACCCGCCAGGCAACAATTCTAGTTGTTATCTTTTCAGTGGGTAGTTCATTAAATTGCTTTCATCCTGCGGGCCAAAAAGACATTACACTGGCTTAAAACCAGTGCTGAATGAGTTTGTCCTGCTCGTCCCATCATGATCGGAGCATAAGAGCCGACGGAGAAATCTGTCATTCTAATTCCTTCCCCGTCTTAACCATCCGCTCACTTTGAAACCCAACGGGAATTAATCAAAACTGTCAGAGTCAGAGACATTCTTCCCCTTCTGATGACATATTAAAAAGGTATGCGTAGAAGTCTGTGGGCGGGCGTGTGAGGGAGTAAGTGCCAGAAAGCCCTTCAGCCAACAAAGGGTGTACGAGTTAATCCATGTTAATAACGTAAGTCCCCAGTCGTCCCAAGGGAGGTACGATATTTGATGTCTGGGGTTAGAAAAGCCAGATTTGCAGACGTGTCAAACACTGAGAGACTGCTTCTGTATCCGCCTCGTCTCTCTCGCTGTGTCTCGCAGCCCTCCTCCCATGTCGAGTTCATTCCTTTCATCAGCGCTGCTTTGACATCTTCTGGTGGATAGATGGGAGGAAGATTCTGATAAACCTCTTAGATCTGTTAGAATGTCTCCTCTCTTACCCTCGCTCTCTCTCTATATATACCTCGCTCTCCCGTTTCTCATTTCCTCTCCCATCCATTCATGCAGGAAGCTAAACACGCATGTATGCACACGGCACCCGCAGACACGCGCCCGTGCTGCTACTTCCTATTACTTTCACGCGCTCTCATACGGTGCCTTTCTAAGGCTTCAGGTTTGTGGAGGCTTTCCGATGAACAGTATCCCGGGTTGAATTACGAGCGATCCAAGAGGCCGGACCCCCGCCCCGAATAGAGGACATGGATAAATCTTAAAAGTCTCTATTTTATGGTGTCATCAGACTCTGGAGAGAGACAGGATGTGATGTGGAGACCCCTGACAGCCTCTAAATCACTCACCCCTCCTTCTTCCGCCCTTCAGCTGACGACACACTACGAAAGACGATGCGGCGTGTGTTGTCTGTATGCGTGTACTGTGTACTGTAGAATACTGCAGCGCTTCATCGCCGCTTTCACGTAGCACACGTGGGCTTGTATTTATGTATGTGCGGACGCGGGGCAAACCACATTTGCATCGTGGCTTTGATTCTCTGCGCTGTTTAATTACCTCACTGGAAGGAGAAACCCACCCTTTGATCGCCCGACACCATTACACATCATTAGCGTGTGCTATTCAGAGGAACTGACTGTGTGGCGTACTCACTTCCATTCAACCTGGATCTTCTTCAGATCGCATCTTCCTGCGTGGCTTTCTCAGAGGGTGTCAGGTAATGGGTAGCATGGCGTCTTGAGGTGTGCACAGTAAATGCGGGGAGGCGGTTCAAGGGTTTTTTCAGAGGAAGAGAGGGTGTAGTGTTAGTACACAGTTACTGATACATGCTTTTACAATGTATCACTGGTGACACAAATGCATACACATAGGAAAACCCTATTGATATTTGTTGTAATAATATTTTTCCTATGTATTAAAGCCAGGACACACCAAACGAATGCAGCCAAGTGAGGTTCAAACCACTCAAATTTCAACTTTAGTGCCAAATACAGTTTCACACTTTAAGTGTCACAGGATGTGGTGGCAGACCTAAATTCAAGTGAGTTAAAAAGCTGGTGTACATTCTAGAAATATATTCTTAACGAGAATAACGACCTGGCGGAGAGTGGATGTATCCAGTCTAAATATTGTGTTTATCTCATTCATCCCTCTCTTTAATTGAGGAAATAGGTGTAATATATGTGAAGTGCTTTAAAATGTTCCTCATTGACACACACCCACACACCACAGCAGGCGCCGGCCTCGCCACTGGGAGCAATCGGAGTTCAGCGTCTCCAATGTGTTTTTTAATTCAATCAAACCTGAAACAATGAAAGCAACACTAGTTTTGTTCTCGCAGTGAAACAGCTGTCGTGATGCAGAGCTACGCACGCTGTCCTTGGTCCTGAAAAGACAGGCGGCGGCGACTCACGCGCACCAGCACTCGCTGTCCGCGGTGCTGCAGAGCCGCACATTGTTTACCTTTTCATGGCTGACAGAGGGAGCACCAGCTCTGCCTCCCTGCAGTCCTGTCAGTAGAATGTTTTAGACAGTTGAAGCACTAAAAGGCTACTGGTTTAATTCAGAGTACTTGAAAGCTAAACTGCACTGATTGTTTGTTTTATCCGGTGTTCAAAGAAGCGTATCTCCCCAGTTGTTGAGGTTATCAATCTGTTTTTTGCTTTTCTCTGACTCATCCACTCTCTTGTATTTCCCTTTTGTCTGTCTGTCTGTTTACATGTGTGTGCGTGTAAATGTGTGCGTCACTTGTGTGTGTGTGTGTGTGTGTTTGTATGTGTTCATACGTCCTTAGATTGGCTGAAATGGAGAGCCAGAATTGTTCGTTCTTCACGGATAGCCTGTCTCCTGATGAAAGTCTGTGAGTATGCTGCTCACTCCCCCCTCATTACAACCACGGCCCCTCATTAGGAACCAATCAGCGTGTTTGCACGCGTGTGTGTTTGACGACGACGCAGAGAATCGGTAACACGACAGAAATACTAAGGCACATAATGAAAATGAACCGCGGCGAGCAGCGGGCGCACAGTCCCCCTTCATCATGCACATGCCTGCTGTGATTAAAGTCTGCGGCTCCGGGTTGATACACAAAGCCCCGCTGAGGAGGGAGAGGCGGGTGCGTGAGTTAGTAGGAGGCATGCTGAGTATCGGGGCGGTGCCGAGGTGAAAGTAGTGAGACGAACGGACGTGTTTGATGTGAACGAGTTGGCCAAAAAGGTGAGTCGTCGTTTTGGAAAGTGGTTGCACAAAAGCGTGATGGTTGGTTTGTGTGTGTTGACCGCACTGTAAAGTGAAGCTTACATCACAGCAGCTCTGTGCAGAGTGTTGGTAGTTACGGTCTTTTACGGAAACAAGCGAGTTTCTGTGTGTGTGTGTGTGAACTGTGGATTGACGCCACACTAAAGTTTGAGCCTTAGATAAAATTCCACCACTTCAAAGCAGTGCAGCACTACTTTGGTGCAGTGCTTTTTACTCGTGGAAAGGTGCCGTGGTTGCCATGTGCATGTAGTGAGTGTTGCATGGGTGGAGCTTGGCCACACAAATGTCTGTATTTGCATGTGGGTAGCATTTAAACGTATGTGTCCATGAATCAACGCCTGAGAGTGTCTCCTGCTCCCGCGCCAGTATGTCACGTTGTTCTTAATCTGCAAATCCGTCCTCCTGCCCGTCAGTGTCTCTCTGTGGTTCCTGCTGCACGGCTCTGAACATGCCGCTGTGCTATCTGGGCCTCCAGCTGGTGTTTGGCAGGCATCATACTGTTTTCTGTCCTGGGTCATGCTGCCCGTGTGTGTAGCCATCACCCTCCACCTGTGTGCCTTGTTGTGAATTCACTTATTTGCCTATTTCTGGGTAATGGTCACGGAAATTACCCTTTGATAAATATATATATCGAAAAGGCCTTCAGTCATTGATAAGTGGGTCCAAAATATGAATGTATTATTATTTGTTATTCCTTTAGGAAACCTACTTCAGTGATTTAAAACCAACTGTGGTGAAATATATAGCGAGGCGTAAAGCAATGTGCGTAAGTGGAGACAGTAATTACAAGAGTTAGAAAGATACCAACAAATAACTGCATGACCTGGAAAGTTAAATAATTAGATAAACATTTGGAAGAAAATTAAATCCAATCTTTTCTGAGGAATACCTATGACATGAAATGCTGAGATTCCCAGATATGGTGGACATATTGACAGTGGAGCGTTAAATAGGCCTATAAATACCTCTGTGATGCATAATTATAACAATAATACAACAATTTGCCTCATTGCCCAAATCATAACAAATAAATTATAAGGAAATATTATTTCCAATAAAATTTTGTTTGTCCATCTTTTATTTTCAATAACTTTTTTAACGTTGCGTTGAGCTTTTCATCGTCACACCGTGAACCTGGAATAAAACGCCTCCGTCAGTGTCCCATCCAACTCCGTCCAGACTCGTTTGATCGCGTCTCCCCCCTGTAATACCTTCCCTCATGCTGCACGCCTCGCCTCGCTCCGTCTGCCCCCCCCCCCCCCCCACTGCCGTCCTTGGCTCTGCTTTGCGCTGCTGGGGGGTCAGTGTGCTGTCCTCCGTGTGGGGGACTCAGGGATGAAGATCAGTACCTCCTGCGTCACTCCAGCCCAGCCCTGGATCATGACTCGCCGTGCGGACAGCACATGCTGCTGGCCAACCTGGAGCACCAGGACAAGGAGCAGCTGCAGTGCACCCTGGCCCACTTGGAGAACGAGAACAGGTCGGTGGAAAAAAAACCCCGGGGAAAAAAAACACAAAAATAACGTGCTTCAGAACATGCCGCCGCCGCGCAGGTTCCTTTCTTGATCGGTTCAGCTGGCGAAGTCAATACCGTGCGTGCTTGTTTTCACACCCACAATAAATGCTAAATTAGATTGATTACACATCATCTGACATCATCTTTACGAAATGCATTACATTTGGTTATAGATTTGAATGACATTTAGATCAAGGCTTTTTCATAAGGCTCTAAGCCGAGTTATTTTAATCAGTAAAGCTCCAGAGGCACAATAAAACAAACATGCTTATGTGCACCCGGAGGCACTGCAGTACTTCCCGCTTGACGTTCTGTAAAATAATGTGTTGATAACATGGACACACAAGACTTTGACTTTAAGGTTGTTGGTGTCCTGCAGAAGAGGACAGGAGAAGTCCATTGTGTATTGACTCGTGTGATAGAAGCAACTCCCCGAGAGCTAAATACAGACGTAAATGCCTGAACTTGAATGTATTGTGTCCTGGTTGTTAAAAGTATTTTCCATAAATGGAGCAAATTCGTTGGTAAATTGGGTACCAGAGGGAACCTTGATGATTCAAATGAATAATCTTCTCGTCTTCAAATTGGTTGTGACCTTTCCGCGCACACGCACAGCGACCTCCAGCCTACGCACACACAAACACTTGTGCCCTTTGGGTGTCTGAAACCTTGACCCAGCTCAGTAATGAGCCCGCGGTGTGCTCTGTTGTCCCTATTTCTAACTTTAGTGGCTTCTGTAGCTTAGTTTATAGCAGCCGCTGTGGCTCTCGTGTGGATCATATCTATTAAAAAAAATACACCCGTACGAGAAACAAACACCTTTATCACTGACTTTCCACCTTCTTTTCTGAACTAAAAGTATACAATTAACTTTGTTTTATTAGCTTATAACTTTTACTAGGGAATACTAGTTCAATGCCTTACTTTCTATTGAGTTCCAAACAGGTCAGAAGAAACGAATTCAGAGGAGAAAGAATATGTTTGTATTTGTATGTGTATGTGTAGGAGATGGAAGACAAGATGTATTGCAGCTTACACACAAAATGAAGATGATTACTGTGTGCCCCAATGTCAACATCAGGTGATCCCCGTGGTGGATAAATACCTGCGGTTTTGTTTACGTGTTCTGCATGCTGCACCAGCCTCTGAGCCTGACGGTTTCCCCTCCATCTGTCCTCCACTGTGGGTCCTCAGGGTGCTGCAGAGCGAGTACAGGAGGCTCAAGTGGAAGCACGAGGAGGCGGCGGCGGTTCCCATGCTGACCGAGGCTGGAGAGGGCGGCCCGGGGTCTCCGGCGGAGGGAGGGCAGCAGGACGAGGAGCTCCTGGCCGAGGCACGGGTCCTCCGGCAGCACAAGACGCGTCTGGAGACCCGCATGGGGATCCTGGAGGACCACAACAAACAGCTGGAGTCCCAGCTTTGTAGGCTCAGGGAGCTACTGCTACAGGTAGAGGTGGGGGAGGGTGTGGGGTGTCACAGGGAGAGTTATACAAATGCGGTATTTAAGTACAGGTTTATTTTACTTGCAGTGGGTATACGTTGCAATACGTTTTAGAAGGAAGCGTTTTTTTCTCCACTGTAATGATTTCACAGATGTTATTACTTTGTAGAACACCAGCCTCAAAATGACAACGGTCAACCTCATCATCAGTAAATATTCCTGTTATGTTGATGATGGTCTATGTTGATGGGAACTGGTTCTTAGGCTTCTTTCCCAGTCCGCTGAAAGCTGGTTCAGTCACAATGTACATCACTCCAGGCATTCTGTATTGAGAACCATTATATATTTAAATATATTTTGCTGTTACTTATCTACTTTTAGTGAACCCTTTTATTGGGCATGGGTTGTAAAATATGAAATATAGGTCAATAATAGTAAATATACAACAAAGGATACCACATGTAAAAGAAAGCCTCAACTTTAAATGAGCAAAAGGCTGATGGAAAACATCAAGGTTATTTTTAGGTATGATTCTAACTTCCCAGGAACCAATAGTGGGAGAAGTGGCAGCTTTATCTGAGCAGCTTAAAGCATCTGGGTGTTTTTTTTCCCACAAACTGGATCCCTTCTAATCTTGCTCTTCTGTCTCTCCAGCACTAGCAAACCCTATTTAATAAAGCTGTAATCCAATCCTTATATATCAGATTTAATGTAATTTATACATTCCTTATTGCCAATGATTTAAAGATTTTACTGCTTGCTTTAAAATCCTTGCATGGTTACACAGCTGCCTATATCTTTGACCTCCTGTTTCCCTTCGATCCTGATCTCTGCTTAAGATCCTCTGGTATTCTTCTACTATTGGTAACTAACTCAATGTCCACCTGTAACTAAAGGCGACTCGGCCTCTGCTGTCCAAACGTGGATCCTAACGCGTGCACCATTAACAGCATCTGCTCTGATGAGGCGTTTGCATCAGCTATATTTTTAACTGCACTGAAGGGCCGACACAGACAGTCCATTGCTCCTGAACATTTGCATGCATCACAGTTTGTACATCCAGTGCTTCGTGTAAGTTCAGTGCAATGTATAAAAAGGGAAATAAGACATGTGGAAAAAACAGACAATGCTGCTCTGAAAATGTAAATTGTGAACTTTGACAGTATTCTATTGCAAGATATGAATACCAGTGGGGATACAGAAAGTGCAGTATAGAAAGAGAATAGGCCTGGAGACACACACACAGGGGTTTACTGCAGTCTAAAGGAAAGGTGTGAGAGTGCGATAGATAGCAAAGTCGGAGCTGACGCACACAACAAGAAAATGTAAATTGTTAGACGCGGGAGTTCAGATGTAAATTGTGTCACTGAATAAAGAGTGAGCGAAGGGACTGACGAGGGAGAAAGACACTTAAAAAAAAGGTGCTGGATGCTTCTCCTTCACATTAGGGACTTGGAAAGTAGAGGTGGGGGAGGATGTACAGTACAAGGACACATTCATAGGTAAAAGAAAAGTTCTCCCAGGACAATATCACACTTTCATTTCCTCAAAAAAAACAACAGTAAATCCTGCCTTTGTAGTCTGTGTTAGTTTATGTATGAATTCCTCTCAATCTCTGCAGACACCCCAATTTTACTGCAACTACTGAATTTTCTGAATACTCACCTCCGAGTATTACCACAGTGTTGCTGGCGCATTTGTGATATTTCGGAATAACCTGAGTTACATTATACATCTTAGTGATTTGAGACTTTCCACCACATATTTCTGTAATTGTGCCCTGAAATTCCCTCTCTTTTTAAGTCTATTAGAGCACAAATCACAATGACCTGTCGATCATTTTTCATAATTCTCCTCGGGGATACCAGCGGGCAGCCGTGAACTATAAATGATATCCTGAAAGTCAATTTGTCTCTGCAGCTTAAAACATGATGGATATGAGCAAACATTGGGCTTGAATATTAACGAGTGTTTCCTAAAAACAGCCCAAAGATGACTCGGAAGCCAACGGATCAGAGCCATCAACCCTGTCTTCTCCCGTCTCCGGAGGCGGTCGTCACGGCGAGCCGGCCAGCAGAGAGACGACTGACACCGAAGCAGCAGGTCAGAGACGTGCAGCCGAGGGCTGAACGTGGGCTTCCCCTCCCGTTCCCCTTCCTAACCACTCATAGAGGTGCAAACTTCTGTGTGTGTGTGTGTGTATGTGTCAGGAGACGATATCGAACGCGAACAAGATACGGTGCTGCAGCTCCAGGAAGTCATCGAGCAGCTGAGAAACGTCTTCCCTTCGGAACCGGGTGAGTCCTGCAGGAGGCCGAGCACCCCGTCCTTCGGGGGACAGACTCTTTACACCCGCGGGAGAGATAGAGAGGAGGGGGAATGTGTGCTGCTGTGGGTTGATGGGGGTGAGAGGGTGAGGGGGGGGGGGTGGCACTGTCACACACTGTGCAATCCGTCCCGTCAGATTTAAAACACAATTTGCTGGGCAGTCCGAAGCCTTTAGCTTGAACAAAGAAAGGGATTATTGTAATTACGGCGTCCTCCGTTAGAACCAACGACAGTCAGTCTTGTGCATGCATCCCTAAAATTGTAAAGGCTTTTTAATCTTATTTTTTCCCCCTCTCTCTGTCTTCTTCTTCTACTTTCCTAATTTCAGGCACCACCTCACACATCTAACCCCCGAGTGGGGCCTGGAGTGAAAGCCTGAAAGGAAGCCCGATGGCGGCGGGAGGAGCTCCACGCGCCGGAGGTCGGGCCAGAGTAACAGCAGGCACGGCGACCGCTGCGAGCAGCTATGACACCCCCGAGCTAACCCTCTACTGGAATCTGTGCACTAAAAGCCTTTTTTCGTGGCTCACTGGCTCGGCCAGTGCTGCGCTTCGTCACTTCGCGCCGCGTGCTGAGGAGCCAGAGGAACGTTTAGCAGCAGGTCAGGGGAGAGGCCGAAGCGGGAAGGAAACATGCCCAGCCAAGACACTGTGCTTACCAGTACCTGTGTAGTTATTAGAAGGTGTGAAGCTTTATTTGTCCACAGCACAAATTGGACGTTCCTTAGGGAGAACTTTTAAGAGAAATAGGGAAAAAAAAGGAATGGGAAGAATACCCCCCTCCCCATCCCTCCCTTGTTTTGTCAGAATGCCTGTATTGTCAGTGTTTATTTTCTCCTTGAATGTGTCATCATGGTTGTTCATTTTGAAGGGAGGTCAAAGCGCGCTAAAGTGAGCCAGATCAGGCGGCGGGCCGACTTTAATTCACGCGGCTGCGGGGTGCATATTGTCAGGGAGTTGACAACACCCACAACAAGCTTATTTACTTTGTGAGAGAGACGCATCGTCTGTTTAAAAACATGATTTATTTAAGACAGCCAAAGTGCCCGCTAGCGTAGCGCCTCCGTACGCACACACTGTGTTCCTCTAATCCTTTCAGACTGCTCGTCGCTCTCATTGCTCCCCTCTTCTGTGAGTGAGCCCTTTACGCTCACAAAGAGCCACTTGCACTCGTGTCCTTCCACACACACACACACACCGTATGCTGCTACATTCACACTATTCTCACTATTTACGATGCTCCCTTTCTTCATTGGGCGCAAACGGCTCATCGCATGATCGACAACACCCCCCGTGCTGCGTCACTGACAAATGCCGACGCGTTTGTCCGTTTCGTGCCAATTCATGTGGTGGCCGAAAGTGGCTTTTGTTGGGCAAACACACCCGCCGATGGAAATTAGTATGCGCCCGTCAACTCTGGGACCCTCTCGTGCGGTGTGCGGAGAAAAGACGGGGAAGGTGCCGCAGGCGATAGTCCTGCAGGGCTGAAGCTCGCTTTCTCTCCAGGCCGCCGTGCCGATTCCAGGCGCCACGGGGGGTGAGAAAGCCCCCCCCCCCCATAACCAGGGCCTATGTAGACATTGCACAGACGAAGTTATTGATTCCACATGCCTGGTTTTCCCTTTGCGATGCATGCTCAGTTGCTTTTTGGGGTACAAAAAGGCCGGTGGTGCTCGCATTGCATCAGGGTTGTTGGGTGCGATCTGTCCATTGACGTCGCAGTCATTGAATGCCGTGAGACCAAACTGAGTTCACGTGAAACCAGAGTTTGACTCTCTGGTCTTCTTTTTCACATTGCAGGAAGGAAATTGCATCGGGAGTGTGTGTGTGTGTGTGTTTGTGTGCCACTGGTACTGACTGGAACAGGAACAATGGAAACATGTGAGAGAGAGAGAGAGAGAGAAAGAGAGAGAGAGCAGAGCATCCATGCGTTGAAAACATTTAAATAGGGCTTTTGTGTCTGAACCGTGGTTTCCAGGGTGCTGGGAGGAACCAAATATCTGACCGATGCAAAAAAAAAAGATGGACAGTTAAAACAATCCATCCATTGCTACAGGGCTGGTGGGACTGATCCACTTTGATGGTCCTGCAACAGCGAAATCTCCAGAAAACCGGATGCCTGAAACAGGCGGACCGTGGCCGCGTTTGCCTCATTCTCATGGAAAACGGAGACATTAGGAATTCATCTAAGCCCTTAAACGACACTCTGACCTCACGCGAGTTTCAAACCCATGTGCTGCATTAATTACAGACGAGCCCTCCAGTCACCCAGCGCTCATGTTTAACACAGCATCCTCGTCGGCACCTCCTGCCTGTTACTTTTGATACTGTTGCTAGGGAACTGTCCCCCCCAAGGACGCGGTTCCACAGGTTTTTGAGTTGGAAAGGTGATGCTGCCGCTCATAATACAAATACTGATTGCCTTAGGGAAGCGAGAGAGACCTTCTTTACTTCCATCTCCACTGAAGCCCGTTGCCGTTCAGCTGCTGGGGATAGTCGTTAGCATCAGTTGAATCCGTCTCCGGCTCAGTTACGATTGTTTTCTGGTGAAACGCTCAGAAGTCGGAACAAAGAGTGACAATGTAGCTCGAGGGTGAAAACAATAAATAAAGCCGTCACAAGGAAATGTTTATTCATAGACATTTATTTAATGGTATTCATACATCTCATCACAGATTGAAGATCACTTTTAGCTCCATCGAGAACGATGTGACAGTGAAAAGAAGAAGCAGAAGATCTCCCCACGGGGCCGCCTGTTAACACTGCTCCTGTTTGTTTAAAGGCAATACACACGGATGAGGCAGGTTGAGCTAAAAACAAGCGGTTCGTCCCCACACCTTCCCTCTGCTGCCTTTTGACACTAGCGTCTAGAGGACCCTCGACGGCCGTCCAGCTGCAGCTCCCCACGTCCCCGGCGCCCGTCGAAAACAGACCTTCTGCTCCCCGTGGTGTGACTCAAGCCGTTTGATTGGCGAAAAACGTCTCCCTCGCGGAGGCACGAGTCCCCCCCCCTCTCCCCCAGAGGACACTGCTGTCTCTCTGGGCTTCTGTTACTGCGCCTCGCCATCGTTACTCCACCGCCTTTGTTGCACTGCGTCGTAGCTATCACGCATCTGAGCTTCTGTGTCACCTCTCACATCTAACCTCCAACACGGTGTTGTTAATACTAATACATGTGTACACACACACACACACTCATTACTGGTGTAGCTTTTTTTGTTAAGATCACCGTTAATATACCTCATTAATCATTGAGATGTTTCTTGTTTGGATTCCATGTTAATGTCCACCGCTCGAACACTTCTCGCTGTCTTTTCTCTGGAGTTTTTAATCTGTACAAAAGGTTTTCTGACGAAAGGCTTTTTACTGTAATAACAAGTTGGGTTTCTGGCTGCTTTTTACTATTTGTGTACAGTAATAAAATCTTTGTATTTGACAAACTGCTCGCCTGGCTGTGCTTTTTCAAGTGCCTGCAGTTTTCCCCGTGAGAACTGAACAATGAAACTCGACTCAGAAGGGGGCCCAATGCACCCTGTTTATATTCGGGCTTGTGTGCGATCAATTTGTCTTGTTGTGACTTGGGGTTTAGCCGTTTATCCCTTTCCCATCGCGCTGTCTCAGCATAAGATGTATTCATCTGTCCCTGTTGTTCTTCGGCTCTGCACAAGACAATTCCAACCCGCGGGTCTATTCGGAATGGGGGCCACCGTCTCCTGTCTTATCACAGGGGTCTTTGTTCCCTTGGCTTGTGCTTGGGCCTGACTGGCATTTGACCTTCCTGTCCGACCTTATCCTGCGCCGATTCTGTGCTCTCTACATTATCTTTGCCTGTACTGGTGGTTGCGGGATCGCTATCTCCGTCTCCTGCTTGGTTATCCGGTTCACCCCGCTCGTCCTCGTGAACCTCGACACTGTGTACATTTCCCTTATCTAACCTCTCTCCTCCCGCTCTCCCGCTCTCTGGCTCTTTATTACCATGCTCTGCTTTCCCGTCCCATCCCACTCCCTCAGTCTCAGCTGGGGTGGGTTTTTCTTCTCCGTCGTCCATCTCACTGTTTTCTGTCTTTTTACCTACTTTGGTGTTTTCTTCGGATGCTTTCTGTGAACATTTTGCTTGTTTCTTCCCGGCTGCACTCTTCGACTTGCTCCCACCCGGCCCCCACTTCTCCTGTGTCGTGTCCCGGTAAGTCTTGTTCTGGTGGACCTGCATGATGCGTACCCTCTCACCAAGCTTTTTCAGTTCCTGCCGGACAAAGGGTTTGAACGTCGGGTCCAGTTTTTCCACCGTTTCAAAGTCCCTCCGGGCTTCATCCTTGTTGCACAAAGCGGCGTGCGCTTTTGCACGTTGATACACAGCCTTGAAGTTACCTACGGGAGGAAAACGGCGTGGTCTCATAAATGGCTGAAATATTTAGGACCTTGTGAGGAGAAGTAAACTATGGAATGACAAAGTAACGCCCCCCCCGGACAACAGCGGTGAAACGGAAGACAGACGAAGCCGAAGGCAAAAGTTGGAGGAAAGTAAATGGAGGGAAAAGCAAAGCATAAGAACCACCATTTCGCATCAGCCTCAACTATAAATAATTCAGTCACACCAGAAACAAAGCAAACAATGAATTCATTTCTGACTGCGGTGTCCGTGAGTGGGTGCCGAGGGAATGAAAGAGAGACTCGACAATGTGGTTGTGAATGTTTGGTTTCGCTTTTTTTGTCCCCTGGTAAACAGAGAGATCAAGGATTGTTGCTGCATGAAGGCGGGCGTTTGCTGTGGGCCGGGCGCTCGCAACGCATCGTTTCTCTTAAACTCAAAACTAAAGGTGTGCAAGAAAAGAGAAAAAAGAAGAAAAAAAAAAAAAGGGTGTCATCTCCCTATTTCTTTATCAAACTACACCCTTTCATTTCCTCCGCCGCCTCAAACTCTCAACTCGACACTAACCGCGTTACCTTTGTGTTTCTTCAGCAGTTTGCCGTTGAGCTCCACCACTTGCTGGTATTCTTTGAGCTCCAGCATGCACTGGCTGAGGTTGAGGGTCAGCGGGAGACACACTTTCTCCAGCGAGTCCCGGTCCTCGCCCCGCGGATCCACCTGGTGAGCACAGAGGACAGAGGTCAAAGGTGGGTGGGTGGGTGGGGGTCGTCTATAGGAAGCGATGGACGGCGGAGGAAACGTTGGAAGGAGAATGAAAGAGCGTGACGGCCGTGAGTGGAGGTGTAGAGGATTGTAAGGAAAGGACAAATGAAAATGGAGGGGGGGGGCGGGGGCTTGAGGAGGGAGTTCGACAGCGAGGGAGGAAAGGAGCACATGCGTGTGCTGTCACGGTGAAATCTCTCCGCTGTTATATTTAGCAGTCTCTCTTTTTTCCTTCTCTTTGCTCGCTTCAATGCCACAGCTGTTTTTTTTTTGTAAAAAACCCCAGAAAAGAACCAATTCCAGATGATTATTCTTTACAAGTCCCAATCCTTTTGTCAGACTACTTTTTGGCGCATGCAATCCTTTCATCAAGCTGAATGGAGCGAACTGTGAATACGGTCAGAGACATTCCTCCTGACGTCCACCTGACACACAAATAATAATGCTGTCATTATTATTTGTGTGTTGTGCGCTCACACGACTTACACATAATCTAAGCAGTCGCACTAACCATATTCCGAAGGACGTCCACGTACTCTATGGCCTCCTTGAACTTTACAGAAGCCTCTTGGAATTGGTTTTCTTTAATGAGGAAGTTTCCTTCCTTCTGCAGAAACATGACAAGCCGTAACATCTGCTGCCAGTCCTTCTCCTCCTTCTCAGCGCCGCCGCTTGGATTCATCACAGAAGAGCGTTCTTCCGCTTCGTTATCTCTTCCTTCGGTTGGTGTAACCTTATTTCCCCCGGGATCCTCTTTATGGGGTTCAGCAAAGATAATGGATGGAGTTTCGGATTCACCTTTGTCTCCCCCGACTTCAACTGGACTCTCTGCTGCCAAACTTTCACTCGTCTCTTGTCTTTCATCTTCTCCCTCCTCCTCGTCTTCTTCTTCTTCTCCCTCGTCTTCATTTTTCTCCTTTTTCTCCAGCATGTTCCAGTATTTCTCCTTCTCTTCCCAGTACTTCTCCTTCATGGTCTCTGACAGGGCTCTCAGCTCTCGATTGATGAGGGAGGCCAGCGTGACGTCCAGGTTGACCACCATGTGGAAGTCCCTGCGGGCTTCCTTCTCGTTCCACACGGCGGCGTGGGCCTTGGCTCTCTTGTAGTAGCCCTTCACGCAGTCTTAGAAAAACAACGAAACAATGCAGACGCTTATGAGAAAGACCCCAAAAACTAACCTTGAGATAATAAATGATAAACCTGCGCTATCTGCTGAAGCTCAGGGGCCAATTTGTCTACATTAAGGACAGTGTGGAGGTCTTTACTGTCAGTGTATATATATATATATTTCTCGCCAGCCCTGAGCTTGAAAAACTAAACTAAAAATGCACACAAGCTGCATCTTATCTCTGCTGAATCTACATGCCGCTTACTCGCCGAAGACTTTATTCCACTCTTGTCTGTCTGTTAAGTATGAAGGAAGCATACAGAAGTGAATAATCACATTCTCCAAAGTGTCGTTCTGGTCTTTTAAAACAAGTGGCTGCACATTCTAACACACATAATCGCGGCGACTCCTCTGTTTCAGCAGAATCGGCTCATGTGCTTGGGTCAGATATCCACTGAAGGCTCAATTTCATTTCACTTCCCTGTTCGCTAAATCTTCCTTCAGCCAACATCTGAACCGATTCCTTTGTTGCCTCTGGCAGAAGCTGAGACGCCCATTGGGCACTTTTCTACAGAACAGCTGGGCTGAAGGGATGAAACAGCAGTAGTAGACTGTCTGTCTGAGTTTAACTGAAACAGACATCATGAGTTTGATGACAGGAGGAAAGCACCGCACTAGCGCGAGAAGCCATATAAAGAGGGTAAAGGGAAAACTGAAAGAGGAGACAAGGTGATGAAGGGAAAGGTGGAGTGATGCTTGAGATGGATCCCAGCTCAACGAAGAACACCCGTTCACCCTTGAACTGGTTTACACCCGTCCTCCTGCCACACAGGCCTGCACAAACATCACTGCGCCACACACATCCACGGCTTCTCCCGCTACACACACACACACACACACACATACACGCGTGCTCGCACAATTTCAAAGCTAATACCGGGAATTGTGGGCTGAGGGACGGAGAGTGAAATAAAGGCTTCCTCGCTGGGTGAAGGGCATAATTCATAAGGCTTTGAAGTGGAGAATATGCCAGCATGTGAGCTCCTTGAGGATTATGTGAGTAACCGCGGGCATGACGGCACAATGCGCCCCAACCCCTAAAACCCTTTGTAATGTCAGCCATAGCCCCCCCCACCCCCACCTCCCTGCACACTCCCCACCAATACGCCGCTGCAGCCGCTGAAATGGAGCCAGCAAGGACTCTACCCGCTCAGCTTCTTAAAAGAAATGATTGTTGAAGTCTCTTTGTTCACATCCAGGGTCTGCAATTATGTAGAAGCACTTATTTCGACTCATTACTGAGCAGCTTTTCATATACATGGTTACAAAGAACGCGTTGACATTTTGGGCAACACTTTTATTAGCTTTTTTTGGTTCGAAAAATAAATTGTTGCCACTCTCCTGCAAATCAAAGGAAGGTTAACCCAGGTGAGGGTTAGTTTAGCTTAGCATGAGAAAGCAGATAGCCTTGCTTTTCCTAAAGGTTAAAATACATTGAAGTGTACTGATTCATATGTTATATCTTGTTTGACTTGAAAGGTTTCCCTCTGACTCCATTGATTATGCCGAAATGAGATAAACGAAGCTAAACTGAAGGCATACTAGTAGACCTCTACAGCCACGACACTTTATAATAAAGACGGAAAAAACAACTAATTGGCACGACTAGCCTGCCTGTGTCCAGAGATGCCCCCAAAAATCTCCCTAGCAACACCTTAAAAGCTCACCATCCACGCATTATACGTTGTTTATTAAATCAGAAAAGGTTATGGGTGTGACGAAGCCATTCAACTCTCCTCTGAAATGGTAAAGAAAAGTTTCAGCGCCAAAATGAGAGTGAATTAGTTATCAGAATATAATAATTCAATCTGGCACACTCCAACTAGGCTTTTACCTTTGTGTTTCTCCAGCAGTTCGGTGGTGTGCTCTATAACTTCATAATACTCCTCCAGCTCCAACATACACTGGCAGAAGTTCAACTCCAGGGGGATGATCATTCGACCCAGATTAATGTAGTCTATGTCCCCCGGCATCTCCTGTACAGAAGGAGGAACAAGAGCGGAATCAGCTGGGTTTGCTGGCATCTTCTACACGTTTTAACAATTTATTTTAATTTGGTTTGAAGACTCAAACATGACGTGTCTTTGGGACAATGAAGGACGGGTTACTAGCGGTTTGCACACAGGCCAAATAAACAGTCCAGTCTACTAAAGATGAACGCACGGGAAGGTTTTTTTTTATTTTTTCCAAATCCTGTAGAGACTTAAGTCCTCCAATCCTGATAATAGGCTGACACTCAAAATTTCTCATGCATAAATTTCCCTCCGTTACTCCTCCACCCTTACGTGCTCCTCTCATGTTAGACAGTGCTCCACCGCTCTTCCTCCCTCTTTCCTTCGCCAGCCCCTCAAGCCCCACTGCCTGTATTCAGGGACGCAGCGAAGCAGGAAAACAGGAATCTCCCGCTGGAAAAGAGCGTGAGCTGCATGTCCCCAAAAAACCAGAAGACCTTCTCGACAAGCCTGAAAGTCCCTCGTGCTGCTCCCTGCACCACACCTTTGCTCCTCGAGGCCTTCACTCACTCTGGACTGGACTGTTTTCAGCAGCAGGACGGCCTCCTTGTACTTGCTGGCGGCCTCTCTGTACTTTGTCTGCTTGACTAACAAATTGCCCTGCATGTGGAGGATCGGCACCGTCTGCAGCTTCTCGTCCTTTTCCATCATCCACGACTCTCTTTGGTAGGACAACGGGTCTCCCACCTGAGAGACGCAAAGGGGAGAGCGCAAAAGCACAAAGAATAGTCAACGACTCCACTACCTGAGACGCAAGAGAATGAACAGGTTGCAGAGAATAGCTTCGGTGGAAGGAATGTCAGCATTGAGGAGTTGACTTCTGCAGGGATCCCCAGCTTGTTTTGCCTCCCAGACACAGTTTTCTTGGTGACTCGTAGGAAATATGTCAAGAAGGACGAGCGCACGTAATTAGGAGAGAATGAAAACAATTTTCAAAATAAAATGTTTTCGAGAAAGGAAATGAAAGTGAAACATACCTGCAGCAGCTCCATGATGAATATAAGTGACTGTGGAGTTCTCATTAGCTCATCCAGCTCTGGGAAACCCGTGGAATGATAGTTGAACATATTTCCCATGCCGCACATGTGTCTCTGGCCCTCCAGCGGGTCTTTCCCTTGAGCGATTAGCCTCATTCCTTTAGACACGATGGGGTACAAGCCTGTGTGCTGCAAAATGAACCCATCAACCAACGCGTAAACAGGTCCGCAGCAACACATGGAATCAGTTAACCAATCAGTCAGAGGAGGAAAACACAAGAAATGGCGACAACTTAACTTGCAAATAACCATTTTTTCTCCAGAAGGGAAAACAACGGCAGGCGTAGCACGCATTGCTCTGTTGTATTTATAATACTGAATGTGTAGGAGGCTTCGGAATTTGTGTGAATCAACATGAAGAGTAGAAGCTTCCCTTCCTCGCTCATGAGCACTCATCGTGGCCTCTTGTCTGTAATTCAACTCACGATGGCGTCACACCAGAACTCCGCCACCTCTCCGATCCTCATGGACGCCAGCAGGGTCTCCCAGACTTCCATTTTAAACATCTTTCCAAAAAAGATCTCCGCCGGCCTGCCGGCCAGTCGACTGTCGTCGATGACGGTTCGCTCAAAGTTGTCCAGCAGCGTCTGGAAATGGAAAACCAGCTTGGAGGGAAAGAGGGAACAGGTGGACAGGTTTTAGAGGGGAAAATAATTAAATGGAACATTGTCAACAATACATAGATTATAAATGTAACCGTTTCTCCTTATATACACATACAAGTTACAAGTTTTACCATTGAAGAATGCAGGTTTTTTTTTTATGTTTTTGAACCTTGAACTGTTTCTGAATGAATTTCTGTGTTTCTGATGGTTTTTCAGAAAAAGTGACTCAATGCTGTCACATATGTCAATCACTTCCTGTGTAATACACACATGCTGGTTTTCATCATACGTGTTCCATCTGTTTGTGCTCATGTGACAGACTTACAAAGCCGTCAACAGTCTGTACAATGAGGTTGTCTTCATGCAACCTTCTATTTATAGCCAGACAGATTGTGTATAATGGCCTGATGATTGTAACCGGGAATCACCTCACCGATGAAGGAACACACACACACACAGGTAAATTAATGCTGCCATCGTCATGGAAAATGTCTGTCACTGTGTCATGGCCTGGTGCCATATGGCTGGATCTGACATGGAAGGGGATAAAAAGTCAGAGACCAACGGATCAGTGGATGAACTAAAACTCCGGACGCGGTGCCAGAAACATGTTGCAATTTGGTTGACCAAATGTTTGCTCTGTGTGCGAGAGCCAGATACAGAATAAATTCCCTCACTTCATGAATAATTAAACGGAATATAATTGAAGTGGGCAATACAACAAATGGCTACAAGTAGACCAGGAATATTAATACAAGTCACAATGTATCAAGAGCGCACGGATTAACTGTCTATCGCGCTGAATGGAATCTGCATTCTAGGGAATCAGATGAACTGTGACTCGCTACCTTTGTCCCAGGTGCAAAGTGTGGCAGCGGTCCGGTGCCTCCCGCCAGAATCTTCTTCTTGACTCCTGGATGCTTGAGAAGGTACGTCTCCTCCATCGTCTCTCTCTGCCAGAAGAGTGGGTCTTTTGGAGGTCGGTTTGGTCCGCCCCGCCTCGTTCTCCTCGGCTTTCTGATCAGCCCAGTGGAGTCTTAGCCGGTTAGCTGCTCTCTGACAGATGGTGGGATTAGACAGGGTTTGGAGGTGCCCACTTTAATCTGAGGAGCTAATCTCTCGCCCGCCCTTGCGATTGGTGGGCAATCCCCGCAGGGAGGGGGAGGAGAGGCCGGGAGGACCACCAAGGAACGCCCAGATCACTTTCGAACAAGTTAAGATCATTCTGGAAACTAATCTGATGGTTTAGTGATCAGCTGTGCGGTCACGGTGGGAGATTTGTTACCTACTTTCTAGTTTAAGATTCCTCCATAAAACATCAGACAATGCCATCATGTGTTCAATTTCTGATTACTAAAACAAAGAAAAGATGCAAACACACATTTGAGACTCTGGAAAGTTCATTTTTGGCATTTTTGCTTAAAAAGCAAGTGATAGATTAACAAAATAGTCGTTGATTAGTGTTGGTAAACTAATCAATAAATGGACTAATAATCTTAGCTTTATAGTGAACAGGCAGCACTCTATGCAATAACCTCATGCTAGTCTACAAAAATAAATCTACGTACTTTTCTCTAAGCAAATTATTAGTCAGCTGCCATTGGTTAAAACATTAAACGTGACACTCATTAAGTTCGAACTGTGGAATATTTAATTGTACAGGAGTACAAATACCACACTATGAAAAAAGTATTGCATTTTATTGATGAAGATGTTTATGTAGACTAATTTGGTCCTTTATATACTGTTGGGAATTTTTCATTTAGAGCAATGCATCATATTCTATTCGAGCATCATGTTTGGAGCGTGCCGTCCTTTCACTGCCACGTATCTCTAAAAACTCCACTGACAGGTCAACGGTCCTCAGCAGCGCCATATAAATCAACCAATCACATTGTACCAACGTCCCCATAGCAATAAAACAGCGTCCTTATCTCATTTCATGTGGAAATGCTTAAAAAAAATCTTGAAGTTAATTTCTGTGTTAAAAAAAACGTTAAAAAAAAACACAAAATGACAGTTTTCAAATTTTTTACACTTTACTGCAGTTTCTCTCATACAGGTCGTCAAAGACTAAAAATGAGTTGAGACTACATTAACTTTAAGCTAACATTTTGACAACTGAATCTAATGCAATCATACAGTGATTTGGTCAACGTAATGAAAAACATTGAGTTTAATATAAGAATCAGTCTGCTGCGTGCAGATTTTATGCCGACCATTAACCCAAACGAATGACACAGCAAGTCAGCTTGCTTAAACACTCCCTTCCCCCTCGATGAAGGCTCTCCTCCTCCTCCTCATGTGGTGTGTGCGTGAGCCAGAAGATGACACGAGGCTGCCCCCTGGTGGTCACTTCTCTATCAGTGAGTCGAGCTGCTCCTGCAGGGAGGCCAGCTGTTGGAACAGGAAATGGAAGCGGTGATTGATGCCCGACAGCCCCGGGTGTAATCGGAGGGTAAGTGGATGATGATTAACATGTCTTTTCACATTAATCTGCTGCCTTCATTTGTCAATACAAACAACAGCGCGAGACAGTGGGCGGCCACTACGCCGTAGCTGGTATAAAGGACTCCGCCAGTAGCTGCTGACAAATTCAATTTTGCGTGATTGAATTTGCCATCGGGCATGAAAATTGCCGGCTCTTAAAAAAAGGACAGCGAGCACAATGCCATCTGCTCACATGGTATTTGACATTCATACAAGACAAATTCACGTCAAGTGCTGAAAGCCGCGGGGAGCCGACAGCGAGGCCGCTGGTCCTTGGCTTATAGGGGAAAAAGATCTCACCTGCTCCATCTCGCGCTCCTCCTGCTGAATAATCTCATCCAGCAGAGCTTGGAAGCGGTTCTGTGAAAAGAGAGACGGACAAGCGTGATTTGTTTTCGAGTTGACACTCTGAGCCTCATTAAATCGGGGAAAGGCTTTAAACGCGTCTGCCCGGGCCGCTCATGTCACCATCTCCTCTGGGACAGAAAAGGCCACTTGGAATGCCAGTCAGAGGCTGTTGACCTTTTCCCTGCAACTGTGATGATGCCGACTGGAGATCCGGCGTCGACGCTCCCAAAACACCGGGCAACGAGAGCGCCAAATGGTAACCACCAAAACGATTCGTTTTCATGTCACGTTTTTCCACATCGAAGGCTTGTATAGTAAAAAGCCGACAGGAGACACGTAATATTAAAAATACAAAAACTCAATAATAGCCTGCAACATCGTTTAAGACTGTTTTAATGTTTTCAACTTATGCTGCATGAAGACTTCTGCCTCTGAGCTCATCTGCATGTTCCCCGTTTAGGTTCCCGTACATGCAGACCTAGTTTCTGAGTAATAAAAAAAGCAATGTTAGAGTGTGCTCGCTGCTTACTTTGAGCGCCTGGTTTTCCACTTTCATGATGAGCTCCTCCTGCTGTTTCTTTCGGGCGCGGGTGTCCTGAAGCTTGGCTTTGACGCTGTTCATCTGCAACTGGTACTCCATGACTGCGGGGAAACAGCAGGGGGGTTCACACGTTTCTACTGTCGCTCAGAGAACGTGTTGCTCGCGCTTTCTTGTGCAGAGAATTGTAGACGGGGGAAAGAAAGCCGGGAGAGATGACGGAACAGACTTTGGGAGCAACGCCACACTGACAAAACAATGAAGATTATACAGCTTAGCTTGTTGAACTACAAGGACGCCTCCAATTCAGTTGACGAATTGCAGTTAATGGAGAACAACAAATCCATTGGAAAAGCTGTGAGCCAGCGGGCCGGAGCACTAAAAGACAACTAAATCAGCCTGCTCGGGGCTGCACAGAGGGTTCTCATTAAATCCGGCCAAAGTGATAGCGCCTCACAACAACAACAACCTGTGGCTCCACATACCAACTATCTTCCGAGCTAATTGGATCTATCCTGCGCGCCCTCCAACAGGCTTTCAATCCTCTGATCGGGCCATCTAATATGTAAAATCCATCAGGGAGGGATTCCCCCGCGGACCCATTTATCACAGCTTTGCCTGGATGCCCTGAAACGGTACACGGCCAGACTCACACTGCACATCGCAGAAGCTTCTCCTCGGCCGGTTCTATAGGAGCGTTGCTGACGGACAGCTCAATGTGTGTGCGTGTGTGTAGATAAGGAAGCATTGAGCCGTCAGCCTGGACAGCTGTCCGAGCCGCATGGCGAGCTTGAATACTTGTCAGACTGGTTAGTTGAGGGGCGGGGCGGTCGGCGAGCGAGCGAGCGCCGCGTCCCCCGAAGTGAAAGCACGGCTACGGAGGAGCGCGTCGTCTGACCTGGAACACTCCGCTGGGATCAGGTCCAAAACACCTGGCTGGGGCTATTTTTAATCTCTGCTTTTAAAAGTATCTGAGGCGGTTTATTTTAATTTCATGTCGGACTATTACTCGCAAACAACTGCAGGAGCATTCTCAGACATGACTGAAGAAAATGAAAGCTAGCAAGTTGGCAAAACAAATGAGTTTTCACTGCGATGCAAGTTACAAGCATTAAAGATTAATTCTAGTGCTGCACTTACTTCCTCCACTTAAGTACGTACACACACACACACACACACACACACACACACACACACACTTTCCAGAATAGCATCTGCACGATAATAGATGTAGATAGATGCACTTCCTGTAAGGTGGTAAAACCACCGTAGGTCATTCAGTTTCACCGTGTGTTCGATTTACAATATGCTCTTTTTTAGACCTGGAAACCATTTGATATGTGATGTTTTTTGACAACGGAAAGGTAACATGTCATGTTTTTTTTTCAACTACTATTTTTTCAATTGATTAGTTTACTCTAAGAAATACCCATAGTAAAATATCCTGGGCATGAGTTCCCATACGTCCAACAGTACAAAACACAGAGAGACAAATTGTCTGAGAGAGATCTTTGAGAATATTGAACTATCACATATTTGGACTGATGAGCGACTCTACGCGTCATAATCTGTCATTGTATGAAGTGTTTGTTTTTGTTTTTCCAGTCAATTTTCTGTATTATTTTTAAATAATATGGCAGATGTGTGTGGGAGCATTTTATCCTCTCACCTATCTGGTTGTTTCTATCACTTTCATGCTGTGCAGAATCGGACTCGTTGAGTTTCTCTTGGAGCTGTCGGACCAGATCATCCTCAGTGTCCATGATATTCAGGTCCTCGTCCTCGTGCCGGTCCCCTTCGTCCTCCTCATCCTCACTGGAGCTGCTGATGTCGTTGAAGATCTCCCTCAGTTCGTCGCGCTGGGCTGGCCATGCGGAATGCACATTAGCGTTTATTAACTCGGACACAAAGATGGGAACAGCTGGAACCCTCGCTGGGCATTAATCTAGGTCACAGAGACTGCAGCCTTGTGAAAAATAGCAGTGAGGGATATTTTCTCATCCGGTATAAACCAGGTAACGTTAATGTGAACAGAATCCTTTCCATAGCAATTAACAACAATGCCTCTTGGTGCGTCAGCTGAAGTCCCCACAGAAAGAATCAACTACAGTTCAGACATTCAGCAGTGGTTTTCAAATGATGTTCTTGGGGTCTGTGTCTTCTGTGGGCCTTTGTGTTATTGGTAGAAATATGGAGCACTTTTACAGCTTCAAAAGGAGAGTGGAGAAACCGGCATGCACTCCGACACCTCACTCACTCACTCACCCAAGGAGCCGTGACCCATCTTGTGTCCCGAGGTCCCAGGCGAGGAGTCCAGGTTGGCCAGAGAGCCGTGCTGATCTGCTTCCTTGGACTCATCTTCTGCTATGATTTCCCACCCTGATCGTCGCGCGTTAAGGTCAATGTCCACTCCACTTTCACGAGGTCTACCTTAAAAGGACTCATTGTCCTTTCAGAAGTCCTCTTTGAAGTAGCTTCCTCGACTTTAACGTGAATTAGTGTCGTGTGTAGGACTGCTGCTGCGTGCAAATGCTACAGTGAGCAACTAACCAACGATAATGAACAGTCCATCTCAATTAACACACAGCAAGCAGGCACTCAAAGCGGCCATGCTGTGAGCTTATTCTGTCAGGCAAGTTTAGAGCTTCATTAGAGTGCTAATAGCCTCCATCCAAAGAGGATCTCTCACAGAGGCAGCAGACCAGTGCAGTCAGGTGAGCCCAGCGGGAGTCGGGCCTTAGATCGATCTATTTTGGATGTTGAATTTGAGCGCGGTTGTGTTTGAGCTTCCAAGCTAAAGCACAGACTTGGATTTAAATTTCGCCATTAACATAAATCTCAATCTGATTTCATGAGAAACATGAGAAAAGAAACGAGTGCCGTTTCTGCTCAACTACACTGGTTATCTTTTTAGGCTTTGCAAAATGGATGTGCAGAATGTGTGTAGGTGTCTAAAAAGATACGCACACTGACAGCGTCAGCGTCTGTGCTCAGCAATCTCTTCACCTCCTTTTCCACATCGGGGGATTCAATGTACTGCGAGAGAGAAAGAGATTGGGTTGCAAACAATGTTAGGGGAGTCTCTCTCGCTCTCTTCGTTTGTCTCTCTCAAACACGCACACACACACACACACACACACACACACACACACACACACACGCACGCACACAGCAGCGGGCAGCATGCCAGGAAGCACATTAGCGATTAAAAACAGAAGGGGCCAAATCAATATGGCTCGGCTGTGCACCTTCAGGAAGATTTATTCGGAAGACAAAGTAGACGTGTAGTTCTCAACCAGTCGCTTTCACTTTGATCAAAGCAGCAGCGAAATTGCTTTTTTCAGAAGCCTTTGGGCCAAACTAAGACGGAAAGGTTTTATTTATATGTAAATCTAAGTTTCCACTTTCACCACAGTTCCTGTGTTATGAAAAGTAAATGTCTTGTTGGAAGGGAGCCTACGAAAGAGATGGCTCATCAGACGGGATGCTAAAGATAGAGATTGGAAAAAGGGAGGGGAGTGCCAACAGCAAAATTAAATTGAAAAAAAAAACCTTCTTTTTTGCAGTTTTCCGAAATCTTCGCTTGCGTGTGTTCTTCAGGGGGCAGGTGACTGGAGAAAAAAAAAACACAACACAAATAGTTACGTCATTATAAGTAAAACGCCTTAATCTCCAGTGGAGAAGAAATAATGATGTGCAACATTTTTCTGCAATGAGATTTTAGAAAAGCATTTTGTGTAGATGAATGTTTCAACTTACTTCCGTGGTTCCAAACAAATTTCTTGTCTTTGTCTTTGTCCTTCTTCTTGCTCTTGGGGTCGGTTCCAGTTGGCTCCTCTAAAGGAGGGTAAAGGTCTCCATCTAGTGTGCACACCAGCATCTGACCCATGGAAAGAGAAATCAATGATAGATTACTCTGAATTCTGCTAACTAAGGTTGTTGTATTACAGTTTTTTTAGCACAGTTGTAAATCTCAATCAAAGTGTTTAAAAAAAAACTAAAAAGTACTTTTCATTTACAACTGGTGGCTAATGCCTCGTTTTCTTTTGCTCACACACATCACCTTACAGTTATAACAGCGGATGTGTTCCCATCGGGCAATACGTCCTACATCTTGTGTCTCTGTAGTGTTTTACCTGGCAAACATCAGCGGTCTTGTAAAAGGTCTTCTTGTCCACGGTTTTCAGAGATTCAATCATACAGGGCAGATCCACCAGCTTGCAGGCCAAAGGGACGCGGTCTACTCTTACAATGCCGTGACGACCATCGGCTACAAATAAGAGGGATAACACAACCGGTTATAATGACACGCTGGTGAAATTGGTGTTGTGACCAATCAGAATTCGGAAGTCAAAACAATATCGAGGCTACTAATGAAAGGCTTACGGTGCAACTCAATGGTGAGTCGGTCTTTAATGTTCATACTGCTTGACTGGGCGATCCTTCGCACCGTTGAGGCGTACTCCTGTGTGAGAGAACAGATAAATCCGCATCCATTTTAGCAATTGGTCGCATTTGAATTCATTAGGAATAAAAAATAAATAAACAAAAGTGTCAGCATGTCTCACCGAAGGAAGCCTCAGGATAAACTGGCTCTCCAGCTCATAAGGAGCATCCTCCTTGTTCTTGGAGCCGACCTTCCCTGCAACAATGAAAAGGCACCAAGTGGTTAGGCAGCTTTCATGACAGCCAGTACCGGTATGCCTTTTTAATGGACAATGCCGCTCAGCATACCTGCTTTAGGTTAATAAAACCACGACACGCTTTGCTTATTTTGAAATAACATAAGCAATACAGCCATTTGACCATGTATGACGTTTTCACTCAATGTGTGTTCTGCATTTCTACATGCATGCTTCTTGTTTTACATGACGTCCTCTATTGCATTGTTGAAAAACAGTTGTACAGTTAAATAATTATTTTTTGGGTTATCATACAGCATCTCGGTGATTACGTTTGATTCCTGGTTAATATAACGTTAGTGGTCACACAAAAACCACACATATTTCACACATATTTAATTTACTACAGTTCGTAAGGTTACAGGTCAATAAAAGACGGCTTTAGTTTGATTTGACGAGACTGAAAGATGTGACTTTACACACAGCAATAATACAATGTCAAACGTTAAAAACGTTGTTTTACACATTGAACAAACCAGTTTCAGTGATTTCCCACTTTTTGAAATTAAAATGACAAAACAAAAACAGAGCCGAGGCTGAATGTTTACAACACGGGGCTAGCTACCGTTAGCTTAATTGTTTGGGGAAAGCTTTTAACGTACCTTTCAGTTTCGATGTCATCTTCGTTTTAGTATATTGAAAGGCGCATGTGCATAAAGATTCTGAAACGATGATTATAATCCACAGATATGTTGTGTGTGATATATAAGAACACGATACAGCCTAGCTAGCGTTCCACAAAGCTTACTACTGCGGCCGAAAAGAAGCGACGAATTACTCGTCCTTCTTCTTCTTCGTCTTCTTCATTAGGTTCCAAATGGCGGATCGCAACAAACCAAGGTGCACACCGCCACCTACTGAGCCGGCGTGTGCCGATTCAGGGCACAACTGCTGTCTCATCCAGATCCTACGGCCCAGCCCCGTCTCTTTGAAGCGACCACTTCGGAAGTTTCTAATCTTATCAAGATTTATTTCGGTTTCGTTTGACTTCATGCGCTAGAATTGTAGATGGTCCGGAAGAAATGTGGTTCCTATCAGTCTCATTTAGGTTGTGCCGAATGCTTGTCACGACACAGAAACAAAATAAATAGATGAATGAATATAGAATCAGAATGTATGCCATGTCGCCCGTGTCGTAGTTTGACTGGCAAAATACACACACGACAAAATTTTTTTAATTAAATGACACTCAACTAGACATAACTATGTTAGCAAAAAAATAATGAATGCACTTAAAATTGGAATCCGGCACCATAGACTATATAACTGAAATGCATTATTATATATCTCACTTCCTCTTAAGAATGACGAAAAATTGCGATTTCAGAATAAGAGTCCTTTGTTGTACGTATCATACGCTGTGGAAATGTTTCGCGAAAAAAACAAAACAAAAAAATCTTTGTCTTTTTTCAATTAAAAAAATACACAATTATTTACACAACGATATGTTTGTTCAGTTGTATTTAAACTAGCAACATCCTGTTATTGTGCTTTTACACCGAAAAAAAAGTGGTACACTTTCTAGAAATATAGTTTCACTTCCGGGCCGGAATCGACACCTCTGTTGCTGTCGTCTCTCCGCTCTCCCCAGCTCGTGAATCATACTCTCACTAAGTTTGCTTTTTATCTACGACGACATTGCGGCATTTTAATCGCCGAACAGCTGAAATGGTGTCTAAAGTGACTGTCACCAGCGCCCGCAGGGCAACGAGGACGACGTGGCTGCTGGTGCTCGTGAGTCTGTCTGTGAGCATCTGTGTTTGCAGAGCATCTTCACCTCAGGAGGAGGAGGACAGTGCCATGGAGAACATCGTTACGGAGAAAAAAGCCGAGGAGAGCCACCGGCAGGACAGCGTGGACCTGCTCATCTTCATCATGCTCCTCACCCTCACCATCCTGACCATCTGGTTGTTTAAGCACCGGCGATTTAGGTTCCTGCACGAAACTGGACTGGCGATGATTTATGGTGAGCTGCTCCGAGCGTGACGGGCGGTTCGCCCGCATCACTGCCACCATTTCCGTGGTAATAATTAGATCAAATGTGACTGTAGCAAAAAAAAAATTAAAAAAATAATCGGAGGTTTATTCGTCCAAACCCGGGCCACAAGTTGGAGCGCTGTGGCGCACTTGAGTAACATGTTTAGTCTCCAGGCTGTAAGGTAACAAGCTTAGTTACGCAATATGATCTCCTCGCTGCTCAATCCCGGACATTTCACCCGAGCAGCAGCTAAGTAGTTTTGCCCCCCCCCCCCAAACAAAATCCTTCTTCTTCTCACCACTGTGGTCCGTTAACTGTTAATGGACGTCATGTGTGATTGACGGTTCCCTCCTTCACTCAGGCACCAAGATACCCCCCCACACCCCCCTGATCCTGAGCTAAAACAGGGTTCTCAATGGAGGAGTTACTCTGCATTTTACACTTTGAATGTTCAATGGGACACAGTTTCCAAGGACGTCCATTAGGCCCCCACCGCCCGATCCTGTCATCCTGCTTCATGTGTGTCATATGTATTTAAGGTTTGTCCACGCTTTGCTTACTTGAGCCCTCAAATGTCACAGAGCCAACCGCGCAACCCGTGCCAGGTTGTCGGCTTGCCGGTTTCAGTTTTAGTGTCGACTTGCGCAATAATATTTTGACAAGCACATAGTTTCACTCCCAACTTCCTGCCGACTGCAGGTCAATCATCTGTTAATTCTGAGCAGTTAAAAACTGGTCAGTTCTCCTGGAACGCCAGTTCTCTTTATCGTTTTCGGATTTTCCCAGCGAAAGGCCGATCGCATGTCATTCAGCCTGACTGTTCGGCTGAGAATTTTACTTCTTTTTCCTCCCCCTTTGCTTTCCCTAAAAAAAAGTCCTGCAGCTCGCCCCACGTTCACCGTTGAAACCTCCTCATGCACGTGGGACTGTTTCCAGACCTACATTGATCCCCCCCCCGCCCCCGTTGTCGACCCTTTTCATTCTCTCCCAGGCGTTCTCGTCGGCGTGGTCCTGCGCTACGGCATCCACGTTCCGCGGGACATCAGCAACGTGACGATGAGCTGCCACGTTAACGCCAGCCCCGCCACCCTGCTGGTCAACGTCAGCGGCAAGTTCTACGAGTACACTCTGAAAGGAGAGATCGGCGCCAACGAGGTCAACGACATACAAGACAACGAGATGCTGCGGAAGGTACGGGAACGCCCGCGACGTTTGACGTTGCACGCTTATTTAAAAACAAAAATAACTGGATTACCTCTGATCAAATTAGTGGGAAGATTCTGCTTTCTGAGGGATGTTCTATAACAGTATTACAAATCAGAATGATGAAAGGTGCCCTTTGCCTGAGGGTCATTTGGACTTTTTACATCCATCGCTGTTTTGCTGTGCTGGTGTGCATTTCTGACCACGAGAACTTCAACGTTGTCTGCTCCGATTGCTATATTTCCTCTTTTGTTTACTTACTGCTTACCTCTCCTTCCATCCCACGAGCCTTGTTTTTATTGTGTTTGACGCAGGTGACGTTTGACCCCGAAGTGTTCTTCAACATTCTCCTCCCACCGATCATCTTCCACGCCGGCTACAGCTTGAAGAGGGTACAGGAGACAAATGTCCACACGAGCAACCAGTGGCGCTTGTAGTCCTCACGCAGGACTGTGGGTCAATCGTTTGGTTTTTTTGGTTTCTTGTCTTTCAGAGACACTTCTTCCGTAACATGGGTTCCATCCTGGCTTATGCCTTCATGGGGACAGTGGTCTCCTGCTTCGTTATCGGGTGAGCGTAGCAGTACCACTCACACGTGTCCGTCACACACTAGTAAAGCCGGTGTTGTTCATGGTGATGCTGTTCCTCCATCAGGCTGCTGATGTACGGCTGTGTGTTGCTAATGAAGCAGGTGGGACAGCTGGCCGAAGACTTCTTCTTCACGGACTGTCTGTTCTTTGGGGCCATCGTCTCGGCCACGGACCCCGGTGTGTGTGTGTCCTCGATCTCTCTCGGCGTTAAGAGTCGTTCTTGCTTACGGGAAACGCTTATTATGACCAGGATTCACGTTTCGTCCTGTGATACACTGGATGATAAACTAAAAATAAGTATTTAACTGGAGAAATCATCCATAAAACATGACAAGCTGGTGACTGATTTTAAATTCAAAAATGTCCGTCTGTTTTAATCATTGCAATGCTTTATTTTCTGCTTACGGCATTATTATTCTTTAAGTATTGCCGCTAACTTGCCCAAACTAACTTGCGCTGCGTTGCGGATGGTTCCGCAGTGACGGTCCTGGCCATCTTCAACGAGCTGCACGTGGACGTGGATCTGTACGCTCTGCTGTTCGGAGAGAGCGTGCTCAACGACGCGGTGGCCCTGGTCCTGTCCTCGTAAGTCGTCTTTAATTCCCCACGTCGTTCCTTTCCTTTGCAACCACCGAGGGAGCCGAGTGCAGCTTCCCGTGGGCAAACGGGACAAATCAACGGACATTTGATTGTCGGTTCTTATTGAACCAGTCATGCAGCATATTTACTTTATTTACATTTGGCTTTTTCTGCCGTAAAACCATTATTTGATGTTGAAACACGCTCACTTTATTTTCAAAACATAGCGTCTATCAGCAGAGCGAAGAAGAAGGCAGGTCGCCGGGGATATTTAAAGACAAACTACCTGCTGGTTTTGTTATGGGAATGTCAATTCATCACTTTCCGATGTCGTTGCAGTTTCTCAGAAATATACCTGGAAAATATCTTCTCCCTACTGACAGCTACCCTGCTGCATATTAGATCATTCTTCCCAAACTCAAAATCCAAAGCTGACTTGTCTTTAAAAGCTTTATGAGAGGCGTCAACTCTAAATTGGACTTTGTTGGGACAGTTCACACAACAGGTGACACAAAGTCGTATATAGTGTTGATAAAAGGCCAGAGAGGTCGAATGCAAACCTTGGCATTTGCATTTGAACGTGTCTCCATTTTCAAAGCAGACGTAAGTGTCCTGCTTTAGGACTGAATTCTCTGAGAAGAAGGACATCTTCTTTCCCAGAAGGTTTTTAAATATGCGTACGGGTTTTAAATTACAGAACCCACCCAGTGTTTGGTGAAAGTCCCTTTCTTTCCGTTCATTGTCGGCCGTTACAACAACGGCAGTAACATGATTTATCAAACAACGCGTCCGCAACAAAGACGGCTTGACCTCTAACTAAGCGGCACGCGTGCACACTAACAAGTGGATTACGTATCTACTTTTTTCCACACAGTAGTTTCCCTGTCAGAGGTTGAGTGCTAACACTGACCTCTAGAAATGTGGAGTCCACACGACTTTTTTTTTTTTTTTTTTTGCTGGCAAAATGAATGAATATTGTCAAAGATTTCTGCACGAGGAGACCTACTAAAGGAGAGGAATTTGTATTCATTGACATCATATAGTACCGCCTCTACCTAGTTTTAGTTTACTTTTTAGTTCATGACCTTTTTATGTGTCGTTATCTACATTCTTTGTGCTCTCGTGTTGTTTCAGGTCTATAGTAGCCTACCAGCCACAAGGGGACAACAGCCACACGTTTGAGGTCACGGCGGTGCTGAAGTCTTTCGGGATGTTCCTCGGGGTTTTCAGCGGCTCCTTCGCTCTGGGAGTGGCCACCGGGGTCGTCACCGCTCTCATATCTTTTATTCATTTGTTTATAGAATTGTAATAAAATGTAATACACATCCATACAACTCTAAAGTGGTTAAACGGTTAAGTTAAGTCTGAGTTTTTTTTTAGTCGGTGGTTGGTATATCAAAGTGTAACTACTTGATAAATTATGTTTTGTAAGAATTACTAGATGACTGAAGCAAGTCTGTATTGTAAGAAATGCTGGTTAAAAGAGTGAGTCTACAATTGACTTCATTTCAATTCGATACTCTGAAGTATTTGGACAACTGCTCCTTCAGAAGCCATAAGTCAATTTAACAAAGTCCCCTTGCTTTGGAAACAAGTGAAATTATGGTTCCACAATGATCGATTTTCCCTCGTTCACTTGACGTTACTTGCGATGTGTCTTCGTTAAACTCCTTGACTTCCTGTCCGTACGTGACCAAGTTCACCAAGCTGAGGGACTTCCCGCTGCTGGAGACGGCTCTGTTCTTCCTCATGTCGTGGAGCACGTTCCTGCTGGCTGAAGCCTGTGGCTTCACAGGTATCTCTGATATAGACATTGTGACAAAGTTTCAATCTGTAGAGATCAACATTTGGTTCTCTTTGGTCACACCTGTGATGACAAGGGGATTTTTTATTTTGTTGAATATTCAAATACAGATCTTTGAGGTTGTTATTGTTAATAATTAGTGTTTTTATATATTTTGTCTCGGTGTCTCCGTCCCTCCTGGTGTGTTGCAGGTGTGGTCGCTGTGCTGTTCTGTGGCATCACTCAGGCTCATTACACCTTCAACAACCTGTCTCCTGATTCCCAAGACAGGACCAAACAGGTCGGACCTGCAGTGAAACCACACCACTCATTTCTGCCCTTTTTGAATGTCTGTGCTTTTATTTTGAAGGTTAGGGTACAGTTAGATGCTAAGGCGAAACATCCAGCCACCTTCTCGGGGGCAAGACCTGATACCATAAATCTGAAAATCATCCTATTTCATTCAAGCCTCTTTTTTGTTTGTTTGATTTGCAGTCAAAGAATATTTAACTGTTTTATGGTCCACGTCGTCTCTTCGCTGTTGTCTAAAATCAGCTGATGTTTCTCTTCTGTTTCTGCAGCTGTTTGAGCTGCTAAATTTCCTGGCAGAGAACTTCATTTTCTCCTACATGGGTCTGACCCTCTTCACCTTCCAGAGCCACGTCTTTAATCCCATGTTCATCGTTGGAGCGTTTGTATCTTTTGCATGCGTGAAAACTACCTTGTGCACACAAAACCTGATAAAATCATTGAATGAATTGGCTACTTGCGTCATAGTCTCAGCTCAGAGAAATCCGTGACGCAGGTTGGGGAGACTTCACTAGCGCTGCGTTTCGTTGACCTCTCCTTAACCCCGTTCCCACTTAGCTGGCAGTGTTCCTGGGAAGAGCAGCGAACATCTACCCTCTCTCGTTCCTTCTTAACTTTGGACGACGCAACAAGATCAAATCCAACTTCCAGCACATGATGATGTTCGCCGGTGAGCGAAAAATCGCCAGATTTTGTGTTTTAGTACGAACCTCCACATTGGTTTGTCACTTAATCCTCTGCGCTTTTTAGGACTGCGAGGCGCGATGACCTTTGCCCTGTCCATCAGGGACACGGCGACGTACGCCCGTCAGATGATGTTTTCCACCACCCTGCTGGTGGTCTTCTTCACAGTTTGGGTTTGTGGGGGCGGCACCACCCAGATGTTGTCCTGCCAGAATATTCGGTAGGCGTCTCCCGGATAATATCAAGATATTTGCTTCATCGTTTTGTATTTGTCCAGATAAAATAATCCCCATGTTTAGCTCGCTCCTCAGGTTAGAGGTCGTCACTGCTACGGTGAAGGCTTGAGGCGTTTCACAGTCCCACTGCTCATCGACTTGCTAAACGCGCTTCATGACACTGTTCTGCTGTCGGTTTTAAGTTTGTTTGTCTTCTTTTAACAGCGTGGGAGTGGACTCTGATCAAGATAACTCTGTAAGTGGAAATCTCTCTACTACTGTAACGTGATCGTAAGAAAAGACCTCAACGGCACTTTCTTGTGTTTTTACAGGTCAGTATCACCGATGGCTCAGAGAGAAGAAGCACCAAACACGAAAGTGCCTGGCTTTTCAGAATTTGGTACAACTTTGACCACAAGTATCCTTTGGCCACAACGTCTGGTTTAATTAACGTTTCATTAACATCAGAAATCTACTACAAGATGACTGCTGGCAGCCCCAAACTACTGCTGCAGTTCACTGTACCAGACAGCAGGGGGAGATAAATACACACACTTGAAGACAAACAAAACTATTTTCAGGAATCAGGAAACATTTATTGGCAAAATATGTCAAACATACAAGGAATTTGTCTTGGCGGTTGGTGCGCGACAGTAGACAGTGTAACAATAGACAACAAGACAGCAGTGCACAAGTAATAAAATAAAATGAAATGCTAATGCAATGGGTTAGTAGAATACGGCTATGGGTTAGTATAAAACAAGAGAATAAAGTTGGAGTTAAAAATTTAAAATATTTAAAAAGTAAAAAAATAAAGTGCACTATCGACAAAGTGACGAGTGAAAAATTACAGTTAAAGTGACATGTGCAGTGTGAAGGGGAGTGACCGGTGGAACGTTATAGTCAGTCAGGGGGGGACCGGGCTCTGTTGATGAGCCCGACTGCCGACGGGAGGAAACTGTTGGTGTGGCGGGAGGTCTTAGTCCTGATGGACCTCAGCCTCCTGCCAGATGGAAGGGGCACAAACAGGTTTTGTCCGGGGTGAGAGGGGTCGGCCGCGATCTTTTTAGCTCGCTTCAGAGACCTGGAAGCGAACAAGTCCTGCAGGGACGGCAGATTGCAGCCGATCACCCTCTCTGCAGAGCGGATGACACGCTGCAGCCTGCCCTTATCCTTGGCTGTGGCTGCAGCGTACTATCACATAAAGTTTACTGATGTATGTATTGATGTAACTGTGTCCTTGAATCTGTTTGTTGCTTATCTCCACTTGTCTTCTCTGTGATGCGTCCTTGACTCGCGCCCCCTCTCCAGCTACCTGAAGCCCATCCTGACTCACAGCGGCCCCCCTCTCACGGCCACGCTGCCACCCTGCTGCGCCCCCTTCGCCCGCTTCCTCACCAGCCCCCAGGCCTACGAGGTCAGACACGCCTTCATAGCTAAGATCGGCTCCCGAATTAACGTGTTACTTCTTCCATTAATCGTGTAGCGCAAAGGTCCAGTTCGATTTCAAACAATCGCTAACAACGAGTTCCGATCTCTCGCCGTGTTTGAGTATCCGCACCGCTCCTCTCCCCACCCCCCCCAGAACGAGTGCCAGTTGAAGGACGACGACTCCGACCTCATCCTGACGGACGGCGACATCAACCTGGCCTACGGCGACATCACCGTCAGCACGGACGCGTCGGGCTCCCACGCCAGCGGCGGCGCGGCCGGCGGCGGCGGCGCCTCCGACGACCCGGACCGAGAGTTGACGTACGGCGACAACGAGCTGGTGATGAGGGGCACGCGCCTGGTGCTGCCCATGGACGACTCCGACCCGCCCTTCACCGACCCCCACCACCGCTTGAGGATGTGAAGACGGTCTTTCGAAAAACCGCCGTCCGACTCTGACCGACCCGTCGAGCGAGCGACCAGTACCTGACACTCCCTCTTTTGCTCCTCCTCCTTTTTCCCCCCTTTTACTCTTGCCTCACTCCTCTCCTCCTCCACACACATTTGCTCTCCTTCGCTCACTTGCTCTAGTGGCACGTCACCGTCTCTACCTCATTCTCGCTCTGCTCGTCTCCACCTCTCGCCATAACTGTAATATAGTCTTTATTTATTTGCGGCGTTTTATTGCTTGAAATTTAATATCACGTTGTCCTCGTTTCGCTTCGAGCCGCGTTTCAGTCACCTCTCAGTAGCATCGCACAGAGATCTAGCAGCATGTGATAGTAGGTTAATGCAAGTACCGATATATGACGAGAGTACTTTAACTTTGATATGCATGCCGAGGATGCTTGCTGTTTTCCTTCTTATGGGAGGTCGAGGGCTTTTTGTGTTTTTGGGTCCGACCTTGAACGTCGCTGCCTTCTCTCTGTGCGCATCAAAGGCGCGCCGACCCAGCGGACGACTTTACTCTACGTTTTGTTACAATCAAGTGCCTGGGAATTGTAGTTTTAAGCCTGGCAACGCATATTGGATCCACACGTGGAAGCAAAGCCAGTTGGTGATGCGCTGCAGTTTTTCTTTGCAAAAAAAAGAACCAAAAAAAATGTGTATATAAAAAAAACTAAACAGACACGTCCGTCCATAAGGTAACCCTAAGCTCAGTGGGTGTTTGTGCTATTTGCCTGTAAATATTGTGTAACTATGTGATGCCACTGAGGCAGTGGAAGATGCTGATCCCTCCCAATGACCTTTGACTGTGACATAGAGAGGGACTTTACACCGTATTTCATTTGCTCACAGCTGAGCGAAGGGTTGTTGTTGTTGTTCCCAAAACGAGATCCAAAGGAGTTCTGACAGAAGGAGATGAATCATTTGTGTCTTGCATCGTGACATTTTTTGAAAAATGAATGCAGGCTACCTTACAGTGCTTTGCGTTATTTTTGCAACAGAGCTAGAGAACATAGAGCTGAGTCACACATTTGTCTCTACATCTTTAGCTTTAAACATATATATTTTTTTTATTAAAGATGTAATCATTAAATTCACTTTAAGTAAACATTTGGCAAACCAAAATCCTATATTTATGATTCTATTCGGGCTGCAACAAATTCTAATGAAACCGAATCGTTTAACAATAAAATATCAGTGGATAACAAACTTTAATCAATTCCTTGCTGTTGGGCGCAGAATGGTTGTAGACATGCTGGATGTTTTTATCTGTTGGTTGAATACAGAGTGGATGCAAGAGGAGGATGATGATGATGGGGGTGAAAGAAATAGACAATTAAAGTGTGAGCGGGAGAACACGTGTTTGTGTGTTTGCACGATACAGATGTGGAAGGAAGAGCAGGCTTTCAGATATCTCTTTTCCTGCTGTGCAGGAACCTGTTATTTGAAGTATTTTTTTAATCAGAACACATTGTCAAGGAAGTGATTTTCTTTTCTTTTCTACCATTTATACTTTTTGTGTGTTCCAAATATTTACATTTTATTTTGTGGAAGGGAAAAAGTGAAGTAAAAAAAAAACATTGAAAAGTGAATAGTCGGCACTCATCCATTTAAAATGTCGAGACGTCGGAGAGTCGTCCTATTCTGCTGTTCCATCTCATGAATTCACCATTCGGTACCCCCGTGCGTGTGTTTGAATGCTGTTGCCATGACGCCTACATTGCGTTGCTCATTCATCTCTGTCTGTTGTTGGCGAGAAAAAAAAAAATCAAAAGCAGAATCGTGTGCCGCTGTTCTTCAACTGACACTTGAAATAATGTGAAATTTGCAAAAAGCTGATGTAGGTTTTGTGTGTTTGACTAATACTCATTTTTTATTTTTGTTTCTCTGGGCTTTGATCATTGGAGATCCAGTCAGAAGTAGCTGAGCAAAGAGGCCTGCTGTGCTTTGTGTTTTCATCCATCGTTATACTGCTGTGTGTGTGTGTGTTTGTGTGTGTGTGTGTGTGCGAGAGAGAGAGAGAGAGAGACAGACAGAGGGAGTGAGATGTTGTGTTCTTTTTCTCTCTTCCGGTCTTTGACTGTTTATATCTGTGTAAATATACTCTCACCTGTTCATGCGCGCAACACGGTCAATAAACAGAAGCCTGTGCTGTTTTTGATTCAATCGTTTTCTCTTTCCTCCTTTACTTGATTTCATTGCATGTCGTTGTTGCGTAACAACCGGAGATCATTGTCTCATCTTCCAGGATACAGAAAGAAGATCAGTGCCAGAAGTAATTCTACTTCCGTTGAATACATCTGAGATCTCCACTTTTAGTTGGGCTGCGGTGGTTTCCAACACGCCAGAAGGTTCAATAGAAACATCTCAGAAACACCTGGAGGGATTGATTCATTAATAATTCACCTCGCTCTAATAACTACATCCGAGTCCCCCAATTTGACTTTTACCTTCCGGGCTTACAAATCATTAGAAATTGATCCACCTTGTTTTGTCACTTATTGTCCCCAGAAATATTGATTTGACATCGCTCTCTCATCCGCCCTGGATAAGCGGGCAAAGTGGTGTTATTATGAAAGCCTTGCCTCGCACAGCCAACACTGATGACTTTCTATTCTCGCCGGCTCGGCTTGTGCCAGATATCAGGTAACTTGTTCCTAATATGGACACAACTCCAACCAGTCTGCCCAAGAATGCCTGTTTACTGGAACTGCAGTCCGGGGAGGAAAAGGGCCACTAAGCTTTATAGCTCGACTAAATAATAAATGTCTCTCAGCTCGGCCCCTAAATCTGATTTCCACACAATTGTGTGTTTTTTGATGGAAAATTCAGTTGTATAATGTTATTAAGTCGAACAAAAAGTCTTTGTTCTATCACAATGAAGGTAGGTGTTTCATGCAATGCAACGTTTGTTGCATTTGAAACACATTCTGGATTCTTCTTTAGTGCAATGCATCATTTACAAATCATTACATGCCTTCACTCGCACACCAAACATGTGGCTCTCATCAACATCTCTAGTCGTCATGGTGTTGCTTGCTGTAGACAACAAGTGATGTCCAGTCTTACGTTGTCAATTTAAAGCTCTTATTGTAAAAAGAAGACAGATTTATTGATGCAGCATGTTCTCCACAAGAAGTCATATTAAACACAAAGGTCGTGACCTTACCTCCCTTCACATCTTCACCCTGACTCCACAAACACGTAGATCCTCACTTTTGTCTCTGTGTTTGGATAATCTTTCAATTAATCTTTTGCTGTTTATTCTCGATGACACAGTTGATATAAAAGCTGCCATCTGCGTTTAATAAGAGCAACACCTTTTGGGGCGTTTTGTCATCCGTTTGTAATCGCAATGCATTAACTTTTGAGGGCCGCGCGTTATTTACTTTGGGGTTAGCGATGAGTCATCTGGATGCAATTCGTTGCTAATCGTTACCAAAGAAGGAGACAAGTGAGGCCAAAACGGAAGACGGGGACCATTTCTTTAGACTCGCGTCAGTTCCTCTTCTGTAAACAATACGTGTGTTCAATAGGTAAAATGTGTAGGACAACACGCGTAGTCGCCGGAGAGCTCGTCATCGCCTTCCTCAGATGTTGAGTCTCGGCGCTCGATGATGCAGAAAGGTTAATACTTTATTTTCCTCTGCAGTGAAGGACCAATGAGAACTTTACAAAAAGCGCCTGTGAATTCCTGGCTGAGGTCATTGTGTATGAGAGCTTGCAGAGGTTTTTGGCTCATGTCCTAAAGTTTTTTTTCTTCTTCCTCTCTGTCTCTCTCTCTCTCTCCTCCCTCTGGGTTTTAAAGCTGAGTCGAACTCCGACAATTTTACCTCTCGTTCAAAACCCAGCGGACACACTGCTGCGGGTGAAAGACGTCTCATCGGTTGTCTTTTGTAAAGGTGAGTCTGAATCCTCAGCCGTGTTTCACTCTGCCGGGCGGTCTTCTGTTAAACGGGGGGGGGACAGACAGGACAAGTTCATCACAACAAGGCGGTCATTTGGTCCATTAAATGTCCAATACGTTACTGCTGCTGTCATCTTGCCGGATGGACGTTTCTGACCTACTCAGAGTCTCTCACAGCTTTGGTTGCTCACTGAGGGTCCCGACTGGAGAATACGGAAACCTTCGACACGTTCCTTGTGGTCGGGAAAGTTGCGCCGTGCAGCAGGTGATGCACTTTGTTTGATATGGCTCATATTTTGCATCCGGCCATCCATACATCCATTTCCACCATATACATTATATATTTTTTGGAGCAACTTAGATTGCTTTAGTCTTTACCTGTGTCTGTGAATCTTTTAGTCCGGTATTTTCTTCTTCTTCTTTTTTTTTTTTGCATTTGTTACTATTTTTTAGGGAATAAATTGTGCTTTTACTATTATAACTCATTTAAATTGTTTGCCATGAAGAACCCGAAAACAGATTGATTACTTTATAAAACCTGAGATTAACATGAAACTGTTAGAACTTATATCAGTTTATCATCTCCTCTCTTTCTGGTTCGGGGCGACTGTAAAACCAAATGCATGATCTCATTAAAGAGATTACGGTCCTTTCTCCACTGGAACTCCTTGTGACTGCAGCATGACTTAACCACCCCCCAAAAGACATCCAAACTTTAAACTTGAATAATAAATGAATTCACACTAAACTTGAAAAGAAGATTTTTCTTCTTTTTTTGTTGTTGAGATATTTGATCTAAAATTGGCACAAAAGGGCCACCATCAACCCAGTTACACATTATTCATTCAAAATTAAAGAGAAGAAGAAGAATAAGAAGCTGAAGCTGTTGTATTTCAGTGTGACGTTGTGTCCCTCTGGCCAGCAGCGGGACATTTGCCACTCTTAAGACATCTGGAAGCTTTGGCGTCTGTGGTTTGTAGAGACAGAAACAAGCGTTCGTTGAGGGGAGAGTTTCATCACGTATGGTTTTGTTGCAAATGGAGCAGAGAGACAAACGGGGGAGAGCGGGGGGGCGGGGAGGGGGGACGTGTCTTGAGTGAACTTCGATGACGGAGCTGATGAAACACATGAAGCAGCGCTCTCACCAGCACAGCGCACTACTCCTAAATAGGCAATGCTGCCTCTTTGAATTGGAGTGCTGAGCCGAGGCAATGTTCTCTCTTGTGTGCGTCAAATGGATTGTCACCTACTGAAGTCGTCTCACTTCTCCCCTCCTCAGTGCAGAGAATAGCTCATGAATTAAACAATTACATTTTGATCAAAAGATGAAGAAAGCGAGAAAGGAATGATGAAAGAGCGAGGACGTCAATACGAAGGAATGAAGGAGACGGACAGGGGTTGATGTCTTACATGAAGGATACAGATAACGAGTTTACAAAGTTTTTACGTACGTAAATGTGCAAAAAAAACACAAATTGTACTCAAAGTATGAAAACTAACAAACGTTTGAAAGTTTGAAAAGAATTGGAAAAAAAAACATTGGGTTGAAAAAAATGTCATGGGAAAAATCCATAAATGTCGGGTTGAAAAATATTTGGTCAAAGAATTTCATGAAGGAATGTAAAAAAAAAAAGTGAAAATGACAAAAACAATTTAGTTGAAAAATCTGTCATTAAATTTTATTGAAAAAAACCCATAAATATTAAGTCTAGAAATGTCTCAAAGTTCTTAAAAATATTAGGTTGAAAGTTGTCATGGTAAAAAGTCAAATCATATTTTGTCAAAAAACGTCATGGGAAATAAAGTGGAAAAAAAAAACAAAAATAATTATGAATGATGAATAGTATAAATAGTTTGGTTGAAAAATGTCAAATAATATTTGGCCCATTGGAAAGAAAAGTAAATACATATTAGGTGTAAGAATGTAAAGAAATATTAGGTTAAAAATCGTCATGGAAAAAATATCAGAAAAAAAAAGAAAAAAAAAGTGTACCTATGAGGGCTTGAAGAGCCTGCTGGCTTTCAGTGACGGCTTTATCTGAAACTGCTTGTTTGTGCGTGTGTGTGTGTGTGTGTGTGTTAGCAACACCCGGAGCCGTATCTGCTGGACAGGAGTGTTTCCGTCTTATTAGCGCTTCCCTTGTGGCCTCTTGTCTCCACATATTTGACCTCAGTGCCACATCCTTGATTCCTGAAATAAGGTCTGTGTTGTAATAGAGCCCTGTGTGTGTGTGTGTGTGTGTGTGTGTGTGTGTGTGTGTGTGTGTGTGTGTGTGTGTGTGTGTGTGTGTGTGTGTGTGTGTGTGTGTGTGTGTGTGTGTGGTGCCCGTTGAATCACTATTTCCCTGATAGAGATAACTGTGTCTCAGTACTAACCAGCTTTGCAGGGTGACTGAGACACACGGGAGTCAGGGACGAGAGGTCATGCTGAGAGACGAGCTCTCAGGCGTCGAAGCTCGTTCCTGCCACACTCAGCGATTTGCTCTCGTTTGCTCAGGAATTACAGCCCAGATTTCCTGTTTCTCTGTGCCGGCACACCAGGAATCTACCGCTCAGAGAGATGATGGGCTTGTAGCCAAGAGGCCACACCTACCCAAATATTCACGTAATTCACATTGCACATCATGGGGTGTTTTTTATGAGAGTGTAGTCGGTTTCTATCTGTGGCAATTAGACAATTCACCAGCACGTATTGAACCGTGATTCTATTTATAATTTTATTTATTGTTCTAGATGATCAGCAGTTATTTGTGTCCTAATCTAAGTGCAGCTTTGCGCGGGCTGGAGGGGAGACGGGCACCGAGTTCCAGCTGTATTGTTCATCACGACAGCAGAGCTAAAGCCAGACGAGACTATGAAAGCAGACGTACACACTAACCAAGAAGAAGTAAGAAAAAGAAAGTCAATTTAACAAATTTAATTAAGTACAAGTTTAAGATAGATGTTCCATCACTGGACTTTTGGTGTATAAAATGTGAAACCGAGACGTGTTTCTTTAGATAAATTAAAAAGAAGTTGAAGGTAGCGTCAAAGTGCCTGATCAACACTTTTCTTGAGACAAGATTGAGATAAGATTGAGACAAGATTGAGACAAGATCAAGAATGATGACAATCCCGCGTCAACATACAATATTATAACCTTAACCGCAACATCGTCCGTGGTTGTCGTCAGTAGCTAAACTACTGACGGATGAGGAAATATTTTGTCTGTGAGAACATTCATTTTTCAGGGAGGAGAGTGGTCAGAAATGGAATCAGGAATGCACACCAGGTTTCCTGCCACTTTGAAAGGAATATTTATTTTTGGAATAATAATCACAAAATCTGCTTCAGCTGACTGTACAGTCATTATTGAACACAGCATATTGTCTTTCTCTAAAATCGGACATCGTGTACCGAGGATACCGCGCCACTTCGTCCCTCCACGGCTCAGTCATTTATATCAACGTGCTCCTGTGAGTCATCCCTCTAAGTTGTCATGTTATGGGATCCATCTTGTCCTCAGCACTCCACAAAAAAACAACAACATTTTATGTCGGGGCAGTGGGAGCATCTGTTGTCCCTCTTGGCCACCTTTTCGAAAACCTTCTGATGTTACAGCCGTGGATTCCAATCTCCAATCACCTAATCCATCTCCTCATCCGCCCGCTCCTCTGACGCATATCCTAAAAAGGTGTGGAGGGTTTTGGGTAAGGGTTTGGCTTTGGACGGGGGGGCTCGGCTCACAGGGTGGTATATACAGGCCCCCCACCCCCCAAAACACAACGAGGCTTGTGCGCTCTGGTCTTGACCTCGTGTGGATACTCCCGTCTCCTCCTCACCCCGTTTTCTTTTCTTCTATTTGTTTCCTCCTGACGGGATCCAAACATGGCCTTCAGACACTCAGGTAAAATAACCCCTGTTGCCGATAAGGATGGTGAAATTAATAAATGACTGAATATGTTGCGAGTAGTTAGGTGTAAATGTAAAACATTTCTTCTATTGACATGTTCCTGTTCAGAATTCAGGGAGGATTGTCCTCGATCTAAACAGAATTTGAAAAAAAACAAAACAACAACAGATATTTATCGTGAGAAATTTGAGAATTTCCACTACAAAAAAAGGTTTGATAAACTTGAATATATGCCTCTGACTGGACACAGATCCTGATTTCGTTTTCTCAGGATTACTCATTGACATTTGTCAACAAAATGTAAAAATATTATCGGAGCTCGAAAGTCCTCTCTGCTTTTTGGAGCTTTCGTGGTTGTGTCGTTGATGAGAAACATGCTCAGACAAATAGATAAATATCGAAATATGTGGTTGTATATTTAGAGCTCTCATCCATCTATTCATTTTCTGTGTTCAAGAACAAGCTGTTCCAAGGATTGCGATGTACCCTCTTCTTTTTCTTGGGCTGCATCTAAATATTTTAATTCTTTCTCCCAAAGCAGCGTGATGGCGAGATGTGATCATCGTAAATTTGATTTGAGTAGATTGATTCTGCGGGAAACCTTCTTTCACAACAGACGACAGAAAGCTTTTGACAACGATTTGGCAGAAACACTCTGATGAACTCACGCGGCTCTGACTCACCCCCCCAAATCTAGTCTCATGCTGACCTTTGTTGCCCCCCAACGGGGACAACGCACTCCCCCCACAGCTCGCCGCCTGCACATACCGTACGAGAGGGCAGCTGTCACTCTGTCTGTGACAAAAGATTAAAGTTACACGACTCAAGTGGAGCCACAATGGCTGCATAGTCCCAGGAGATGTCTCTCTGCATCCCCCCCGTGTCCCCTCTGGAAGGTCACTCTGCTTTAAATAGAGAGCGCGCGTCTAAAATAGACCTCTGGACCGGCTGCGCTCACAGATGAGAGCCAAGCATTGAGTGTGTGGGATTCAACATTGGGATTAAGTTTTTTTTTGTTTCTTCTGGGGAGAGAGGGGGAGAGATTAGTCCAGTCTTTATCCCTCAAGCACAGCTGCAGATAGAAACTCCTCTCCCATCCATCCATCTACACACACACACACACACACACACACATACCACACCCCGGGAGGCTCATCCCTATCACACGGCTGTCACAGCATCGCGCTCAAATAGCCGTAAATAAATATTGTCCTCGTTCCCCTGGTTACCGGGACAAATGCCATTCCACCCATTGTTTCCTCCATTTGTTCCTACCGGATTTTAAAAGGACACATGAATCACTTTTGCTAAAGCTCCTGCACGGCTCAGCCGCCCTCCCCGACGTGGTTGAGGCCTCCACTCGCTCCGCCCGACGCACAAACGCTCCTCAGGCGGCTTCTGTGTTGGACGCCGCGTTGGACGGAAGCACAGGAATGTTGACGAGGGAAGTAGCCGCTTGGTCGTTTACGCTGTCAGCCAATAGAAACATGTGAGCGTGGCTTTTAAAAAAAAAAAAAAACTTCCCTCACGCTTTGCTCATCGGGCTGGAATGCCGTCTGTTTCTGACACAACCCGTGACCCCGTCCCCGGGTACCCGTTGACTTGCATTGTTCAGGGAGATGAGGACGACACTGGCCCCATCTGGCCCCGCCGGCGAGGACAGAAGCCTGACTGTGTCTTTGGTTTCCCGCAGGTCACAAAAGCTACCTCACCTCCACCATGACCGACCGCTTCGACTGCTACTACTGCCGGGACAACCTGCACGGCAAGAAGTACGTGATGAAGGAGGAGAAGCACGTGTGCACCAAGTGCTTCAACAAGCTCTGCGCCAACACCTGCGCCGAGTGCAAGCGCCCCATCGGCGCCGACGCCAAGGTGAAACACGCGGGGCCTGAGAGGATGTGTGTGGGAGTGGAAGTGGAGTAAGGGAGGAGTTAAAGAGGGCAGGAGTCGCTCTGTTTTCTATTTTGACATCTTCTTTTCCATATAAAATCTGATAAACTGAAATATTAGAAAATACAACAAATGGTAGTTGGTAGGTTGATACATGAAGTGTATTTTAATGTCATGATTTAGCTATAAAACTACCACGAATAATTTACTTTTACCAACCAAACCCTCATATTATGTGGTGAGTTATTTAGTAATAGTGAAATATCTGTGTAGGTTGTTAGCAGCACCTTTTTGATTGTTGTTTTTTTGTGGGAGCACCCAAAGGTGTGCGTTCTAAAGACGCAACATGGCGCCTTCATAACAAAAACAACACTATTGTTAAATTTCAAAGCATGCTTAATACACAGAGGAACTCAACAATTCAGTTTAGATCAGAGGTCTGCAAGTGTGGAGATTGACAAACTCAACCTTTCTACCATTAAACACTTTGACGTCACGTTAAACAGCCGCGCGTCCGCTTGTGTGACACAGCGAGACTGACGTTGACGTTGGTAGATCATCGTGGTCAGCTCATGGGCCCGTGTGGCGCCCCCGGTCTGGGCGGCGAGGCCCGCGTGCACGGCGGTGCCCCCGGTTGGGGGCCTCAGCACATCCAGCTTCCTCCCTGTGTTTCAGGAGCTGCACCACAAGAATCGCCACTGGCACGAGGACTGCTTCCGCTGCGCCAAGTGCTACAAGCCGCTGGCCAGCGAGCCGTTCAACGCGCGGGATGACGGCAAGATAATGTGCGGCAAGTGTGGCTCCCGGGAGGACGGCAACCGGTGCCAGGGCTGCTACAAGGTGGTCCTGCCAGGTGGGGGGGGGGGGCGGTAGAGTCTTTAAGAGCAAAGTCAGATTATCTTTGGAAAACCTCTTGACCTCTTGGTGTTTTCTGGCCGGTTTGAAGTGGGTAGGACTCAATTGAAAGGAAGACGACGTTAAATGGGGTTGGGGGGCTGTTTTGCTCATGTCCGGCGTGTTAGGATCCCAAAACGTGGAGTACAAAAGCAAGGTGTGGCACGAGGAGTGCTTCACCTGCTTCGACTGCAAGCAGCCCATCCGCTCGCAGAGCTTCCTGACCAAGGGCGAGGACATCTACTGCGCTCCCTGCCACGACAAGAAGTTTGCCAAGAAGTGTTTCCACTGCAAGCAGGTACGAGTCACCCGCGGAGTCTGTGCACACACTCGATTTCAGCTCGGCGTTCCAGCTTTGGGGTCACGGGCGTTCCTCTGTCCCTCGCAGCCCATTTCCTCGGGAGGGATCAGCTACCAGGACCAGCCGTGGCACTCCGAGTGCTTCGTGTGTCACACCTGCCGTAAAACTCTGGCCGGAGCTCGCTTCACTTCCCACGAGGACCACGTGTACTGCGTGGACTGCTTCAAGACCGACGTGGCCAAGAAGTGCAACGGGTGCAAAAACCCGATAACAGGTCAGTGGTTCATGGGTCACTTCGACTTCCCCCATCGTGGGATTGTTGCACATTCGTTCTGCAGCTTCATTTTCTTTCTTTCCTGCACAATAATAACAGCTTCTGAGGGGCTGCAATCCACTAACAGATGACTACATGACGACTACTTTGCGTGTTGAGTTGCAACGATCACCAATGGTTAAAAAAAGGGTTTTAATGTGTCACAGCAGGAGCATTTTTTAATGACATGTTATGGACATTTTATAATTCTCTTGTTGATTAATTACTAGTGTTTGACGACTTACTGTGAAAGATGTGATGAGTAAAACAGAACACAAGCAGCCGAGCATTAATGTGGGGAATTCTTTATACTATTCATCTTAACATAAAATATAAAATCAAGGAAAACATTTTCCATCAACTTTGAGCAATGATGATGTTACCACAAACGAAAAGTACAATGGAGACTTTTGACTTGATATTTTTACTTATTTATGGCATCACACAAACCTTAGTACGGCATACAATGCAGTGAACATATTACACTTACTAATTTATTTACAACATTATATAAACTTACTTTTATGGCCAACTATGACTTTTTGATTCAATCTGTTTTTTACAGAAATGAAATGACATGACTTAATTCTGTACTCTGTACTTCTGAAACAATCTGACAAGAGACGAATTTACCTTTTAAATTTACTTTTCCATTCAGCCGCGATTCAAAACATTTAAAAGTGACTTTAGATTAGATGACGTTAACGCATAAATTGGTCCAATGCAGTAAAATGCAGCACCATCGACCCTCCACACATGGGAAACAGCTTCACTTAGATACATCACCATAAAAAATAATTTCACATTTAAGAACACAATTTTGTTCACTTTCAAGTAGGTTCTGAAAAAAAGGAGGTCTGCATTCTGCGTCCATCACCACCCGTCCTTCACTGCTGACTGACGAGTGTCCTTGTCTCCGTGTCCCCGTGTCCCTGCAGGGTTCGGCCACGGCACCAACGTGGTGCACTACGAAGGCTTCTCCTGGCACGAGTACTGCTTCAACTGCAAGAAGTGCTCCCTGTCGCTGGCCAGCAAGCGCTTCGTCATCAACGGAGATCACATCTTCTGCCCCGACTGCGCCAAGAAGGTGTGAAGCGCGGGAAGGAGCCGCGCAGGAGGCTTCTGCCTGAAGTGCGATTGCAGCAAAACACAGATGGTTTTAAAAAAACAAAACATTTTATTAGTGAGGAAAATTTAGGCCTCAAAGTTATAGAAAGTGTTTTTCTTGCTGAATCTGGCTGAAAAAAATAAAGATTTTGGTGATGCTTCAGTTTTTAAGGTTGAATTTAGTTTAATTCCAACTAAATATGCACTAATCTGACTCATTTATCTACATATACGTTATTGCAAGTTGTTTCGGTGTTGGATACTAATATGGCATTATTTGTTTTGGGAGATTTTGATGTGTAACATTAGTATATTCTAATCCACAGCCGCAATGGAGTCCATAAGACATTCGTATGCTTATCCTCATGTATGCAAAGCTTTCATTATTAATCTGTGTTTGAATTGATGCTAACATACTGTAAACACTGCTTGTGTATTAAAGTATGTAGGTATTGTGGGTGAATTTGAATCTAAAAGAAGAATAAAAGGTGGAAGCAGTCTAGAGTATTATTTCTCTATATCACATTCTATTCCTTTACCATTGATGACACATATACCATTTTATACAATTGAATTATTTTTGTCACTTTTCCATGACTTTTTAGCATATTATGCAATGACCTCTTTTATAGCTTATTTTTTACATTCTTCTATACTGTGACATTCTCTGCCTTTGTCCTACATGCTGTATGACAATATTTTGTATGTATTATACCATTTATTTTTAACCTTTTTTTATGGAATTATTTGTACATTCTATACTTTGAATTGTTTATAGCTTTTTTTTTTAGATTGTATAATACCTATTTTTGACCAACTGTTCCGAAAGACTATTGTATGACTTATTGACTATACTTTTACTTTAAATGAAGATTACTGACTTCGGACTTTTTGGATACTATGATACGACTTTTCGAAATACAATACCAGACAATTGTGTTTTTTTACTGATTCTTTCCACACACACACACACCCTTATACTGACTTTTTGTACAAAATACACAATTTAAAAAGAAAACTGACATATGAACCATTAGTCTTTTCTTTCAACATACTATGTTCTAGCTTTCTTACAACTTTATATGTCATGACTTTATACATAAATACTACTTTTACTTTCAAACAATACGACCGGTTTTCTTTTTTCATTTTTTCAAATCTTTTTACTCTTTTACATTCATATTGCCGCTCATACACAAACTTTCATCTGCTACATTTGTTTTTGCGCTCGTGACTTTGTGAGTTAAGTTACATTTAAAACAAATACAATTAGGAAGTGAAGATTCTTTTTCTCAAAAAGAAAACACTGAAAAAGAGCATCTTTGCAAGACTTTATTCGTTATTAACAGTTTGTATCATCTCAGTACACTTAAGATATATTTACAGTACAAATTTTACTCGTGGACAGGGCATTGGTAGGTCTGTAAATCTTCCCAAAAAAAAAAAGAAATTCACTAAGTCGCCCCAGTTGGATAGACGTGATTGTCGAGGCCGAGGTAAGGAAAAGCTTTCTTAGTCAAGTGTGATATAATAAAACCACTAAATATCATTCTAAGGCACCGTTCTATTCTATTGGGGTTAAGGACTTAAAGCAGTCAGCTCTGTACTCCAGAAGAGGTACAGCATCTGTTCAAGCAGCAGCTACAACAGCCGCCCCCCCAGTAGATCAGTGTGTGAGTGGAAAGATGAGTAGGATGAGTTTGGGGTAAATTTGGATACAGACAAGTCTGGGATGATAATGACACTTCTGAAAAATCCAGTCAAGAACCAATTACTTTTTCACACAACTCGCCTTACAATATAAATCGACTCCTCAGAAACCAATTTCATTCAACACACGGTGAGAAATTTGTGTTTTCCCAGATGAATAATGGAAATAATGGAAAGCAAAAAAGCGGGCAGCTGGGACAGACACGGTAAGTAATGAAGGACGCTTTATGGAGTTACATTCTTTGAGCATATAATTAAGATCGAAAGCTGTGCGACTTATTATGTACAAAGATATTTTAGTTAGACAGCAGAGAAGGCGGCAACAATTAAGAAAAAGGTCCGCGAACCTCGAGCGTGGACTGTTTAGAGTATTGAGTCTCATACGAGTCGTGACAATCCTGACGAGACACAAACCTTCCTGACTTGAGTCGTATCTGGTTTGCTGCATGCGCCCTGCCTCAAACTACAAAGACCAGATCAAATCTGATCCCATACGCCAAATAGAAGCATCCCCATCGACACCACGCAAAACCCATTGTGAGAAAGTGACGTTAAGAAGCCCGGCTGAGGTGTTCTGACAACTGGGCATCAAAGGCAGCTCATTAAACCTCTGAGAGCAGACTCTGCATCAACGCTTGGTATTTGGGGTAGAAAGCCAACAAACAGAAATACACACAGCGTATTTTGAGTAACTAAGTGGCCCATTTTTCTTTTCTTTTTTTTTTTGCAGAGCTCACGTGGACGAGGGCTTCATGTAAATGTTGCCCGGCTGCCCAGACCTGACCGCCCTGTCGCAGGGCACGAGTGGAACCGAAAGCTAACACAGTGTAGCACGGTCACACACACACAGAGACGCCACTCCATCCGAAACATGGCTTCTTTCGCCTAACACTGATTATATACACACACAACACAATAACACTTAAATATATGTAGAAATGTATTTTCATATATAAACAAAACAATCCAATTTTATATTGTAAAAAAAATAATAATTGAAATGCGTTTAGTCAGATGTAGTAGCTCTCGGGTCAAGACTTTTCCAATAGGGATAGTTAGTGGGAAATGAATGGAACTGATTGAAAGAGCCGCACGGACCGATAGACAGATGGAACAGTGCACGTGGATGTGTATGTTGAGCTTAAATTGAACCCAGATAATTGGATAAACTCATTTTTAGTTTGAGCTCAAAAACAGCTGCGAATGACTTCACCCTCTACTGAAGCAGCTGTGTGGTGGAGACTAAAACTGGACCAACTCTGGTACTGATGCAAACGGTGTCGTTAGTAAACACAAATTCTATGTACATATATAAAAATAAACACGAACAAGCCCTACATGACCTAACTGCTGAAAGGAATTTCATTTCTCAGCTTAAAATGTAACAGTTGGAAGCGTGCGTCTGCCGCCCTCTGGTGGCCAAAGAAGCAAACGCATGCTGAGAGGAGCCGGAAGGACAGAGCGTGTGACCCGAGGTGTGAACACAGAATCCACTCCCCAGCGTAAACGCACCAGCGCTAAAGTGTCCGTGCACGAGCCTTAGCACAAGCAACTCAGCACATGCACACTTTAAGTTAGAAGTTAGAGACCAAAATGTTAAGGCTATTATTGCTGCATGCTGCTCGAAGCAGCCGGTTTGGGTAAATTTAGATCACATGCGAATCCCGGGATGCTCTCCTCACCGAACCTCAGACAGAACAGAATGTGTGAACGGCCCTTCCTTTAACTCACGTTCAACTCATACAGCCGAATGTGCACGCGTCCTGGAATATTCTCAGACAAGAGAAAACAAAAAAGACTAAACATAGAACAATAATTACAATAACAAAGAAGCCAAAAATTAATAAATTACATCAAATGCACCCCTGACAAAGACAAAACTCATAAAAAACATCAACTTTGGACACAAAACAAAAATGAACACAAGAGGAAGAGGAAAGACACCTGAAGTGAGCATGTTGACGCCATGTGTGGAATTTTCCCTGAAGCGTCACTTTATAATTTATAGGAATTCGTAAATGTTTGCTCATAATGTGGGGTGCAAATGTAGCACTTGGGGTGGTCTTTCCGCTTCACCTTGTGCTCCTCCTTCTGGAGGAGGTGTTGGGTACGGTACAGGACACGTTTTTTAACGGAGCTCAGCTAGACAGGAACTTCACGAGTGCAACAGGAAGAGGCTTCTCAGCGACGGCTGCAGCATCAAATCTCTACGGAAAAACGCAGAAGAAATCAGTTACGGCCCAAATATGTAAAAAATGAGGTCGAAAAGGGTACGTTCCAAATAGGCGGAAGCGTCTCCTCACCTGGGAGGGCCTCTATGGGTTGATTAGAGGAATGCAGGGTTCCGACGGGGGTTCCCTTGTCCTCAAAGGCTACCCTGGTCCCGTCCGAGCTCTCGTCGCAGTGGATCAAGACCTGGTTACAGTCCTCCGCCTCGATGAGGGGCAGAGCCTTCGAGTGGACGTTGAGGTCAAGGAGCTCCTCGAAGCTCCACTGTGTGGACTTGCCATTGAGGCCCGAGACCCGGCCCACCTTGGCGGAGTCCTGCTCATTCAGGAACTCCGAGCCCTCGACGAGGCGGCTGTCAGGGACCGGGCTGCAGGAGGTGGTGGGGGGGGGGGGGGGGGGGGACCAAAGAAACAACAGCAAACAAGCAAAAGCCCAGTAAGCCCGTCGCAGCTCCAAACCCGATCTCACAGACATAGAACTTAACGTCTTTAAAGAGATGCGAAATAAGTGGTGCTTCTCCAGTGACGCGACGCTGGCATTTCTCTCGTCATACCTGACGGCCTGACTCTCCGCTGTGCTTCTGCCGTTGTTATTCTCCTTATCGTGCGCCTCTTGCTCCCCGTTCACGCTGCCCAGGGGCTCCTCCCTCCGCGCCTCGGGCTCCCCAGAGGATAGACCACACTCGTCTTTATCGTCATCCTCCATGGCCATGCCGTCTGACTGGCCTACGACATCGATGGGGCGGGGGATGGAATTGAACAGGACCAATCAGAAGTCATGTTGAGAGTTTAGTGAATCCACACGAGGAACCCACATATGTAAAGTACATGCAAACATGTACTTTGGTCTACTCTGGTCTTCTAAACAAGCCATCTGTGAGACGGGTAGAGGACAGAGACACTTACTCTGGGTTTCATAGTCGTCTCCCTCCTCTTCATTGTCCGGTTTATCGTCATCGCCTCCATCTCCCTACGCAGGAGACACAAACACCGCGTCAACGTGCACTCAAGTGTCGATGAGGAGGCCGACTGAATGGGAGCTCACCTTCATGTCGCTTTGGTCCCCTTTTCTGGTTCTTTTCATTATTTCGTCAATCCTCTAAAAATGGAAAGAAGCATTTGGTTTGTAAATAATGTTTAATCGAACGAGTGAAGAAACTGGTTACAGGATGATTGATTGATTGATTAAATGACAAATACTTGTTTGTCATTTTTGTCAGGACTCAAAAAGGAGAAGCCATCCTGGATAGATGATGTCAGAAAATGTCCGTCGAGCCATACCTTCTTCCTCTCCATCCGCTCCTGCTGGTTCTGCTGCATGATGCGGTCTCTCTCCAGACGGACTTTCTCGGCCTCCTCCGCGGCCTTGACCTCGGCCTCCTCCCGTTCCTTTTGGAGCTCGGCTTGTTTCACCGCCTCCTCTTCTGCCATTCTCACCCGCTCCTCCTCTGCCAGGCGGGCGTCTTCCTCATCTTGAATTTTCCTTTCCTCGGCGAGCTTCTTGTCCTCCTCCAGGCGTTTCAGTCGAGCCTCCTCGGCCAAGCGCATCTCTTCTTCCTTCCTCAGCCTGGTCGTAAAGAAACCGCAGTGAGCGGCTCAGAAGCATACAAAATGACGACAAAATGCCAAAAGATTGTGCTATATTTAAGAAAATAGAAAAAAGGACAATAAATCTTACTTCTCCTCTTCTTCCCTCTGTACCCGGAGCAGCTCCTCTTTCTCCTTCTGCTCTCGCATCAGTCTGCGGTTCTCCGCCAGGATCTTGGCGGCCTCAGCGGCCGAGTTGGTGCCCGTCGAGGCTTTGGGGTCTGACGGGTAGAGACACAAACATGGAAAAGCTGTCCCACCCATGGCTCAATGTGGTGCTGACCCGAGGCCACAGCGTCTGGCCCTGCGTGGGACGCAGTGGGGCTGATGGCAGAGAGAGGAAGCCAGACTGGGGGAGGAGGTGAGCAGAGATAGAGGAGGACGGGGGAAGAATAAAGAAGCTTGCTGCCGGGTTGTGTGACTTTCACATGATCATCTGGGTCTGATGTCACGATTATCTCGGTGCTCTTTGAAAGAACTCTGTGGAAATACAGCAGCTTTGCAGCAATGATCCCTTCAACAAATCAGAGCCTATAAGTAGGAGTAATATGTTCCATATTTAAACATGAGAATATTGTGATGTCTACATCGTAGTCAGGTATTTATTTGGTTGATGAATCAAAAAGACAGAAATATTAGATCACTTTTTAAACCCACCATAACATAAATGTTTACATCCAAACTGCGTCACCTAGTTTGAGTTTTCACATCCCTCTAGTGCCCGGTGCAGTGCCGAGAAGCATTCAGTAGTAAAGCATTACGAAGCGGTTTGAGTTGCAGATGGCGCTTCTCTCCAGGAGGTGACAGCAGAAACAAACCCGGGTCTGTCACAGGATGCGACTCCTGCGAGAGCTTAATACGCCTCCTGCTCCACTGAGATTTGTTGCAAACTCAACTGGTACCACGTCAGCCCACAAACACTGAATAAGACTTCTCGTCAGCTAAAACGGCAAGAATAGAACTCGAGCAGTATTGTTGTGTATAACAGTTTAGTTACCAAAAGAAGCGTTTGTGCTTCCTCCTCCTATTGGTATTTGCACTCCCTTTGTAATAGCATGTTTAAATTTATCAGGTGTGACAATGGATATGTAGAGAATGAGCAGCGAGAAGCTGTGTAGAAACGATCATTACTTCACTGACAAATTAAGGAGCTGATTTTTCAAAGGCGAATCACTGGATCAAGGTTTACTTCGTTGAGCCCTCCTGGGTGTGCAAGTAAGTCTGGATTTGCATAACTAATATTTAGATAGTCAAGATTAAATTGATGTCTCGCTGAGTCACTCGCCTCCCTGGAACATGTCAGCATGTGATCTAGTACAAACATCCTTGTTGCCAGAACAACCGTCGGCCGTGGCAAATATTGGCACTCCCTAATTAAAATCGGTTTGTTAAGCCCACCGTTATATGGACCTCCTTCATAGGTTTTGTCCCATTATCAAAGAGCTTCCATGCTGTTGGATACATTTTCATGACGCACAGTAAAACAGGACTCTCATCACTGGGAATTGCTCACCGTCTTTCTCTTTGGTCTTGTTGGAATCAGACGCCTGTGGAGACAAAGCCTGCACAGGACACAGATCCTTGGACTTGGAGTCCCTCTTTCGCAGGGTGGGGGGCCCTGTTGGAGTGAGAGCCGGTTTCTGGATAGGTGGAGGTTTGGCCGACGCCGGCTGGGGGGACGGGGGACGTTGCTTCATTGCGCCGGGTGAGGGTGGGCGCGTCCTGGGACTTTGCCTGAAAGGACAAAGTGTGAGTTGTGCGTTTGAAAATGAAGGCAAAACTCTTCAAAACAATTGAAGTAAAACGTCACAGAATCACTGAAGGTGAATTGGAGGAGGAGGTCTTACTTGGATAATGTCGGGGAGGGGGCCCTCTTTGGAGCGGGGTTGGGCGCCGGGGAGGGTGAACGGTTGCGTCCCAGGGTGGAAGATGGAGAGGCGGGACGCTGCCGTCCCGGCGATGTTAGCGGCCTGTCCTTCTGCCGTCCCATAAAGGTGAAGGAAGTCATACATGAAAATCACTAAAATGGATATGTGCGCCACTAACCTTTTATTATCTAAAGGAAAAATAGCACATCTAAGTCAGGCGGCTTAACGCATCTATCTTCAAAACACAATTTAACCAAAGTGTCCCGCAACGCCTGAGTGACGATCTACACCGATCTGTGCACGTGGGGGAGCGAGGACAACGGAATGGGGAGCAAAGTCAAAGGCCTTTGACATTAGGCTGCTGGGTCAGGGTGGGGCCCGATTTGCATGCTCCGATCCGTCTGTAATCAGGTCACTGTTGATCGCTTTGTCCCGCGCTACGACAATGAGGGCCTTTCACCGCCACACAGGAGGACATGCATGTTGAGAGGGAGGGACAGACAGGCCGAGGGAAAGAAAGACACGGAGACAGAGACAGGCACTACGGACCACCACGGGAGACTTACGAGTGTTGGTAACGTATCAGGTTGATATTACGAGTGACCAGCGCGGGTTAGAGACGAGCTGGAGGAGCAACATTTCCCTACGGTCAGCATCCTGCACAAGTACTTTGACAGGCAAATAACCGGATATGTGCGTATAAATCTGTCCGCCTGAGTCTTTGGTGCCATCTGCTTATTACACTGAGGAAAGCGTGAACTTAGTTCTCACTATTTGAGACGCCTGTGGACTGTCAAACGGTCGTAAATCTTGATTTTTTTCTGGTCTATCCATAATTTCAAAGTCCGTGTCAAATACTTTCCCATAGAAACCAAACTATTGCTTAATGAAAAAGGCAACAAGGTTTTTACAAATGCAGCACTATGTCTTAATTCAGTCTGAAAAACATTATTAACTGTGACTTATTTCTACAATGTCATATTGCTTATTCTCAAAGAACTGGATTTCCACTGCGTAGTTTGAAAATGGACAAGATTGCAAACCCCCTCAATAAACGCAAACCGACCGACTGACACGGGGCTGTAAAATTATTATTGTTATATACCATTTCCTCAAGGTAAAATCGGGTTAAAATAAGGGTTTCCATGCAGCAGGGTTAAGCCAAGACACTTTGCCTCCTAATATTTAAAAACACACACCCCTCCTCGAGGAACCAATATCAGTGCGTCAACTCGAGTCACTCGCATAGGCCTAAAAAACAGCCTTCTCCTCCACGGGGACACAAAAACACGGCCCAGGGGGAGGGGCAGGGGAGGGCCGCTCGGCCAATCACTGAGCGCCACAGACCCTTTCACTCGGCGGCATTAAGTGACCCAAACTCAAGAAAGCGCTTCTCCCGTTAGAGGTGCCAAGACTCTCTGCACGACACAGAGGTGGTCATCCCCTCTTTCTGCCGTTTGGTGTGAAGCTGACGACCGGACCCCCGCTGTGGTGTCAGGGGGCTGACGGAGAGTGAGCGAAGACACAGGTGCTCTCTGTAAAAGACACAGTCATCGCAGCGCCAGGGAGCATACCATGCGGGGGGGCGGGAGAAGCGGCGGAAAGAAGAAGAAGAAAGAGAGAGGAGAGAGAGGAGAGAGATTGATGTTGAACGAAGTGAAGGGTATAGTTTGTAAGGGCACAAGAGCACAAAAAAAGCGATTTTTAGACGGAGCACATCGATTTGGGAAGCTTTGATTGAGCCGGAGATTATAGAAGACTTGAGAAGCAGAGAGCAACAATCTCTCTCACACACACACACACACACACACACACACACACACACACACACACACACACACACACACACACACACACACACACACACACACACACACACACACACACACACACACACACAGCAGGTGCCAAAGCCTCTGGACACAACATGAACACACACCCAAAACACAAACACCGGGAGCTTCACGGCGCGCGCACACACTACACTTACCAACAACACAAACACTGCAAACACATATCACATATGTGTTTACGTATTAGTAAACTAAACGCAGTAAGGATGTTGATTGTCGTTTGATGTGTTGTGTGTCGGTAAATAGAAAATGAGTTTGCCATCATTCAGGGCTTCCTGACTCTAGATTAGACGTTGAGTGCAGCTCTCGCTGTGGTTTCTGGCACAAAGCGTTACCAGTTACCACCGTTACCGTTTCTAGCGATGTGATATATGTGTAAGTAAGGATTAACTGATCGCTGTGTGGCCTCCGGGTAGTGAGGAAAGTAAAGGCCGCTGTCCACCGGCTAGGATCTTGCTGTGTCAGATTGAGGGATTAGCCGTGATAATCCGGAGACCTGAGGTACCCTCTGGGATTCTGACCGGCTATGTTGACCATGAAATCGATCGTGCTGTGAGCTACCGCTGCAGCTGATGCAGACGTGTCACGTTTCTACTGGGGCCAGACGATCTATAGCTGCTAATGGGTTTGTAATGGCCCGTCAATATCACCACAACCCAAAGCCAACAAGGGCAATACAGCTTCTTTCAGTGTCGTCTAGGACTATTTATACTCTTAATCTCGGCCTTAAAATAGTGTAGCTCACACCCATCGCAACGGGTCACTGAAGCAGTTCACTGTGGGGTAAAGCGAGCGGATCCTCCGGTGACACTTGGCAGCCCGCACGGAGGGCTTCACAGGCATTTATACTACACAAGGTGTGAACCAGGGACGAGCATCAATGGTGCGACATCAAGCCAATATATGCCATTGAAATGCCCGCGGTGACTTTTCCACCAGGGCGTATTGGGAGTCTCACTACCAGGACACATGCAATAGCACGGCGATCTCAATCTGACGTAACAAGAACCAACAGGTAAGCAGCTTAGAGCAAATCTCCCAGCGTGGCCCTCGAGGCTCCTCAAAATGCAGAGAAACGCTCCCAGCCAAGTCTGCTGTGCTCAGCTCAGCTCACAACAGTCAGTTGTGTAAGAATGCATGTGAGCTGGACCCGTGTGTGTGCGTCAATATTTACTGAGAAACTACGCTCTCTCACATGAGTGTACTTTGCCGCGAATAATACACACACACCACACGAAAAGCTGATTGTAACAATAGCCGCTTTTAAACATATGGAGCTGATCAGCGACGTGGCTAATTCCTCCACCGCCGCCAAGACGCCACTGTTGACTTTGAGCGGACCGCTGGCCTTTCAGAAGGGCACTGTGACGCGAGCGCAGATGTAGTGAGGTGACGCTGGGTGGACTTCTACTGATGAAATGAGGGGGAGTGGGGAGGAGCGGGTTCTGTGTCTAGCCGGCCTTTCTCTACGTCAGGGTTTTCCGAGGTTACCTGGAGCGTTCGTTCCTTCCGCCGACAAGGCCGCGGCGCTCTTGCTCCTAGCTAGTGAGGCCTGGGTGGGGGTGAGCAGGCGACTAAGAACCCCTTCGTCCACAGTGCCGGCCGGTGGCCTGCGAGCTACACGGCCGCCAAAGGACACCCGAAAAAAGAAAAAAAAAAACAGAGAGGGACAAAAGAGGCCGAGAAGGACAGAGTGGATGAGAATGGGGGGGGTGAAGGCAAAACAGAAAAAGAGTAGGAGGGGGGTCAATGAAGTTTCAGAAAGGTCACCATGTGATTTAACCAGCAGGAGAGAACAAACAACCAACCAGAGGTCACGGCTCACTAATCTTACATGGGCTCAATTCGCTTAACTTGTGACATTAAATGCAATGAGGATAGTCAGTAAGTGACAGTGAGGATGTCATGGAAAAATGATGAGACTGAGCAAACACTGATTGTCTGGTAACTGAAGATCACTTATAACAGAAGTTATAGAAGTGGATAATGACGTCAAATCAAAGGTCCCTTGAGGTGGAGGGGGGGTGAACTGATGGGAAAACGATCCATTAGTGAACTTCAAAAAGAGTATTATTTGGTAGGAAGAGGAGTAGCGAAACTAAACTAAGTGATGGGAAGAGACTGTGCAATAGTTCTTCAGCTTCTGCTGTGCAAACCTTTGTATGGTCAATATAAAGAAGGTGACCCATTCAATGGAAACAAGGAGGCTGACTGCGGTGGTCATCAGGTCATGAAAGCATGATGTTGGGTATTGACTTCACAGAAGAAATAAAGGTCTCCTGCTTCCATGAAATGAAAGAATTAATAATTCCTTTTGGTTCATCGTTGCTTAAGCTACAAAGTAAAATCCCACCAGACGACGCATTTTAAGTGTTCTCGGCTTCATTGTTGTCCGACTCTTAACATCTGTTGCAGACAGACTTGTTCGTTAGCCGAGTGCTCGCAGATATTAATGTGACATATTATTCTCAGTTAAAGTCATAGTTGTGTGAGAGATTTTGGGTGAAATAAATGTTATTCATGCTGATAGGAAGTAAAAAGTCAGTTTGAATGATGGTAGCGATGTCGTGTTATTTTCTAGGCTAACCACACAGAAAGAAAAAAAAGAACTTTGCAGAACAGGAACATTGTCACAGCGGATCTCCCGTACGAGTGCAAACATCACTATGGGACAAACAGAAGCATCGGTGGTTAGTGGCAATACGCGGAGCGCAGGGACTCTGGGGGTGCTATGGCGGGATGGCGGTGCCACACACCGCACCGAAGCACGAGCCGTGTGACTTAAATGGAGCTGTGATGTCATCTGGGAGGAAGAAAACAATCAAGACTTTGTGACAACGACACAATACACTTTGTTAGTGCGGACACGGCGCGCAGGCAAGCCGTTGCTGGGTGGTCACTTGAAAAGAACAACAATCAAAAGATGGTTAGAACAAGCAACGCTTTGGGTTAGAAACGCACGGCACGGAGCAGGCTCCGGCGGGTTAAGACAGCAGAGCGGTTAAGGGACACGCACAATGTCCCCAGTGAGTCACAGACGCACAACACTTCAGAGAGGCCCGGCGGCTGCCTGAGGCCGGTTCGGAGTGAGAGAGCAGGACTTAATTAGAAGGGAACGTAGACGGAAGGAAGGAGGAAACTCCGGCCAGTTTATAAGCCCACACAGCGGAGGACAGTGAAACGAGCGGTACGCCGAAAGCTCCCAGACGCCGGCGGTGTTGACGAGGTCTTGAAAGCCGAGCAAAATTCAGAACGAGCAAGCGGCTAACATCGTAGCGACATGCCGGTTATCGTAAAAAAAAGGGGGAGGCCTGAGATAGAGGCCTGATAAAGCCGGTCGCTGACTGTTCATGCTAGCCACCTTGCTCCTCCGGTGTGGCCTCATCGGGCTTGGCGGGGCTCTGCGCTCTGCCCTCACGTACTCGCGTGAGGGAGGCGCTTCTCTTCTTGACGGAACGGCCTACGGACATGAAAGCGGAGTTACGGCCGAGCAGTCGCTGGAAAGGCAGACGGCAGCTGAAGGGTAAATTGTAACAGCACAATCAAATAATAATCCGGGTAAACTATTGTGGAATAAATAAACATCAAAGTGTGGTTTGTCGTAGCGGTCACAGAGCTCATCTTATAATGGAACGCATCGACTGTTTTCTCTTTGAAGTGTGGCGGTTCGCTGCATTGTGCACAGTCTTCACTACGAGGGCGCCGTGTGAGATGGAGAGGGGATTTCTGCACCTGTGGGTTCCACATGAGGCTTTTTGCCGTCTTCCTTACTGGCCAGAGCAGCATTGCCATTGTTAGGCAACCGATTACAAGATGAACTCCTCTGCTTAACACCTGAGGGACAATGATGAAACACTTGATGAGGAATTTACACAGCGATCTTTTGAGGACGGCACAAAGTCGCTCAGACTTTTTTTCTTTGGAATATATTCACAGGCCTTGGAAAGGAAAAGCATGATTAAAACCGTAGAGCAATCAACAGTTTCAGGGAGGAGAAATGGCACACCTAGAGAAATAGGAATCAACTGGTGAATCAAAAGATGCTAAAGAAGTGTGTATAAAAGCACGATGCGGTGCTTGGGACCTCTCATGATTTGGAAAATTTGATCCAGTGCTTCGTAGAGGTGCATTGTGAATGGACTGAGAGGCCATGCTACTTCATAACTAAGTGGATCCAGAGAGCTCAAGCACTTTTTACCAGACTGTCAGTGCTCCAGAGGGTCTGTTTAAAGCCCTGCATATGGAGAGCACAGGGGTCAAAGTTCACTCCACCTGGAACAGTATTAATCGGCCATTCTCCAACTAGAATGATTATGAACCGAGTAGAACATACTACCTTGGTTAAGAAACAGCACAGAACTGCAAGGCGGGTAGGAGGAATGGATGAAGGGAGGCAGGGAGGGGGAGAGGGAACCAATGAGGAAGGGAGGGAGGGAGGGATGGAAGAGAGGAGACTTACGTTTGTCGGGAGATTTGACAAGGGTGGCAGAGGAGGAGGATAGGCGTTTGCTGATGCCAGCCTCGGACGGCTGTTTCAGGTTCATGGTGGATGTGGAGCGCTTGTCCACTGAGGGGGAGCGGAGGAGAGACAGACAAGGGAGGCGGGATTTACACTTGAGGTCGGCCAATGGAGGAAGGGATTTGGGTGGACACAGGGGAGTACACGTTTCTGCAAGGTCCTAATACCCCGAATATGCAGAGGGTGATATGCTGCTTCAACAATACAATTACAATTAAAATAAAAGGAATACAAACTAAAGAAATACTGAAATACTTTAGCAATGTGCTACGGAAGCAGTGCACATTCAATGTGCAAAACACATGATATGCAGCATGAATTTGCAGTTAAATACCATGTATTAAATGACAAAGGTTTTTTTTTTTTTTTTTTTGAAACAAACCATAACAAAGTTGTTGTGGTTTTTAGAGACAAGCGTGGTGGTTAGTAGACTTCAGATGCTTTTTTTTTTTAACACCCCACAGAGGAGAGCATCACCAACATGATCCGTGCCAGAGAAATCCAAAGATGAAATGAGTCGTGTTTTTTGCATGTGCCACATAATTGTCCCTTCATGCAAAGTCACCCATGTGACCCGGACGGTGTGAGTCAGTGAACAACCTAAAGCTACACGTCCAGCTTTTCACCCTAGACATTAGGAACAACGGCCCCATACAAAAACTGTTAGTGAGAAGCTTCCAGTTAGGCTGCAGGTGGAGGGGGGAGTTGGGGAGCGTGGGGGTTGGTGGGAAGCGTAGAAGGTGAACCAGGCTATCTAGGGTGCCAGTGCCAGTCCATGCCGAGTTGCTACATTGGCGAGCAAATGATCAACAAACAAAACCTTGTCGACTCCTGGGTGGCTTTTCTGGCGAGGCAGGGGAGATAACTATAGTTACTGGAGACGAGGAGCTGGCATCAGAGTCTCCTGTGGGAAAAAGACAGCTCCCAGAGAGAGGCAGTAAATTACAAGATGCGGAGTCACATCCATCAAACAGGGGGGGAGAGAGAGAGAGAGAGAGAGAGAGCGAGAGAAGAGGCAAACATGGCTGCCAGCCTCTGCACTCTCGACACACAGTCCCTGAAGCAGTAAGGGATATGCTGAGTGTTTATGCCAAAGGTTCATGGGAATCAGTTAGTGCCTTGACAATATAAACAAACTGCAATTTAAATGACCCGTGTATTTAAAAGCTTTGAACCTTGTGGATATTTGCGTTAATGATCACAAACTTGACCACTATTGTTTCTTTTAGTGTATTCTTATTGCATCCACCGTGGCAAATGAGTGATGAAAGTCAAAGTGAACAGAAAGTAAAGGGGATACTTTTTTAAAGGGGTAGAAAGGGCCTGTACCTGTCCGCCCGTCTGAGTCGGTGGACAATCCTCCCCAGGACCATCTTTTCTGCCTGTGCTCCACTCGATTGCTACGCTCTAATGTCCGCCGCATCATTGCCTCGTAGTGCTCCTGCAGCAAATAAATGCATGTCATTTAAACCAGAGAGGTCATGACCCTTACGATGTCCCAATGGCCAACAGTGTGCGCATCACGCTCGCAACACAACTCACCTTTTCCTCTTCCTGTTTCTGTTTTCTCTTCTCCTCCACAGCCAATCGCTTCTGCTCCTCCTTTCTTCGCTGTTCATCAACCTTTTTCTGACGCTCCTCCATCTGACGCTCTACTTGCACCTTGGCCTTGCGCTCCCGCTCCATGACCTGAGAGTCTTTTAGAACTGCAGGTGCGGGAAGAAAAAAAAAAAAAAAAGGTAATTCATTAGTATGTTGCTGTAAACTCAGGCTCCAATAATTTCACACAGAAACTGGGATCCCGCCGCCTCCTTACCCTGTTGTCTCTCTGCCTCCTCTCGCCTTTCTTTTGCCACTCGCAGTCGGTCGTCTATTCTAAGTGCAGCACCGTCAATGACTGCAACACATACGTGTGTGTATATATGTGGTTAAAAGGTGTAACATATAACGTCATGCTTATTCAGAGAACAAAAGCGGGGGATTACAATGCAGGGTAGCGTTACAAGAGCTTTGCATTAGCCAGGCAGATGTGTGCATGTGACTGTCATTAAAAGCGCTTTGTGATTGGCTACAGTAATAAGATGATAACTCGGGATTACCTGCAGCAAGCTATTCTGACAGGGTGGTGGAAGTGGATTGAGTTGCATCTAACGGTTCGGATTACGGAAGACAATACAGCGGCGACAGGGCAGTTTCAGTGGGAACCGAGGTGCTTCAGTGTCACGGTGCGGTGTCATTTACCTGGCCTGCCCCCCTGAGGTTTAGCTTGTGCCGTGGATGTCGGTCCGGGGCTGTTCCCTGCCAGGCTGCGCCGCTCCTCGGCTTGTGCTTGCGCAGCTGCAGCTGTATGTGGGGAAAACACAAGACACAGGCAACTAGAGTCACGTCACGTCGAGCCTGACAAAGCAGGTTTATCAAATAATATCAAGGAATATTTCCCTCAGGCATGCTCGCAGCGACCCAACCGATTTGATGCTACAGAACAATCGAGCTATTCAACCATCCGGCATAAGCTATCCCTCAAGATCCACCCTGCAGCCAACCACACACACACAAGGATTTCTGTGACCAGCGGGGAGGGACGGGCCGCTGAGAGAGAGACTGCGGTCTGGAGCCGAACCCTACTGAGCTTCCTGGTGAACGATATGCAGAAAAACTCCATAGATTGTAGAAATTAAGCATAAACAATCTAAATTTTCCAGTCCTTCTCTGCTTGCAGATAGCGGATTCGCTTGTCCAAGTCGGGTTTGGGATTTCTAAGCAGCACCGAGAGAAAATGTGTTCTGCACACAATAGCTTACATTTGGTTGTAATCCCGATAATCAGGCAATTTTGGACAACGGCAGAAGCCCACCGGGAATACTACAGGGTTAAAAGCATGTTGTTCACTTAAACCTACTGCACTAAATGGGGACATGGAGATAGAGCAGGAAGGAAACCGGGAGGACATCATCAAGCTTCCCTGTGCCGTGGTATCAGCTTTTCCTCCCGTCTCTTTCCTTGTGTGTCAACGTGCACTCAGCATTACACAAGTGCTGACAAAGATGGTCAGTTGTGGGGTATAAACTCTACTGATAAACACATCTGTGATCTTAAGCTCCTACTGTTGCTATAAATCATTTCAAACTAATTATTGCAATTTGAATGTAAGAAAAATGCGGTTGCATTTTTACTGATATTCCCATGTCTCCAGGACATTCATTTACGCACAAGTTTAGTTCTTCTGTTGATTTATACATAGGGGCCTATGGGAAGTGTTTGTGACACACTGCTGTACATCATTGGCACCACATGTTCAATGTCTAATGAAGCAAACGATACTTCTTCTACCTCGTCTTTGGGAGGGGAGACAAGCTTGAGAAGGTCCCGTGTGCATTGCATGTGGCACGATGTGCTGAGTCATGATCTCATGCGTTCCAATCGGTGTCCTCTCCCTCGCCGTCTCCAGAGCAGAGACATTTGATACACAAGAAGCAGCCACAGTGATCAGAAATGTTTCGGTGCAGGCGCTTATTGGTCGTCAGAGTGCACACCTTTCCCCGTGTTGTCTCAGCGAATGGAAACCCCCCCCGGTCATGGTGCAGCATGGAAATTGACTCTACCACGTTACTCTGTGGAAACCAGGGAGGACAAAAGGCCGTTCTTGCGTGAAATGACGAGGACAAAGGGAGAGATAACATGTGTTCACTATTGAATATGTTTTGTTTGCGAAACTAAAAGGTATACTTATTAGTGTGGAACTAAACAGAAATATGGCATCTAGGACTTTGCGTGGAAAGTTTCCGCCCCTTTGCAGCCCTGATTTCAAAGCAAACCTTTTACGTGGCGCGCTGCGGCGAATGTAAAGCTGTACAGACAGAACAGGTCAGCATATGAACGTCTGTGACACCGACCAACCTGCCGTTTCCTCCGGATGACACAAACATCGTCCTTTACGCCAGAGGACAGACGGGAAAACTGGCGGCGCGCGGGCTCAACGAGCCGATCGATACTCAGGGGGGAAAGCCATCTAAATCTAGAGCACCAATGAATCACAAATTCAAGCTGAAACCACATTTACCTCCCTTCTATGTGATAAAAGATGCAGAGCTATTGAATCTATTGTGCAGATTATGTCATTGAAATGCTTTTGTTTGGATTTAGTCCGGCATCATATTGCGTTTCTCTCCACCTTCCCTCTTTTACTCGACCTTCATACAAAAGGCAAATACATACTCCGCAATCAAGGACGCTCCTCGGGTAGCCGGGTAACTGTTGCTAAGTGACACACACACTTCGACGTCTCCATCGTGCTTAGGCTTGTATCAAGGAAGGCACGGAGATGATTCACAGCTAAATAGAGAGGATGCATTGTAAAGCTTTAAAAAGGTTAATGTGTCAATTCACAAGAAACAATTACTTTTTTCGGGGGGGGGGGGGGGCGCTGTAAAACAGTTTATCCACAGTAACACCTCGTAAATGACACTATGATGCTGGCAATGCAATGTGTCCAATAAATGTTAGATTAAGGACTTAAATTCATGAAGGGGCACTAGATAAAATAATGTACACAAATGTGGTACATGAAATTGGTACATTGAAAAGACAGAAATGAGACTTAATTCTGCTTCCTCTGGTGTTTAAAAGGGAAGTAAAAGCAGACAGGAAATCAAAAGGGGCTGAGTAGGTAACAACTATCCAGATGAAACCGTCCACAGGCCGGCCAAACAACATTGGATAGAGGGACTACAGCGCCTCGCCCGAAGATTACATATAGAGCTAAAGGGAAAGACAAGCTCTGTGCAGAGATTTGGCGCTGACTTATTGATTGCTGGAGGGAGAAGATGTAGTTGGAACCCTGTAGCCTCCTGTTTAGGGAGCATTGTAGTTCTGGGCTGTGATAAGTGTGCACGCTCTGCTGGTGTTTATTCTTTTGTCTCTGCTGAGAAACAGTCAGTAACTCAACAAAAACAATAATGCCACTGATATTTATATTTGAAATATTTACTCATATTTTACAAAAAAAATAAAACCATGCCGACTCTTCCTGTAGGGAAAAGATTACTTCTCCTTAAAATACAGCCGTACAAGCCTTTCGGTTACATTGATGTTCGAAATATTTCGGGTGCCACAACCGCAGTGGATGCAGCTACTCCCCGGACAGAAGTCACAAACAATGAACTCTCCCCTGACACACATTCACGCTTTGATTGAAGTGCTTGAATGAGATGGGAGAAGAGGCCGTTTCCCCCAACAGACCTCAAGAGAGCCAGGTGTGCTCATAGAAATGAAGAGAGACAATCAGAGCACAAGAGTTGTCCGTCACCGAGCCATCGCTATGGAGATTTGCACACATTAACATAAATCATCCAGCCAAAGGCCTCAATGGTTCGGATGGACGAAAAGAGAAGTTATTAACCTGGACTCTGGTTAAACAACAGGTTGATCCGCAGCTATTAAGGTCTCTCCTGTACGCTCGCTCGTCGGTTCTTTCCCGATATTGCTCGAGTCGGGGGGTAGTCGTGGCGCAGGGGGTAGAGCGGGTGCGCTGAGAGCCGCAAGATTGGTGGTTCGAGTCCCGGCTGCCCCATGTCTCAAGTCGAAGTGTCCCTAAGCAAGACACCTAACCCCTAATTGCTCCCTGGGGAAAATGTAAAAAGCCATGGGTTTAAAGTGTAATGCAAGTCGCTTTGGATAAAAGCGTCAGCTAAATGACCTGTAATGCAATGAATGTCAATCAGGGTATCTGCAGTTCTCATGAGCTGGTCTTTTCTATCCAACAGCCCAGTGATGCAACAATATAAGCGTCTCTCCTATTGCGGCTGTCTCTTAATAAATGATTGTCTCTATGTGCATTCTTTTAAGGGCTGTCAGAGACGACGTTGGTATCGTGGGGAAGCACGACTGGGTCCTGCAGACTTTAATGAGCCCGGCTGCTTGGTACAAGTAAGACGCTTGTAGCACAGGAAGTCTGTGCGCTGCTTAATGCAAGGGTGGGAACCCGTAAGCCCAGCACTAAAAGTACAGAGGGATTTTTAACTCGATTCAAAACAGCAGCTTAACTACTTCATTGATTCAGTTAATGTTGTCCAAATTCACCAATACCACCTCGCAGTTTCAATTAAAAACGTTTTGGCCATTTATGTCACAGAGAGCTTTTCATTGCTAGTTTAAGGTTTCTGGTCCTCAGATAACACTGCTGATGCACGCTCACACACACACACCAGCTCTTCTACAGGATTACTTTGGACCTGTTCATGTAAAGTTAAGCCACGGCTATTTGCAGTCATGGTAGGATAATGATGACACATCCTGGTTTCCTAGGGATGCGTCTTCTCACAGGACCATATTCTCTCGTGAAGACAAGCATTAAAAAGGATCTGACATCAGTCATTAGCATCAATACATTTACTAAACCTGGTTCTTCATCATAATGCATTGGAACCAAGAATTTAATTGTTGTAGTATTAAGCCAGTTGTATTAAGCAATCTATTTGACTCTTTATAAAAATGGCCGACACAATCACAACATATACCACAAAGGTTATTAATAAATCACAGGCACTCTTAATCATGAGTTACATGATAAAAAGCAGAATGTGTTCACTTTATTAGTTCATTACACATGTAATTATCTACACCGCTAGTCTAACCCAAGTTATCATTGTATTGCCTCAGTCCGTGAGTGTTCCGATTTTATGTAGTTGTTTACCTGATCTATCCATCCATCTGTGTACACACACACACACACACACACACACACACACACTATTCTGACGAGGGTCTGACAGCCTATACAAATGAACATGTTTTGCTATTCAAATCTTTACTTATTCTGCAACACGTCCCGTTTTTTGTTTTTAAGTTCAAATTAGACAGACGTCTGCGCAGGAAGAGAAGCGCTAAGTGGATCCAGTACACACCAATACTGCGGCTGGTCCATTTCCTCCTCTGGTTAAACACGACCAGTTCAGAAATACTTGTCATGCTTTTAATTCTGCAGCGGTAATTGCTGAGCCAGGATCAGGATAACCTTGCAGTGAGACTCGCAGCCGTGTGATCTCTCCGAATAAGAGCAGGGAACATTTTATCCTCGCTCACATTCTTGTGGGAATGACCATGTACACGAACCAGATACATTACATTATTTTACTATTGTCGGACTCTGCGTTGACTAGCAAACAGACATCCCTTTATTGCCGACGGCGCCAGGAATTCCTACATTTCACGTCACTCGAGATCTTGTGGATATTTTTATAAAGCCGCAGAATTGGGTGGATGTGAATTCCAGATTGAAGAGAGTCAATGGAGAAAAAGGGGGAAACAGGAAGGCCGCGGACTAAACAGTGTCCAGCTATAGTAAAACATGCCTACACCCACGCTGGGTATGCAGGAAAACTCCCTCCCACCCTGCAACAGCAAAAAAAAAACGTGCAGCTCGAGTCATGACAAACTGTGCATTCATGTTCACAGATGCAGACACAGTAAACATCCACGTCTGTGTCTGCAAGGTGCCAGCTGAGGCTGCAAGAGAAGCATTGATAAAGAGATTGCGGTTGGCTTATATAGTCCCCCCCCCCCAAAAAAATGCAAAGGGCTTGTTGCCTACCAAGGTACTTTATCACTTCATCATGATGTAGAAAATAATAAAAAAAACATGGAAAAGAAGAAGAGCAACTATGCCGCCTCATTCCCCCATCAGGGCCGTGTGTCTGCCACGCCCGCTTTATCTCAAAATTCAGGTCAGACATTGTTATATCCAAGCTCCTTTTTCTTGTGGGGGGGGGGGGGGTGGCGCGCCATATGTCAAACAAATAAGCGTAACTGTCCGATGGACATAGGGGGGATTTTTTTTACCCCCTTTTTGTAGAAGTTGAGGGGGAGTTTAAGGCAGGAAGCTACGAAAGTGCTGATGCGGTGAACGCGGCGCTCCGCGCGGATCAACCGTTGTCCGTTGGGGGGGGTTCTCTCCTGGAGGCGTGAACTCGCGCGCCGAAGCTGCGCTTCCTGCGCGCTTCCTGATCGGGAAAGCAGATGATCACTTTTGACAATAATCCGCCCCGGTGATGAGCTACCGGCGACTGTCGGTTAACGACGCAGTTAGCTTCGTCTAAGGATATTCACACACACACACGCGCGCGCCCGCGTGCACATTAGCACTTTGAAAAGGCCACGTGACTTCAGTTGTGTTTGGTTAAAGTTTTAAAACAAGCTAGCTTGGGTGAGCGTGGCGTCACACTAGTGACGTTAAAAGGCCAACGAAAACGTTAAAGTCGTGACACCGCGTCAGGCTACGAGACATCAGGATGCGACTTCGGGCTAACGTCAACTACGAGTGCTTCCACGGAAACCTCCCTGAAATAAAACGTCAGCTGTCGGAACGAGACGAGTCCATTGAATCCAACTTGTGGCGCTTCAACGCGGGGAGAAGTTGCACATTTGTCCGCCATCCATTGTCGGCGTTTAACCGGACCGCGAGCTAACGTTCCTAGCCGGGCGAGCTGCGGCGTCACTGCGCGTTCAAATAACACCGGTTAAGCGGCGGCGGACGATTAAAAAGGTCATCGAGCCGCCAACCGGGACACAAAATAAACACGACTGCCAAGATTGTTCTTACCCAGTTGGGCTCGCAAGCCTTTGAGAGTCGTAGCACCCTCCGCCATTTCTATGAAGTTTCCCTTCTCTGTTTTTTTTGTTTTTTTTTCTAAAGCTGGGGCGCGTAACGCATCGCAGCCGGTAGGACTCGGACACCACGGGGACGTGGACGTCAAAGATGCGAGGGAGAGGAGAGGAGGTCTCACTCCGAGCATTTCCCGGAAACCAACAAAACGCGGAAGACCCCCGTGTTAGTGGAAAGTTTTCAGATTTTTTTTTTAGCTGCAGATACATTTTACTTAACAGTTTGCTCAAGATATTATCGATAACAACTCCCAGCTATTTAAATCCAGAATAAACCGTATTTATTTATAAATATATTTCTCACTCCTTACCGTGAAGAGAAAAATATAGATAATATAGAAACTTAATATTCGAAAAAAATGGTTTGCGGAGAAAAAATCTTCATGAGTTATTTTTTATGTTTACGTTTGATCAAACAGGATTAATTTCTTTCCAGAGACCATCTTTAATCCACTCATATAGAACAGTGTCAACATCAACACCAACCAATATTAATCGTGCATCTTGTATTGCCTGTACGTATGCATATTTTTTCATTTAAATTTGCCGCTGCTTTTGCCTATGTACATGGTAAAAAAAATACACATACTAAGCCAAAAAAAGCTGATTCTGAACTCTGAACATGAACTAAACGTACATTTTAACATTATTTGTGGCTCGTAGTGGATATCCTCACCATAGACGATCTAAGGGCTTGCTTTTGAATTACTGTCCACATTTGCTCGATACCGTCCTCTACCGTTTATCTTGATCAAATGAAGGATTATCAATATGAGATAATGACCACACTAGCTGTTACTTTTGGGACTCAATTCATAAAACAGATATCATATCAAATGATCAAGTCAAACAAATACAAAAATACTTTGATGAAATTAAATTATTTCTCATTAAACATCTGATATTCCGAATTTTCAGAGAAGGAAATAAGTCTCAGACAAGAGAGTAAACGTAATTGAATACATATTAATCATTTGCTTCTCCTAATCCTAATGGGGAAAACATGTAAACCTTACCAGATTGAAGGAGCTGAAGAATCTGCAGAGCTAGAGCTCAAGGTAAAACGCAGGAGGGAAATATTTCTCCCTATGAGAGAATAACATATTTTCTCAGGGCTCTATGTTCTTTCTCCTGCCACAAACAGTGTATCCTCTGTCCTGTTCTGTCTCACATGCTACAGCCAGAGGCCCTCTCATCTATTTTACATGGTAAACAGGAAGTAACACCGCATGTAGGGTTCAGCTGCAATGGCCTAGAAAGATATTGTGTTACGTATCGTCTGAAAACCCAAATAATTGTTTCTTCTTACCATTCAACCTCATTAGTCAGGTATTAGAAATAAGGATTTTATTCAGATGTAAGTAATCATCTATGAAAGCATATTATGCACAACAGTGTGAGGAAAATGTCAGTTCTTTAGGTCTTGCTTTCCTTTGCAGAAATTTCCCCTCAAAATGAATTAGATTAAATTCTGCAAACAGCTGAAGTCTTGGGACCAGATCCTCTAAGCGGTCACTTGTTCACCACGGCTCTGTGTATCCTAGCAACGGATTGGGGATTAGGCAGGAGTGCAGCAGCCTGGGCCAGCAGCAGGTACTGAAAGAGGTCCTGGAATCCTTGGAGTAGAGCGTGCACCTGAGGTGAGACACCTACGGCCACCCCGGTCTCCTCCACCCGTTCCTGTGTTCAGCAGAGAGGGACGAGCACCTTGATACTCTTAGCTGGACAGAGTCAAGGCAGAATCACCGACACTGACTTCAGAGATGAATGCAAACAATTATTCTCTTTATTATTAATAACAATACATGTAATTGTTGTTATTGTGTTATTGAAATGTTATTATATTAATGACGGCAATATTATTAATATGATTATTATTATTTCATTATTATTTTATCATCTTTGCTGTTAAACAAACACACCTTGAGTTACTTCCCATATCGTCCTTTTTGCTCCATCCCAGATGAAAAATCTGTCAAAGGAAATTGTTTGAAGGTCAGACTCACCATGAGCAGAGCAGGATAGAGACAAGCCTCCATTGGAACATTGTTCATGGTCCTTTTCTAATAAGGGTGTCACCCCACTGCATTCCTGACGCTGACACTGTAAACCATAAAAAGGATGTAAAATGACACATACAAGGATAGCTGACCCCCCCCGAAAAAACTAAACATTCTCTACCAGAGAAAAGCAATAAATACGTGGTGGCCCTTATCGTTCAATAAGCATCTCTGGTAGACTACTCGCTGATCTGCAGCTTCCATCCAGCAGAGGAAAGCCCCTCATTCTACATCACCAATGACGCAGCGGAGGTTTCCCGGGCAGATTATCGACCAATGAATGCAGGGCTCTCTCCCCGGGCCCCCACCCGGGCCCCCACCCGGGCGTCTCGCGTCACACCTGGTCTGCTCGTATTTCCTCTGGGGAAACCGCTGGTTTGGGCCCTGGACTCTCCGTCATAATAACGCACCAATGAGACCCTTAGTGATGACTAATGTGTTTCCAATAAAGAGACTTTGTGTGTGTTTGCAGGATGAAATACACATTAACCAAAGGTATTGTTTTGCTCTCTTAGACTACACTGACTGCGTGCTGAAGGTGAGACCAAAGAATCATTAAAGAGTTGTCAAACTCAGTCATTTCGTTGCAATATACTACTTGACCTCTTTGTGGTGGTGTGGTGCTATAAAACACATCCCTACATTTCACACAAAGCTAAACCCTGGACTTGCTTCACATTCCGGTCTGTACAGCATTTGCAGGATATGTCTTCTGTTCACATTCACAATCATGTCATATTTAGCCTTGAGCAAATCATCATATGCAACAACCACAAATGGGAAGCTTGTTATGTAATGACACCAGACACTGTGATAATGTCAAAGGGATGGTACATCTGTGTCATCAACATCTACACAAACAAGGGTGGGACAAGTATTTCTCAACAGGCTGCAGTGGTATTTCTTTCACGTTTAATCCTTGTTAAGATAATTAAAACCCTCGCTGAGCCACTGGACACTCCGAAACCACAAAACTAGGTGCCCTCACGCTGAACCAAAAACACCTGAATGTGTTAATTGGAGTCACATTTGCGAAGCTCCGTGATTGTAGCGTCAGCGTGCTTGTTAGTTATGTTTATTGGTGGCTATTAATGAGTAACTGGGGGAACTACAGGGAGCGGAGGTCTTCTCGTAGGGAAAAGAAGCGGCGCTCGCCTGCAGACTTGTGGCTCAGCCGCTTCTCACGAAAAGACGGCGGTTGTGTCATTTCTCACAAAACAACTCGAACTTCAGGAGCGAGAGAGATGACCGTGGTAAGTCCTAAGCTGTGTGTGAAGATACGTTGATAATTGTTGGTATTACTCCAAGGTGAATGCTAACCGAGGATATCTGATATAAAATCTCTCTTTGTCGCCTTTCAACAGGTCACCGTTTGACATTTGGCATCGAAAGGGTTTTAAGTCTGCTGTCATGACCTCCGTCACGGGCCCGTCCCTTCTAACTCTGGTCTGTCTGTGCTTGCAGCTTCTGGGCTCACGTAAGATTCAGACCAATCAACGCTTCGACGCTTTCAATGTCTTCAATTGTCTGTTTTTTCATTTATTGTGAAACAATTGCTGGTGTACAATATGCTTGTATGGCTCTTTTGTGCTTTTTTTTGTGGGGGACGGGGGTCTCATATAGCTTCATGGTTCTCCTCATACGCCCGTCTCTTTTGCACCCATACCTGTAGGTGCAGCTTCCTCCGCCAGCACCAGCCTGTGGGGCAAGAAGCTGCTGTTTAGGGCCCGGCCGTGCATGTGGCAGCTGCAGCGAGGCGCCGCGGCCCCGGAGCTGGAGGAGCTGAGTGCGTGCATGCTGTTAAACCGCACCCACGGATCAGGGTGGACAGGCTTTGACTACAAACCCCCCGGGGGAGGACCCGAGGTGCTGGGACTCGAGGGCACAGGTACACAACTTTCCGTATGGCTGTTTGGAGAGAAACACAACCTGCCCACGGGCTTGAAATTAAACGAACGGCACACCGTGTGCCTGACCTGGTCGGGCCCGGCCCGCAGGCTGCGGGTCTACGTCAATGGAACCAGAGAGTACAACGCGTCCGTGAGCCCCGAGCTCCCCCGGCGCCTGGCCCTGAGCGGCACCCTCACCCTGGGGCAGTCTCATTTCATAAACGCCGCGGGGGAGGTGAAGCCGGTGTCCGGCACGGATCTGCTGGGTGAGATCGCCCTCTTCAGGGTGTGGGCTAGGGAGTGGAGCGCCGAGGAGCTGAGGGGGCACAGCTGTGCCGACGGAGACGTGGTGAGGTGGGACCTGAGTCAGTGGAGACACAACTGTCCGCCCGAGCCCGACGACCGGCTCCACTGTGGTAAACACGATGCGACCTCTGACCTTTCTGTTCGACCAACCTGTTGACAGGGTTTGAAACTTTTCTTGTTCAAACTACAAAGCCGGCGTTTTATTTGTATTTTCTAGCATGGTCGCTTTACAAAGTCAACATGCGGACGTTGGATGTTAACTCTACGAAGCCTGCAAATTGTTCAGGGTCACTCGAGGAGGTTGCAAGAAACTGGGTATGAAGAACATTTTACTGATGACTCTGAACAAACAAGTCCGAATCGAATTATTTCATCTTTGCTCTCATCTCTTGTTTAGTTGGAGAGCATTTTCCCTCGTAGCATTTCAGTCCATAACATCCTGGTTTCATCCGAGAGGTAAATCAACATATATTAAGAAAAACACTCCTTTTTAACTGTCGGCAATCCTGCAATATAAAGACACAATCCAAATGTTAAAGTATACCTGTAAATGTGTTTAATACATTTCCCCCCACTGCCAGACCGAATCTCCCTCTAATCTATGTGTGTTTGTTTAGGTGTATGTGTGTGTGTGTGTGTGTGTGTGTGTGTGTGTGTGTGTGTGTGTGTGTGTGTGAGGCTAAATTAACTGTAATCACAGCTGCAATCTTGGACATTTCAGTCTGTAATTTCTGTTATCTGTGTTTCCGTACAGCCGTAACTGCCGTGTGGTTGATAATTCTACTGCTCCACCTGCGCAACAATATCAGGTGCGCCACTATTAAGTACTCAGTTTGATTTTCCACAGAAGGAAAGTAATATCCTCAAAGACCAGCTGATCGGAGAACGGGCGTTTCTTTTTTTCTTTTTTATTGAGACACGGTCATTTTCGGAGGAAATGAAAGATGTCAGCATTGAGCCGGGTTCAGACGAAGGACGCGGCCTTTTAATAAAACGATTTTTTTTTTTTTAGGGATCAAGAGCACCGTCAAACTCCAACTGTAACACGTGGTGAGATGAATCCAAGACCTGAAAATGTTCATAATAAATTGCAGTATTTAAGGTGCCTTAAGAACAATTCTCCAAACTGCAGATTTATGTCCTTGTGGTAAAAGTTTCAGGTGTGAATTCTACGTGAAAGTGGACCCGGCTGCTGACGTGGAGGTGGTTCAGGCGAACATGGCTTCGTTGCTGAGTTCGACCTTCCCCCACAGCCTGACGGCCGACCCCGACACCATCAGCGTGCTGCCTGTGGGTGCGTATGGCACAGTCCGGTCCTCTCGACCCAGTCAAACATTAACCAAACACTGTTTATATGGTCATTGTCTTGACAATGGTTGTATGTTCATGTCACATGAAGTGGACTGTTTTTGCAGAAGCATATTTACTTTAATAATTGTGGGACATTTGTTCAGCTCTTTTTCTTTTTTTTATACAGTCAAAGCAAACTTTGGGTTGAGCTGGAAATGTGTAAACACTTTACCCGTGATTGTTGTCTGAATTAATAAGATGCTGCAGAGATAGAAACTCGTCAAAAAACTGTTGCACACAGATGCATTAAAGTCATTGATATTGCTCCTAAAAATGCCACTGCTCATTAGAGATTTACATTTTAATGATTTGATTTCCATCAAGTTCCTCATTGAATGTCCTCTTGTGAGCTTTTATAATTAAAGAGGCATTTTTTCTCCTTCAGAGTTTCTCCCTGCAGTGACAGAACCCCCGCCGACGGCCACCTCTGGTGCACAAACACAAGGTGAGCATGCAAGGATAAAACGATGATTATTGATGATGTTTCGCAATGATGTCTTTTTTCATACGAGTGCGAGAAAATCTTTGTGCGCTGTAATGTTTTCACAGACATGAGACCGACTCAAAGTCCGTCAGCTGATCCCACCAACGTGTCCCCAACAACAACAACCGCGGGAGATCCCCCCGAGCAGAACGAGACCCTCAGTCAGTTCATCAAACAGCGTCTTCTTTCTTCTTCTTCCTACAACAGTAATAATCTCACAAGAGAAAATGTTTGCAAGTGTTGGAAAACCTGGATCCCCGTCCAGAGCGAAATCCTTCAAAACAAGACAATCTGATGGAGCTCGGCTGATTTTCCCTGCTGCCTTGATCGATTCCAGTTTCCCTCATTTCAATTCTCATTCCAGTCAATCTAGTGTATCCGATCCCGCTGTGGAGCCGTCAAATGGGAACTAGGTGTCTTAAAAAGACCATTTGTTTTTCTGCATAATGTCGGACAACAATGCATTCCGCCGTTGGGTCATCCGCTGTCTTTTCTGTCCTGCAGTCGGACCAGACACATTCTTCAGAGTCAATTTGACTTTACGTGTGTACGGCAGCCCCACAAACCCAAAGCAGAGTGTCAAGAAATGGGTGAGAGACTTGCAGAACTAAACTCGATAGCTGTGTAACAGACAGTCTGTGTGCCTTACATTAGTCTCTTTTGGCGAAAGGTGAAGAACAAGCTGGAGGCGAATGGCACCATGACTGTGCTGAATCTCATTACAAAGGAGAACGTTGGCAGGTGGGACATTTATGTTAAGTGGCTGTGTGTGAGCGCTTAATATGCGTGATGAAGAGGTGACAGTTGACTTATTATTCATCTTTAACATTCATAGCAACACGGAGCAGCACAATAGACTGATGGTGAGCGTGCATTTCATTTGTTTAATCACCTGAACTGTATCTCGCACCATTGAAGCTGCAATGGTACAGTTCACAGTTTCATTTACGTTGCAACATCTCTCTGGTTTCCTTTTTTTAGATTTCCCAGAGGCAACAAAAACAGTAGGTGACAAAAAGGAGAGGAATAATGGTTTCATAAATCTTGTGTGTTTGTTATGCCGCTTAATTGTGTTTCTCCTCTGCAGATATTACTGCACCTTCCACGTTCAAGAATACAGCCAAAACAGTTTGGCAGAAAGTGAAAGGTTTATTACCGCCGCCCTGACATCGGGGTACGAAACCGACTCCTTCGCTATTCAAACTATAGGTGTGGCGATCAAACACATAGGTAAGCTGGCCTGAAGGGTAAGAAGTAAAGAATCATGTGAAATCATAAAAAAAAAAAAACTAACTAAAGTAAGGATTTGTTCAGTTGCAAAATTCTATTTAACGTTATGTACATATTCTTTTTCAGTGCCAGCAAACTGCTTGGAAGAAACTACCTCTACATTCTATGGAACGTACATTTGGCCTGAAGCCTTTCCACAAGTCAACCAAGAGATGGGATGCAGAGAGCCGCAGTCAGAGAGAGCCTTCAGGCTTTGGTAAAACATAACCCTCCATCTATGCAGGATTTAATATTTGACCATGGACAATTAAATTATCAAGATAAGATCTCAAGCTAAACGCCGCCAAAGAACAGCGGATCAGTCGTCTTAAACAATCATAATGGTGAATAAAATAATTTCATGCAGTGCTCTCTGACATTACCGCATACCATAGATGTCTTTCAAAGAATAATAAATTATATATTGATTTATAATAGAGACAACATGTACTGAGGTTAAGGGTTTATTCACACCGGCCTCAGTTAAAGGAGCCAATATTGATCTTGCAGGATATTTATTGAATATTTACCTGTACAGGTCCTGTTTGTAACAGACGGTTTCCATAGAGACGGCTCAGAGTGTTAAGCAAATTCCCCCAATTACGATGTCCGGCTCTGACTAGTCTTCCCGCCTGTAGCACACAAGCCCCGACCCCCACACATTATTATTGGAATCAAGAGCTTCAGTCTTCTGACAGTATCTCTACAAAGTATTTCTCAAGGTACAATATGGTCAATACGTTTTATTGTCGCTCAGTGAGACCGTTGATGTCTTAAGACAAAGACGGTCATCAGCAGGGGACATGTGCTCTTAATTTTGTATCAGACTGACAGTCAAGTTTAATTAAATGAATCAGAAATTGACCACAAGAATATCTGATGTTTTCTTCTTCATCTTCAGTAAGTTAGACATTGAAACGGACACAACCAGCTGGGCTAAACCCGATATGAAACAATGCAAACCGCTCGTGATCATATCAGACCTTGAAAACATCACTGTCACCACGGGTAAGAAGATCACACACACACACACGCGCACACACACACACACACACACACACACACACACACACACACACAGGCTGGTTGTCCATTCTTAATCCCTCCATCTAAACAAAGACACGTCACACGAACCTCCTGAAAACACAAAAGAAACCACGATTGACGTTGTTGACTCGCAGGTAACATGGCTGAGGTCGTGGACGTCATTCAGGACCTCGTCGATGTTCAGTTGGGTGAGAGCGCGGAGCTCTCCTCCTCCCAGCTGGATGCCGTGGTGGCGAAGCTCTGCGAGGTGGTGGACATCAGCAGCATCACGCCTGCGCTCGCTGCCAACATCGTCAATATTGTTGCGGATATCCTGGTTTCCAAAACCCATGTCGCTCCTTTGGCCGGCGTGTGAGTGGAGAGGGAAGTTTCTTGTTCATCTCAGGGAACGAAACACTGCCCTTTGAACACGTTTGTTACTTCTACATCCTATATTTACTCATCTTAAGTTCTTGCGAATCAATCTGAGGTTGCTGTTTTTTGTCCTTGGGAAAGCCTCCTTAATCTGACCGACAGAATGGGGAACGACATGGATTTCCAAGATGAGTCCATCAGCATAACCGCCCCCTCGATGGCGCTGTCCATGATCAACGTCGGTCAAAACGACTTCAGCGGCCTGACCTTCGGCGTGTCCTGTGTTTCTCCTGACCTGAAGCCACAGGTGAGACGATGGAAACCTTCCACAAGACGTTTTAGGGAGAGTTTTTGTGGCAGATTAACCTTTAACGGGAGGAGGAAATGACTGGGCGTCTCACACGGTGCGGCATTTTGTTTTTCGACAGGTTTTTTTCAACAACGACATTGTGGGCGAACTGCTCCCCGACACTAACGCGACTATCTGTTTGCCCTCCGAACTCAACACCTTTTTCCCTTCCGGAGAGAGAAATACAACCCGTGTCCAGTTTCAGTTCTATGCAACAGACGATCTTTTTCAGGTATTAAATCCTCTCTTGTCACTATTTGCAATACTTTGGTTTTATTCACATTTGTTGTTAATGTTGTTGTGGTTCTTCTTGGGGTTTTTTTCTAGCTTTTGCTGTTTTCAGATGCTCAAAAAATAATAATGACAATAATTCATTATAATGCATATAACATTATATTCAAAGTTGTGAGATCTGTGATCTTTTCAGGACTATAAACTAAAAGTAGCACTGAATGGATGAATTGTATCATCATTTAAAGATTAAAACCAACAAGCATATAGTTTAAATACGACAAATCCGGTTTCTTTCACTGTAAGAACTACTGACATTTTCTTTTCTTCTTTATTTTCTTTTAAAGGACCCAAACATGACCAACTCAACACAGAGCAGCTGGACACTGAATTCCTTCGTAGTGTCTGCGAGCATCAACAACAGCCGTATCAGCAACCTGAAGGAGCCGGTGGTTGTTTGCCTCAGACACCAAACAATCAAACAAGTGAGATGGAATTCAGTTTGTCCGTCAGAAGGAGAAACTCGTGTTTACTGTGAGTGAGTGAAACAATCATCACTTCTGTGTTTGGTTTTATTTTACAGCCAGAAGACGAGGTCCAGTGTATGTTTTGGGATTTCCTGAAAAATGGTGAGGTCGTAATTATTTGTCACACTTTATGTGTTTACAGTTGGATTCAGATGATTTACACTGTAATTCTGCCACGTTAAACTTTTGCGGAACCGGTGGCATCAATGAGGAACCGGTGACGCGGGAAGCTGCCGAAAAGCTGCTGTGATCAAATGTGTGTGTGCGTTTGTGTGCGTGTCAGGTGGGCAGGGTGGTTGGAGCGGCGCAGGTTGTGAAACCCGCAGCATTTCTGCTCATGAGACCAGCTGCCTCTGTGATCACCTCACACATTTCGCCGTGCTCCTGGTGAGTCACGGTGCAGGAAGCTGATGTTTACACCTAAATGTGTGAATTTTTGTCATCCGAGAGTTATGGAGCCGATGAGGTTGGAACGGCTGGCACACCTGCCTCCCATTTTTTGCTGCTTCGTGAATAAGAAAAAAAATACGTGAACAGACCGTTGTGTGTTGCTTTCAGGATGTATCCAGAACACACGTCAGCGGAGCTCAGAGCCAGATTCTGACAGTGATCTCATATCTCGGCTGTGGAATCTCCTCCATCTTTCTCGGCATCACACTTGTCACCCACCTTGCTTTTGAGTGAGTGACATCAACTCATCGTGTCGTATCGAAGTTGATGATGAAAGGAGGCTGAAGGAAGGAAGGAAGTTTCATTGTTTGCTTGAATGGAGTTAAAATCTCATCTTTTACTTCACTCTAGAAAGCTGCGTCGCGACTACCCGTCTAAGATCCTCACTAACCTGTCCGCTGCCCTGCTGGGGTTGAGCATGCTCTTCCTTCTGGACTCGTGGCTCTCCTCCTTCTCCAACTACAGTCTGTGCATCGCCACCGCTGCCGCGCTGCACTATTTCCTGCTGGCCTCTTTCACCTGGATGGCCCTGGAGGCCGTGCACATGTACCTCGCCCTGGTCAAGGTCTTCAACATCTACATTCCCTCCTACATCGCCAAGTTATGTGCTCTGGGATGGGGTAAGGCAGAGCTCAGGGGGCTTGTTTCTCTCTGCAGTGGGAGAAAGTCCTGTTGGCTTTTATTGGCAGTGGGTTTTGATTTGTTTGGTTCAAGCTGCGTCGTTAGTCGGCTCACTTTATTTCATTAGTCACTTTTAATGTCATTTCCAAGAAGGGTCCTGAAAATAAATGTGGATTTTTTTAAACCTAAAATGGTGCTTGAATGAATTTTTCACATTTGCACACAAATAAATATGTATTCATCACTTATTTATTATTTCTAACTTTATATGTTGAAATATATTTTACATTTACATTTAACATAGCACAACCATTATTTTAATTTTACAGTTGATTTAACAGCAGCAATCGGCAAGAAGAAAATCTTTTTGAACAGTCTTTTCCTTAGATTTGAGAGAAAATAAAAACGAGAAATATATTCAGGAATTGTTTACTTCTCGCTCACAGTGCTTGAATATGTTTAGTTAACTGATCTGAATTAGGTTCCGTCTTTGTGTTCTGACAGGTATTCCTCTGGTCGTAGTCAGCTTGGTGCTCACCATAGATAAAGACGCCTACGGCAGCATCGTGCCTGACGAGTCTGCAGTGGCGCTGCAGTCCGCTGAACAATTGTAAGCACGAGCGGGGTGAATCGTGATGAGTAACGCGGCGCCCTTTTCCAAATGACGTGATGAAAACGCCAGGATTACATCTCATGCGAGCTTGGTGAAACTGCTGAAATGAATTGTCGCGGATGAGAAAACTGCGCAAAGCATCAACAATCCCAAACTCTGCCGTGTCAGCAATTTATTCGGGTGAGAATTCATCGTAAATGTCGTGGCGTCTGCTCCTCTCCCTCCAGCTGCTGGCTGCAGGACGACGTCTTCTTCTACGTAACCGTGGTGGCCTTTATCCTCCTGATCCTGTTGTGCAACACCTTTGTATTCATCGTGGTCCTGATCCAGATCAGACAGATGAGGGCCAACAAGCAGCCAACAAGCGGCCTGAGCTCGTTGCATGACTTGAGGGCTGTGGTCAGTCTCACGGTGCTGTTAGGCCTGACGTGGTCAATGGGATTCTTCTCCTTTGGGCCCGGCAAAGTGTTCGTGATGTACCTGTTCTCCATCTTCAACTCCTTGCAGGGTAAACAGGATCCGTTGCTGGGATTGCGTGTTATAAGCTACGAGGAGTGAGAAATAGAAAAAAGAAAAGTACCCCTGTGTCTACTTCATGCTGTCTTATACACACAATTGTCTCACGCGTCTACTCTTTTGTCCCAGGGTTCCTTGTCTTTTTGTTCCATTGTTTGATGAAGGAGAATGTGAGGAAACAGTGGAGAGTCTTCTTGTGCTGCGGACGTTTCAGACTCAGTGAATACTCAAGTAGGCCACACGTTGTTTGCATTTGCATCGCAGTACAATTGCCAGAATTTTAAAGCGGGGGGCTGTTTTTAAGATGGATGCTCCACAACTTTTGCGCGTTTCAGACTGGAGCCGCTCTGCGACAGCCGGCTGCAAAAAGAATCATCTTGTCAACTCCGACTCCGGCGCGTCTGACACCACAGAGAAAGGACTCTGACTCGTCCAAGGGATCCGCGCCGGAGCACCACCAGGGAGCGTGAGAGGGCCAAGACCCACCGATCCTGCACAAACTGCAGACGTCAGATCAGCTGCCTGTCGATTATGGGAACGAATCAAATGAACTCGCGGTTTAGTTGGTTACAGTGGCTCCACGGGCACTTCTGAAACACTATAAGCAGGAATATTACATTCAAAAAAATGAAAACAGTCCGTTCAAGGCCCAGTGAAGACGACAGTGAAGACGTGTGCTCTGAAGTGCACATTGAATGCCATCAGCTCAAATTTACTCTACGGTTTACACCACAGCTTTCACTGTGCAGGTGAATCCTAATACAACACAAACAAATAGTTAGTGTTTGTAAAACCTCTAATTGCAAATGAATGAGTGAAGTAAACTTTGCACAGGAAGCCGCTGTAAGAGCTTTCCATGTAAATGTGTCGTGAATGTAATGGAAAAGACAGTATGTGTAACCAATAATTGTATTAATGCATAATAAATTATAGTTGTATCCCCGTATATGAAATGACGTGAAACTTACTGCTGGTGAAATCTCTTTAATCTCTTTAATTTTATTCCATTGATTCTTCCAAAATATCTTCATTAAACTCAAAGACACCACCGTAAAACCTCACGTAAAAGCTTTCTGCCTTTTTGCATATGGGTCCATTAAACCATTACAATTTGTATATAAAAGAATAAATGTGCATCCGTAGCGGCCGTACTGTCAAGCTCACAGTCCCACATAAACATTCCTTTTACCTTTTCAAAATAAAAGTCCAATCCTTTACCGGAAGGTCTATGGGGTTATTACACTCATGACTGTTTATTTAATGTAATTTGTAGAATCATACTACTTTTCTACCTCTAGAAGTTTTACTGCTTGTTGTGTTTCCCTTCAGGTATATTTAATATCAATGATAGTAAATATTGATGTGAAGCTTGTAGCCTCCAACATTAATCAATTGCATTTGGAATACAGAAAATGAGTTCTTCAGATGTGGAGGTCTAATAAAAATAATACAATTTAGGAACTCTAACCTTCAACCAGGTAAAATGAAAAACATAACAACAACATAAAGTTAAACCTTGCTTAACTTTATGTTGTAATAGCAAGAAGTTTTGAGAGTTCATTTCGGCCTCTCTGACAGGCGTTTCACTTCGGCCATGTTGTTCGACTGTGTGCACCTTTTCCACAGTGCGCCCGGAGGATGTTTTAACGAGGCGTGAGTCGGGTTCTGGTGGAACTCGCAGGATGACATTCTCTTCATAGCAGCCTTCTTTCAGGAAGCATCACACGCCCTCCAGGTCTAACACATCGAGTGACTTTGGAGGCTCGGGGAGCGAAACATTTTGTCCAGGAGGACAAAGTTTTAATGTTGGTTAAGAGGTGAACAGAGTCAGGTGAGGCTTCTTTTCAAGGACTTGGACCGCTGCTCATTCAAGTGCATTTAGCGTTCAACCAGTCGATGCAAGGACGCAGTCCCTGGTCAACTTTGGTCTATCACCGCTTCAGGTAAGACAAGCAAGTCACTTCAAATATACCTGATTGTCATACAAACATTGTGTATGTGACCTGTTTATTTACACTTCATAGAGCTTTCTGTTATGGTGGCTGACATTATGTTTTTGCATTTCAAACATTGTTTGATTTCCATGCATTGCGTAATATTTTAATACCAAGGTAAAAAAAAAACGTAAAAGATGTAAAGGTGTGCTTTACACACTTACTGTTTATCTAAAATGATTACACCTTTCATGAGAAAATATGACGACTCCAAGGGTGCTGTCGTTCATTCAGGGCAAATGGAGATTAAATGCCTCCAAGAATTATCATCAAAGAGGAAAGAACTGTTGTTTTTTGAAGGATGCAATGAATGAGAAATGTTTTGATCAAATTTGTATTCAGGTAAATAATGCTTAAATGGATTATTTTGTCTTTTGTTTGAATGCTAAAAATAAATACCAGGGAAACATAAAATGTACCCGTTTTGTCTTAATCCCAGCTGACCCATGGAGGACAGAAATGACAGTCCCGCGGCTGTGAGGGTGGAGGAGCATTCTCGCGGTGTCGTTCTGACTTACTTCCAGGGGGACATCAACACCATGGTGGACGCTCACTTCACCCGCGCCCTCGGCAACGTCAGCAGGTCCAAGGCCCCCGCCGCCAGGACAAAGAAAACCCGTAAAATTATTAAACTGGGTAAGCCCTCCAGACCAAGAGCGAATGACCCTGCATGACCAACAGGACACATGCATCCTCATTAAGTAGCCTCTCTCTTTCCCCCCCCCGCAGAGGAATCCAGCGCCTGTCAGGCCAGCGCTGTGGACTGCTACTCGCAGCCAGAGGTCCCTCCTCCTGAGCGTCTCCTGAACTTCAGTCCCGCGGAGGACGCTCTCGGCTCGTGGCACTCGTTCAACGGCAGGTCGGCGGACGGCCCCGGGCTGCAGTCCCTCGCCTACCCCCTGTCCCCCGGTGGATTGAGTCTCACCGGGCAACAATACGCCACATCTCTGCTCAACCTGCTGCATAATGAAAGGGGGGACATCGGGCCCAGCATGGCCTCCGGCTCCAAGCCAGAACTGCATCCCAGCTGGCCGATGCCTCAAGGGTTCAGAGACTCTGTAGACCCCGCCGCGGGCTTTGAACCTGGTAGGCCTTCTGCTGCAACTAACTTCTTTCAAACTGTCTCGCAAAACTCTTACAACGAGCATCTTTATTTTGGTTAATGTGGATACTGACCGCCTACTCGATGGAAAGGTCTTGTTTCAAATAACCCCCTAGTTTTTTTTTATCCATCTCCCCTTCGACATAAAATCATTAACAAACAACACCAAAGTGGAAACCTGACACGCTGACGATATTTGTTGAACAGAACCGTGTAAGTTCACGGTTAACCTTTGTTCTTCTTCCAATGAGGAAATACTAATTACTAGTTCTAAGCTTTTTCAGCTTCTACGGTCTCACGCACCTTCACGTCATGTCCTCGTTCGATTTCATTGGAGTTCACAGTCAAGTCTCTTAAAGGGGCGGGGCCATAGTTAAACCCCATCGGACGCAAGAAACTGAAAGTCAGAGGGAACGTCTCAGGGTGTCATTACTTTCCTGTTGTGTTTGTACGTTTTTTGGACAACAGACTGCAGATAATTACTCAGTCTTATTTTTGTTTATTTAGGAACTATTTGTTAGGTATTTCTCAATTACCTTTACTTGTTTGTTCGTATCCACTAATGAATCTCATTCCAAGAAACACAACCGGGCGAATAAGATAAACATGCACTACAGTTTACTAATACGTGTTCATGGATGTCCATTAACGCTGTTAAGAAATCACTGTCTGCTCTCTGTCAGGACGACGCCTGGAAAAGAAGGACTTGTACTGGTACTGAAGGCGAGAGCAGGCCGGTGCAGCCGGCTTCAACCGCACCACATACTTGTGGCTCTGCGAAACCACCCGGCTCTCCGTTCAGCCGCCTGAGGGATTCTCGTCGAGCAGGCCTGGCTGAGTGTCAGCTGAGACGACGCGCAAAAGAAACACTGCAGCGCCTCCATTCCTCCGCTGAATGAAACGGCCTCGGCACGTCAGCATGTACCAACTGGAGCAACGACACACTCCGACAAACCTGTTCTTCCAGTCTACTACTTCCACTTCGAAATCACTCAAATCTGAAGAAGATTTGCACCGGATTAATTCTCTTAGTTGCCCTATAGAGGTAAATAGACCAGTGTTGTTATTGTTTTTATTGAATATTGATGTCAGTATGTACGGTTCAACTATATAAGTCTATGTTTCTATGAGAATTTTTTTTTTCAAACCAACAAACAGATGAAGGACATTGTTGTTGATGACTTAATGGCGCTGGTGCCATGCAGTGTAGAAAGAAACAGAAACATGTCAAACACGTCTATGTTGAACACAGGTGGATATTTAATGTATTCAAAACGTGAAAGACCTCTGAAATAAAAGTAAGAGTATCGAAAAACATACTTTGTAAAGTAATCCAAATGATCATACACACAAATTGAGCAATACCGATGTTCACACTTTTTTTTCATACAAATACAATAAACACATGATCAGCGGTAGTAAGAACAACTAAGTAACTTTTCTCATGTAGACCTGTTGAATTTAAGTACTTGACATTTCCATTTACTTGTCTTCATTTCAGCGGGAAATACTGTACTCTGTTCTTACCGAGAATTTATCTTTTCTTACAACAACTCACTAGTTACAATTGGCTACTACAAAATGAAGGTAATTAAGATTAAGTTATCAGTTTCATATTAATGTAACAATAAGTATATGTATTTGGTAGAAATACTGACAGGTTCCATTGTGTATAATTATAACTTTTACTTTTAAAACTTTAAGTACTCTTTGTTGCCACTACATCTGAACTTCAGATGGAGTTTTATTTGTAATGGAGTATGTTTATAGTGTGGTATTACTACTTCCACCTTGTAAATTATATTAATTCCTTCCACCTCAACATACAATGTATATTTGCCTGTAGTTATTGATATTGTTGAAACTCAAGGTGTCCAATATTGAATAAATGAGACATTACGGAAGGATCATGTGTACATACTGAACATTCTGTTTGTCTTGACTGGATGATGAAACATGGGAATATGAAATAAAATAATCTTTGGGAAAAATGGTGTTGTGGAATAAAAAAGGACATAAGAAAATAGATTACCCATTAAATTGTCTCATTCAATAATGACCACGTTAAAACTAACATTTTCCTCAGAACATGAATGGATATCCGCTGCAGAATGAGGTCTATGGAGCAAATAGTGAATTAACGAAAGGACAATTTTGCTACCAGGAAGTGTGACTGAATAGAATCTATAAGATGCTTTTTTAGGTCATTTTCTTATGGAGCAATGATAATAGCATGTGATATGACGCACAGCTATTGGCAGCTGAGCTGCAGTGTGCGGACTTATGGTTATGTCAACCGCCAGTCTGAGTTGCTCTGAACTGTGTCTTCACTGTAGTGTCTCCCGAACGTCGATTATCGGCTTTAAAAGTTCAAAGGCCAATGACGGAATGAGGATCGTTTTTCAGACCTGCACAAGGTTCTTTAGCTCGCCATTTCCACTTATATGTACTTCAAAAGGAAATGTTGATTTATCAACACGCGTATTACCAGTTCTGTTTGTGTTGCTTTATGTCTTTTCTAACCAAAGTGACACTGGTATGAATCATAACGTGTCTGAAATGTTGTTCCACAGTGAGTCAGATTTAAATGATGTCGGTATTTCACCACAGAGACCATTCATGGCAACAGATGGAGGATTAACCACCTCGACATAATGAGGGTGGATTAGTTTGTCCAGTGTGGTACTGCACTAACCACTGAGGGGTTACCAAATGTCCTTGGAGGGTCCCGGACCCAAAGCCACGTTGATGCATTGTTGGAATACGAGACCTTTAATGCCGTCTTCAGGGGCAGAACATCTCATAATGAATTTAAAGGGAAACGGCACTGGAGGGGGGAAACAAGCTGTCATCACAGGAGCGTACACATGACACATATGTAGGAATAAAAATGATCCACCGTGTGTTACGGTATTGAATGCCTACACAGTCTTTATTTAGGCTACAGATCGACATTTTCGTCAACATTACTCATTAACAGATCCACCACCTGTTGCACAGAAGCTCAGATGATCCACTGTTTTTTAGCCTCACGGCCATTCATGCTCAAGTCAAGAATATCTGTAAGAGTATGACTAATTTTCCTTTATGGGTTGATAATAACTCTTTATGTAACATTCAGATGGACCCAAAGGGGGTCACCAACTGGCTCAGAAAGTCCCTCGGGTCAGGATCAGATTAAAAGTTTAAAAGTTTTGGAGATGGTGTTGTCGATGGTGTCCTGCTACATGCTGTGCTGGATGCCCTACGGCGTCATGGCGCTGACCGCCACCTTGGGCAGGTCTGGACTGGTGACTCCTGTGGCCAGCGCGGTCCCCTCTGTCCTGGCCAAGCTCAGCACCGTCATCAACCCCGTCATCAACAGCCAGGTGGGTAAGATCTGATGTTTGAAGTGCAGAGGATAAACCGTCCTTATCTAAACATAAAGCGGGCGGGAAGATAGAGTGATTTCACCCACAGAGGAGAGCTCAATGGCACCCGTGCATCTGACATCCAGGAGGCAGCTCAGCGTCTGTTATTATCACACTGGGTGTTTCTTCACACTACTAGATGGCACTCTTCTGTCTGATATTTGATTCCTGAGAATGACTAAAATCAAGCTCACTGGATATGACCACAGTCCTTTCTTTGTACCTTCACACAGTTTTACAGATGCCTTGTGGCCTTCTTGAAGTGCAGCCCTGAACCCTGTTCAAGGCTCCAAAAGCGCTGCCCTCCGCAGCCGGCACAATGACCGCCACACTCTGGTTGTCCACCATGCGCCTTAAAAGCTTTATCGTCTTTCTCTTCTGACAGACTGTGAACGTTAACGGATTTTTTTGGGTTTTCTATGTCCATTCTACATAAGCAAGGGGACAATGTACGTATTTTGAGTACAATTGATGATACAACAATAGCAAAACTAGATACATTTTAAAAAGGTATCATGCAATGTGTGACACTCTAAAGGCAAAAGTTATATCATGGAAATGATGAAGGGAATTCTGGCATTTGATATGGACACGTCCAAAGAGTGTAATGGAAATAAATAATCTATTACCTTATCATTCAAAAGCATATTTATAAAATTAAAATTCCTAAAAAGTCCAATCCAAAAATACATGACACCCGTCATCCTGAGTGGGGCGTCAGGACTGTGGGGCCTCTCTGACTACTCTGTGGCACCTCGGGAGCGACTCGGTGGCCAATCTGCCACGGTCCTCAGTCATGCATAAAGGGGAGAAGTCCAGCTGCTGTCACACCTGTAAGTTGGGTTTTTGTCCTGTCTCCACGTTTGTTTTGGAGATTAACTCTCCTCTCGTTTCAGGTTCCTCGCCCTTCCTCATGTGTCACCAGTCTGATCGTCTTCCCTAAATCCTGATTGTGTCCACCTGTTCCCACACTTCCCTTGTGTGTACTTACAGTCTGCGTCGCCCCTCGTCCTGTGCCAGTGTGTCATGTCCTTTCGTCTTGCACACGCGCCTCACCAAAGAATTAAGCCCAGGTCGTAGTTTTGTTTGTCCCGAGCCACGTTGTGGACTCCTTAGTTGGCCTTGTGCTGTTTATGGCTCCACAGCTCCTCGATGTAGTTTAGAGCCTTTTTGTGATTGATTGTTTTGTTACTTCCTCTGTAGGAGAGATTTTGGGGTTTTCTTTTGTTGACTATTCATTCAGCTCTCTTAGTTTTGCCAGAGCATTTCTCTGTACATCTCTTTGGAGAAGTTTTTTGTTCCCAGGGACTTCCCTGTGTTTTTTTGTTGTAAAATAAAGCTGAACCTAAACTCTGCGTCCGAGTCCTCCACAAGAGCTCCCTCCGTCACAGCTGCAGGTCGGACCTGCGACAGATGTGATTTGTGGCCGCAGAGGCCTCTAAAAGGTATTTTTTCTGTGGTGGACATTCCTGAATCTCCGGACCTTCTGGGACTATAAAATCGACAGTTCAGGCGGAGAACAAACAGGTTAGACGAGGTTCGTTGGAGTATTCGGAGGCGGATAGGAACCTGTACATTACCAATCCAGACTTTTTCTTAAAACGTTTTTTGTTCGATTTTTGACTATTTTCTGATTTTAGCAGAGTCGAAATTATCTTCGGCATTTCCAAGCCCGAGTTCAATTAAATTTATTGGGAGATGAAAATAGGTTCCGGGTGGTATTTACTCCGTAGCAGTGGTGATTAGTGGCGATTGAAAAGTCTTGAGTTCTTCTTCGGCACCAAGGGAATTAATCATAGTAGTGTAACTCGCGTTACACACTCAATACAATAGACCTTTTAAGGCTTTGTAATGCTCTAATTAAAAAAAACAAATTACATTATACAAATATATTATTCAGAGCTGCCAACTCTCACAGTTTGGCCGTGTGACACTTTGGCGTGTTTTCACACGCACTCACACCACACATACAATTTGTCACGCAAAACAATAAATCTGATTTTGGTCCAAGACGTGTTCGTTCCCTGACGGTAGATGGCGCTAAGGAGCGCGCCTGTAACCCTGTTTGCTGCATTGACGTTCTTTCTCAATGCCTAAGACGGCGGACTAATGAGTATTTCTCCCTAACTAATCTTGTGTCATTTTTTTACTCAACATAAATCAATACAATTATCAACAATATAGGTTTGGTTTCAATTGAGTTTGTGTCCCTATGGTTGAATGCACTTATTGTAAGTCGCTTTGGATAAAAGCCTCAGCTTAAATTTATGTAATGTAATTAAGAATTGGTTGAATACCATTGTAATCAAAATGTCAATCAACATACCTTTGTCAAAAAAACACAGGTCTATTAATTAGGCTATATTGTGGTACATAGACATCGTTTTCTTGTTAAATGTTTTGCTCAAGTCTAGAAGGCCCTGCAAGTCATGATCAGATGAACACAAACCAGAATAAGTTCAGACATTGCACACCACCCAAAAACCCACTACAATGCAGTAAACAACATCTACTTAAACCACAATGTCCTGGGGGTGGACCTTCAGCTATGTCTACTGTCCATCTCCAGTAGGCCGCCCCCGAGTATCGCCTACTGGCGTAGACAAACCGAGCGATATAAACCCTCGTTGCGTTGCGTTTATTGCGTCATATCTGACTAAATGGCAGAAGATAATGCAAAGAGGCGCGTCATACAAAACGCACGCAACACAAACCTCTCAGAGGTCACAGATGTGCAGCTCAGAACTTCCAGGAAGTAGTGAGACAAAAAGTCAGTTGCCTGTGAGAGCAGTGGCTCAGAAGCGCATGGGCTGTCGAGGACGTCTCTCGGGTTTTCATCACTCCTCTCCACCATGATCAACACCTACCAGACCAGCATGGCTCCACCGCCGGTGCCTCCGCGCCTCACCGGATCCCACCCGGTCCTCTTCCCGGCTCCGCTTCCATCGCGACGCCACAGCAAGTCTCTCATTCGGTTTTTGGTTGCCGTCGTGTTGCTGCATTTATTTTTGTCCATCGGAGGATTCATCTATCTGTACCACAATGACAAAATGGTAAAAAAAAAAAAAAACTTACTAAATGCACTTAGTACACTGTGAATGTATAGTTGATCACACTGCTGCATACATGGTAATTGTACTGTAATCTTCTAAGACATTACAAGTTTAAATGTTTTCCTTTCCTAGTAAAAAGGTGATGGCCTTTTAAAAAAGATATAGTTATTTGTATTATTACCTTTTGCTTAACTTTGAAAACTTGTGCAAAAGATGATGTAAAACATGAAGCAACTGCATCAATCCACACGTCGGTTTGTAGAGGGGAAATGTCTATATTTATATATTTATATATATAGGCCAATGTAACTGTTTGAATCACAGGAAATGCTCTTAAACTAACAAGTGAGGTGTGAAAGTCAGGGTGTTTTTTACAAGCAAACAGAATATTATGATACTAAACTACGAAAATTGTACATATATAACAAGTATCATAACAAAATGTACATTCACTATATATTTTAGCTGTTCCTAATATTCTACTATTTTCACAGCTTTCATTTCAGCTTCCCTCAAGACAAGGGGAGGAAGGACAAAGTAAGTTAAATTCATTGCATTGTTGCATAAATACAAAAAAAAAAAGCATTATCAATGTCTCTGACCAGATGTTTGTTTCCTATATTAGCGGCACAACGCTCATCAGAAAAGCAGGAAACCTCCTACAAAGCTTTGGCCCGAATGGCAGTTAAGCCCCAGGAACACACGTCAGATCAGAAATCTACATGTAAGAAATGATGAATGACAAGCAAGCAATCTAAAATCTAGAGCTTCAGTGAAAAGAAATTCCCAATGATATAATTTTAAACCCCTGCGTCTGTCTCTCCAGCGGGTTATCTCCAGTGGAACATCAACCACTCCGTTTGCAGGAACGTTGGCTACTACCGCAACAGTTGGTTGACCATCCTGCAGCCTGGCGATTACTACGTCTACTCCGGGGTGACCTTCTCCGAGGGCGACTCCGAGCGCCCTCTGGTCAGCAGGGTGAAGCTGAGGAAGAGTGACAAAGAGCAGGAAAAGGTTGTGATGCAGGCCTACTGTAACCTGAACAGCACACGCGGGTCTCCGTCGATCCCTCGCCTGTGCACGGCCACGCAGGGAGCCGTGATCACGCTGGAGAAGGGGAACCAGCTCAGCCTCTGGGTGCAAGACCTTCCACTGGTGAACTACGAGGAAGGAGCCACAATCTTTGGGATGTACAAACTGTAGGACCCCCCCTCCGTGATAACATGCACGGACTGTATCTGAACAGCGGGAACTCATTAAGTGGATTTAAATCTACTGGCAATGCTGTAAAATAGACTGGATCAACCACCAAACAAATGGATTTTGATACTTTTTTCTGTGGAGGCAAAGAACTGATTCCTGACAGCTAATTTATTAAATCAGATATAATTGTGTGATATTTTTGTTGCAGTTGCGAGCGATTGTACTGTATTTATTGATGTAAAACAGCTTGTATAGCCATGAAATGAAACTTTGATATTTAATCTAAAAGATTTCTTCTCTTTTCTTTGTCTTGTATTCCGGAGTCAGTTAGACATGGAGAAGACAGCATGAGGCAATGCATACCATTTTAAATGCTGAAGCCCAAGAGGTGATCGGGTGAACTATAGAAGTTAAAATACCCAGAATGTCAGCCTCACAGGCCTTCTGTTTCTTGGAACATAGCAAAGTCATTTCTTTCATGCAGCTGAGCCACAAGAAACAAGACCTGTCAAGATGTTGGTTATGTCTCCAGAAGTGGTACAACACTCCATACCAAAGTTCCTTCCGTGGTGTGTGAAGAGACGTATGCACCAAACTCAATGTTGTTTTTAGTTGTTCTGGAAAGGAGCAAAAAGGAAGAAAAAAAATAGCATCCGCAGTATTTCATTGCCAACTGATTTTTGATGGAAGCTGCACACGTTCCACTTTTGTGATTTGTGATTTTTCCTTCTTTCCAGCCGTTGGTTCCCATTAATTTCCAAGTGGTTTATGAATCTGTTTTTTTAACTCTTGGCACTTGTTTGATTGTGTAATTCATCAGAGGAACCTCGCAGGTGTCACTTCTGTTCTCTGTCATGAGGAGATAAGTTTGATTGCAAACTAATTAAATATAAAAGGAACAACGGTACAATAATGAAACCCTGAGACATGCATGCAGACATTCACAGATTGCACAACTCAAGCATCCGCAGCACGGTTTGTCAAACAGAGGATAAAAGTAATGGACTAAAGTACGAAGTGTAACTGCAGATTTAGAGATCCCATCAGACATCACCATATCTGACCGAGCGTCTGGCGTGTCGTTGCCGTGGCGTTCAGGCATAACGGAAAGTATGAATGTCTTCGGAGGCGTGTGCAGTTGCAGAGGAGGCGCACTCTCACAGGATGTCATCTATTCTAGTCAACGCTTCCATCCTGTGAAGGGCTGCTCGCTACCGAAATCTGAATAAAGCCACAGATTCCTCAACCGCAGATGCGCCAGAATGCTGCGTGGAACAGCCCGTCTGGGTGGATTTTCCAGTGTGAACATGCTGTTCTCAGCGAGTGAGGGTGTGTGTGTGTGTGTGTGTTTGTGAGAGAAACCTTTCACTTCATAAAATGATTGTCAAAACATATTATATTAAACTTTTAATAAAAGAATGACCATACCAAAACAAAGTACAGTGTCTAGAAAAAAAAAAGGAAGAACAAAAAGCATTAGAATACTTGCAACCAACAATAATTGCATAGAACAACCTGCCGTAAACAACACACGCGGTTGTCTGGAGAGAAACAATATAAAACAGCTCAACCTCCCACCAGTAAGTGCTCGCTGAGGATATTTGAAGCCGAAAACTAAAGTATGTGGTACGTAAAGAAAACATTTTAGGGTACAGGAACAGCATAATGATAATAATAATAATGTTAATCTCAACAGGGAACATGTTATGAGGCAGAGACACGCGTTCGCACAGGAAGTAGAGCTTCTGTAACGCTGAAGACCTTTTGGCCACCAACGGTGCATTGCCATTAGGAATACAGTTAAAAGAGCCTCATTTTCCCAGGCAGTATTTGCGTTGCAGAAGTACCAGTGCTGACTTGTACCTCCCACGCGGTGCTCGGACAGCGGTGAATGCAAAAAACGCACATCCCAACAATTGAGTGAGCACTACTAAAATACTACATTTTGGATGTGTGATGAAAATTGGGACCTGGGAAGTGATCTTTAAAACAATCGTCCCTACCGAGAGACGTGATTAAATAAAGGCAAATGGAAAATGATGACGAGCCCGACCACGTGGTCCGGCCCTTTTTGGTTAATAATAAATTGGGTTAAATCTTTTCTTCATATTGCAATTTCTCCAAATGAGGCCATCCAATGCCGAGACCAACTCAGAGGTCAGTCAGCCGAGCAGTCGCTCGATGCATTTCCACAACATCCACAGCAGCTCTGCGTTCCTGCAGGAGCAGCTGACGGTGCTTAACAAGGTCACACACTCGACCTCATGAGGAAATGTACCGCAGTGGGTCTTCGTAAAGAAGCGGCATCTTAAATAGCACGCAAAGCCCTGTTGTTGTTTTTTTCAGACCCGATATATAGACATTACATTTTACAACAAACCACCTGTCGCACTTTCAATATCAAACATGCATTTAGTCCGGGTCCGGTCGTAAACTCTGGAGTTTACCCGCCCCTTCGTGAGGCACTTGAACATGACAAATTAATCTCTTGGTTTATTTTCTGTGTTGATGCGCTCTGCAGCGCCCTGTTAGGAAGCCATAGAGGCTGCAAAACAACTTTTGAAATCTCAAGTTAGACTCGTTTTTTTCCTCCTGTGCAATGAAAATATGATTTTTTTTCCCCCTTGGACAAAATGAGGATGTGTGTTTTTTTCTGCATTTACACAGCAAGATAGTAAAACAATTGCAGAAAGGTGTAAAGGCAGCACAACCATACCAATACGGCTAACCCCACAATTAAATTCTTGGGTGAACAATAAATAATTAATATTCTTTCTGAAAATACAGCTATGTAATTAATAGGCTCAAAATATATTTCAGTCAGAGGAAAGGTGGGAGCATCTGTGTCATTATTTGTGTACACAGTTAAGCCTTTTTTGTATGTTATCATGACCTGACAGCTTTGTACTATAATATATATATATATATATATATATATCTCTGAATATCTTGATTATCACAGTTTTGATGCAGAATTTATCCTGTAGAAACAATGTACAATCATGCAGTTTTCAATAGTCAAGGGCTCCTTTTGGATGAACATGCCAACAAATTTGAATTGCTTAAACGCCTACAAAACGTCGTGGAAACCTGTGATGTGAAAGTCTAGAATGATACAAAAATGAAAATCGCACACACTCTCATGGGGCTGCTTGTGACCAAAAAAAAAGAAAGAAAAAAAAGATGAAAAATGTAAAGAAATTCAGTCCCCTTGGTAACAGGAGTGTAAGCGAGAGAACACCCATTGGACTTGATGGCTTCGTACTCCTTTTCCATTTCCACTGAGGCGAAAGCGGCAGCGGAGACCTCCCATTGGTCGAGGGGAGTGTTCACAGTGCCGTTTGCCGAGAGGCGGCCGGTTCCAAACATCGGACTTCAGCAGTCTTGGTTTAGCTGAGCTGCTTTGTGGATGAGCATCTTCCTGTGAGGCGCGATCAACGAGACGGATGAGACGCGCTCCAAGAAATGTCAAATCAAGCCGCAGCGCTTGAGACCAAAGAGAGAATTCCACTCTGCCGTGTGTGATTGAAATACGGAGACGCTACATAGACGGACACACAAACGCGCGCTCACAATACACACACACACACACACACACACACACACACGCACGCACGCACGCACGCACACACACGATGAGGCCGACAGTGTGGGTGCGTTCAGTGGCCGCTGTCGTCCCAAGCCAAGTCGTTCTTCTGCTTGGCCAGTTTTCGAACCACCCTCTCCAGGTCTTTGCGAGACTTCTGCTCCTCCTCCATAAACTGCTTCATCCACTTACTCTCCTGCAAAACATGCAGACAATGGCAGGATTTGACAGGTTGTCTTTAGCCCCTTTCCTACTTAATTATGGAAGCAAACGTCATTCAAACTTGACTAACTGAACAGAACGCTAAAGAATTCTAATTTGTCTTCTTGCTGTTCCACCAACGGCAGTTTGGTCTGAGTAAACCTTCATTTAATGAGCTTAGAGGGGAAAATAAATTGTCATTAGATGCTGCCTTCTGTGGCTTCTTTTATTTGCAAATAGAGTGTAGAGTCACACTTACCTTCTTCAGTTCGTGAACCTCGTCCTTCAGAGCGTACACGGCATCAACCAGGCTCCTGGAAGAACAACAAGTTCTAGAAAATATCGACTTTCTCTCCTTTTAAAACATCTCCTCCTGTATTATGAACAATCTGGATATCAAGGTTATGGTGCCTTTCAACCCGAGGTCATATTCAGTACACATTACTGAATAATATATGAACCAATTATAGTGAAAATAATGACAAAGCTTTTTGCACAACGGTAATAATGTGCTTACTTTTCCTCAATAACTGTCTGGCCGTTGCTCTTCATCTCCTCCACAATGATCTTCTCTTCCTCTGGCAGAAGCACCTGAGGGACGCACTCTTTCCGCACCGCTGCAAACGCAAAAGCAATGAGGCTGCTTGATCGGCACCTTCAAGGTGTGCAATCGAAAACCTAAAACAACAACAACAACAACAAAAAGAAGAAAGCGTCTCTTACATAGACGCACCCCTGCGGTGGTTTGATGCAGGCTGGCCCCCGTGCAGTACGCCTCGATCACCCTCAGAATCTGGGCGTCCTCCTCCAGCGCCGCCGTGCCTGTGCAAAGCCAGAGGGGATGCAGCATCGTGAGCGGTACCTTCCTTCGGCGGGTGGTGCCAAGGCACATTCCCGCTTGGCAGCGAAATGAAGAGACTCATACTTTTCCTCGTTTGAACTTCGTCGTCAGACGGCTTCCGTTCTTTCTTCCTGTTGCCCGGCAGGAACTTCTTTATGGGCCGCGGGCTCTTGCTGGAGTCCTGGAGGAGTCGGGCATGAAGTTCAGTACCGTCGCTCCCTCTCTAATAAGCACAGTGCAAAGCTAAGGTTCCGAACCAAACAGAATGCAAGCTCACGGGGGGGGGGGTAGGGAAGGACGCGCATCCCTCGTGAACAAACAACATCAAAAGGACACAAGTCCTTCAACAAACAAGGCAGCAAGCGTGCGGGCCATGACTGACGACCAACCCGGCCGTGTGATCCATCTGCGCTATCGTGCCTAACGTAGCGTCAAGAAAGACGAAAACAACAAACTTTCTTTTTCTTTCTCACAGATCAAGAATACTACTGCCGCGGAGGGAGAAAAAACGGTTGAACGTGGTTGAAGAGCCACGGAAAAAGGACGCTGAGGTGTTATTACGTGATGTTCTAACGTCGTTTCTAACCACAACGATGAGGTTTCATGAATGGGTTGAGCTGATGGATTGAAAACGAGCACCGAGTCGGTTTCCTCTCCGGCGCACATTCAAAGCTGAGGTGTGACGATCAATGCCAGATGGGTGGAGATTTGGGTGGCGCATGGACGTCACGTTCTCATCATACGTCACAGGAGGTGACTTGCTCCGTGCTCTCCGTTGGAATTCAGAGGCTTAGTCAGACGCGCCATAGGGAAATAGAGAGTGATTGTCTGTGGTAGTATCGACTCCTAAAAGTCCCCCATAAGGACCAGGAGGAATAATTGACAGCATCACATTACCTATGAAAATGGGGAGTGGGAGTTTCTGGCATAAGAAACCGTTTACCCATTAACAAGGTGCGCGGAGACAGGAAAATGTCTGCGGACATCAAAACTACCACACGAGGTGTTCCTTAAGTTTCGATCTGATCAACTTTTGAAGGGGCGTCGGAGATCAGTGTCAATGCCAGCGCACAGAATATTGGAGGTTCTCCCCTTTTTTGGTTTGGTCTTCTCATCATCTCCAGGATACAGTGATGTGCGATTCAGTGGCAAATGGTGTTAACATTTTGCTCCATCCACCAGCTGGAGTACGTCAATAGTGTAGTATGCACTATTATGCACCTTTCTCCAACATGTTGCACATTTATATGCATGGAACCTTTTTTTAAGTGGGATTCTCCGGGAACATTCCCACTTCCCTACAAGTAGCATAGCCAAACATAACATCTAAAAAAAGTGATCAAGTTTGGTCTGCCACGGCTCCATAGACCATGAATAAACTATTTGATGGGAGTTTCAAATATTCACCGTAACAAGGAAAATATCAAAGACGGAACCGTCTGTACGTCACAGAACTCAACTTGGTGCCAAGATGACTAATCAACAAACCATCAAATTGTTATAACTTAATATTCCAGAGGGCTCATTTTGGCCAGATCGCTGAATAACGTTTCTTGTTATTGTCAAGAGGTGGCGCTAATCGTCAAAGTTTATTTGTTTATTTGTCTGGGCCTTTAAAGGATCTCATTTGCTTTTGAAACCGTCAACATTGGCCGGATATCATCCTTGAAAGGGTAAAAGAAACAAAAGGGAACCAAATCTGGAAAGTTTACTCTGATTTAAAGAAAGATATTGAAGACAACGAACACCTCCCAGACTTTAGCTCATGTTCGTAAATTGAAATAAAATATTTGAATTCCCAATTAAGTTGGAGTTCCCCTTTAAAAAGAGACACGACAGCATATTTTGGATTATTCAAATGCGACACATGTGCAAAGTCAAACTCAGGGTCGAATAATAGCAGAAAAGACGGCGTGATGACGTCTGTAACTTGCACCCCAAGTAGAACTGAGTAAGCTGCTGCTGCATAAGAACAATCAGACTCCCTCAAAAAAAAAAAAAGACACACTGGGCCACAGAACACTGAAAAAGAGACAGATGACAACGAGAGAAGCAAACAGAGAGCAAGTGCATGGCAGCGCAACCCGGGGGCAAACACACACGTAGGCAAACTCCATCCCAAACGCATCTCACCCCCACCCTCCAACACACACACACACACGTACACACACCCTTACCTTCATGATATAAGACATCCTCTACAGAAGGCAGGATGGAGAAAGAGAGAAAGGGGAAATGTGCATGAAAAAAATACTACAAGAGAAAGGTGTGAGAGTGTTAATGGTGAACATTTGTATCCCCCCCCCCCTCTCCTCTGCCATTCACCTGCTATTTGTCATTGCAGAATATAGGTTGATTACTTCAAGTAAATACAAATTTACTTTTAAAAAAAACAAGGAAAAAAAAAGGAAAAAAAAGGAGATATATGGAGAGTTTGGCAGAAAGAAAGTTATGCATTCAAAAGGAAAAAGAGAGAGCCCAATAGCTACAAGCCTATAATCTGTTTATAGTCATTGAATGGATTTTATCTGTGTATTTAGCGTTCAAAAATTAAACATTTTTTAAATTAGACCTTTAAGAAGTATTACGCTTCCTGTATTCAACACATCACAAGACTGTCCATGCTACCTCAGAGACAGAGAGACAGAGGGACATAGGGACAGGCACACTCCACGCCAGAGACTTGTATAAACATATTAAACATGTTTAACGTTGTGTTAAACGTGTTTTATTTACTGCAGTTAAGTACTTTGTCGAGGTGGCCCACACATCGCAAAGTACTATTCTACATATGCGAAGGTTCGGACCGCACGCAAAAGCACACTACGGAATAGTTAACAAAAAGATGGAGAAAAATGTTCAGCAACCGCAGAAAAGTCCAATCCAACTTGTATCCTTAAATCCTGAAACTATAAGTACAAGTAAAAGGTACAAAAGTACACTACAGGCGGCTTACAGTCCAATAGATTATGATAGTAGGTTGTAATTGCGATTCTAGCGGAGTATGTCGACTCCACTTACGCGTTTGGCTGAAAGTTAGCGTGTGAATAATATTTTAAAAAGCGGAGGAGGACAACACGCGGTTTCTGACTAACGCAGCGCCTCGCCGCTTATGAAAGACGCACGTGGAGCTCGCGTGGGCCCGCATGCGCGACGCTACGACCTCCTACCTCTTTGTATCCCAGCGCGGCGGAGGGTTTGAGGGGAGGCGCTGGGCGCAGACAGCTGAGGGACCACGGCTTGCTGGTCTTCGGCGGCTCCAGGGGGCCGCGGCTGGCGGCGCTGACGCTGCCCAGGTGGGACGCGTGGGTGGGGCCGCCGACCATGCTCAGCGGCTTGCCTTCTACCGTCTACGTGACACGATCCAGGGAAAGATGACGAAGAAGATATGTGGGAATTAAAACATGCGATGAAAGATGAGTAATGCTTTTCACACCTCTGAATGTTGCAAGGTTCACTTTTGGTAATGTTTTGACGGTTTACTGTTTGTGTGTGTGTGTGTGTTTGTGTGTAGACTAACCTTTGAGATGGTTCCTACAGGGCTTCCTCCTTTGGTAAAGGGCTGAAGGTGCTCTAACCATTCTTGTAACTCCTGGGCACTACTGCAGAACACTGTAAAACGATCGACGACGCTTCCTGCAGTACAGAAACACGCGAGCACACTTCTTTCAGTAAAGGTCAGACATAACTGACAAAAGTTTACATGCCACGACCGCAACAAGAAAAGACAGTCAAGTCAAATGCAGGTGTCTTTAAAGGGGTTCGGCTCGATGTGCTCCCACAATTGAACGCAAAATGGACAAACTTTGCATAAAGATGCGGCAAACAAAGAGATAACAGTCATAGACAAGAAAAGGAAAAATAGGTTTCTTCGAAGTTGATTTGTCTAGGGCTTTTATTGTGAAAGGTAAGAATGGAAGGGTTCCCATTAAAACCAGTCCGTCTTGGTTTGGACAACTGAGACTTTGGGTTTGTATAAATGAATATTTATATATGATTAAATATATTTAATATAATTATCTAATAAGTACATTGTTACAAATGTCAAAAATAAAAAAAAACTCAACCCGGTTTGCACAACGACATTGTTCGATGCATTTATTAGCGCTGAAAAAGCTCAGAAACCAAAACCAAAATCATATAATTATTATTTTGTGCAGCATGACATTTGTGTTCCGTGTATTCATGACAAAAGAAGATTAATCAAAGGGAGAAAAACAACTCTAGTGTGTTCTACTGTGGAAGGAAAGTGATGATCGGTATCAAATGCTTCACCCGTGCGATTGGACGCTGTACAAACATTGATTTTCAAAGACAGACAAGTCCCACCGCTGATCCGGCTGATGCGTCATCTTTGATTTCATTCTTTATTTACGTTCTAATACACTGCCTAAATGCTGCCTAGTCCTAAGTTGAGGAAGAGGAGACCTAAATTCCAAAAGCAAACCTGTAATGTCCAAGGCATAGTGTCCATTCTCTGCATCCTCTGCATGTCTCGTTACTGTAGTGCCTGTCAGTGGCAGTTTTCCCTGAATGGGACAAGTAAATGGAGATGAAATAAGATACCACAATATACTAGATTCGAAATGTTTTTTTCTGTATCTGGTTATACCCTGAAAAAAAAAAAAAAAAAAGATAACTCAGGGGGAAAAAAACAGTCATGAAGGACTGATGGAGACGTAGATTATAGCACATGCTGCTCACCTGATAAATAAAGCCACTCATACGGGGACTGGCGGACAGCATGACTACCACATGAGGGAAGAGCATCACATAACGCTCCTCTTTTTCCTGCAACAAAAACACAAAAAATGACCTGGTCAGTTCATGCAAGCAGTGAAAGGAAGGTGGCTGCAGTCGAGTCTCTTTGTTGTGTAGCTTGTTAGAAACCGACCGCAGTTAAGGTCACACTTTAGCGCTTACCCTAGCATGTTTTAGATCAGCTACTAGGAACTGCTTTGGCAAGGCCATGTAATATAGGAGGGGCTGCCAAAGCAGTTGCTATTGTGGTTGGAAAGAAGTTGCCTATGATAAAAAACAATGTCTATCTTGGGCCCTCTTCCAACCACCAACTCAAAAGACGACCCGCAGAGGAACCACATGAGAACGAGGAGATGGTTTTTCAATACACACCTACGTGGGCTTCTGCTTTGACACATATGAGGGGATGTTATTACCATAAACGAAGGCCGTCAATTTGCAGACGCGGTTCATCGGGAATCTGATTATTACACATGTAGGCCAAGTTAAATGATTCATTTTGGTTTTAAATAATAAATCGAGCTGCCACGTGCAAGTTCCGTTGGCTAGAAAAACATTTTCCCTGCTAGCATATTACATACCATAGGGGGAACAGGAGAAGTACCCAGTAGAATTCCTTAAATGGACATTGATGACAAGAAATTAGCCCAAAGTCTATTAAAGATGGATTAGGAAACTCTTGTCCAAAGTTCTTCTCTGTGCATCTAAGAGCAAATGTTGTGCTTGGCAACGCAGTGACTCTCTCTGACTGAACGGAACCCAGGGCAATTCGACTCGACCGCTTTCTCCCTTCCTTCCGTCATTTCTCACCTCGTTGGAGCCATTTTTCACGTGGACCTGGGACATGTAGGCCACGTGACCCAGGCTCTTCATGCTGTCTCCCTCCCAGCCGCGCACCGGCTCCGACAAGATCTGGAGCTCCAGGTTCTTGCGCTTCCGCAGCTCCTGGCACTGCGTCTGGACACAAACGCACGTATAAAAGATGCAATTGATTTGAAGAATATCCTATATAGGACTACTTTGGAAAGAATTGGAAATAACTTTAAGCTGTTATCAAATATGTGACACACCTCAAACAAAACCGTGTAGTAGAAATACTGAGTAATGCGCGGCAGGGATTTTTATATGGATAGGGCGTCAGAAACTGGAAAGGTTTACTAAAAAATGGCTTTGTACCACTGTCTTTCATTGAGTCACCTGCGAAATAAAGTAGCACATTTTCAGGTGCAGGGCAGGGGCTCTCCCCCCTCGAGCAGGAAAAATGACATGTCACTTTCCACTGCACATTGTGCGAAAAAAAAAAGTTCTCAATTTGGTTAGCAGCAGAGGTGTAACTAGCATTTCACAAGCCCCTGCCAGACTAACCACATGAAAACACAAAGAAAAGTGAAGACTTGCAAATTTGACAGTGTTGATGCGTGATGTTTTATTCTTCCCGCCTCTCTGTGAAGAGACACGCGAGTGCCGTCGTCTGTTTACTGGGAACCCAAGAGTTATACCGAGGAAACGGTGCCTCAGGGTGATGTTCACTCAGGTGCGGTTACTTGTTTCTAATCCAACTCTTCTTAAAAAAAAGGTGGTATTTCAGATCGCACCCACTGCAGGGTGGGTGCGACGCTTCGTTGTTCCTAAAATCATTGCCAAGAGGAGGCGAGGAAAAGACCGTTTTCTCACGAACGACTTGAAATGCTGAAACGCAATTATGAAATGTTTGCACCATGAGGCAAAAAAAATAATTAAAAAAATAAAACCATCTACCTGAGCCACATTTTGTCCTCTGATACAAAACAGTTTCTTGAATTTTGTCGGGAAGATAAAAGAATAAATAGACAAAAAAAATATGAAAAAACTCCAATAACTGAGAATTGACGAGAGGCTTACAGCTTATTTAACACGGCCTTGTCCTCTACTCTACAAGCTCAATCCAGGGGACAAACAAAGACATATTGGAGGACGGCTCAAGCATGCAAAGCCCCCTTGGACATTTCCAGACTTACCACCAGGCTCCTGAAGGCTGCTGAAGCTTTTACAATGTCAGCATAGTCTGGGTGGGCTTCCTGCGGAAGAAGTAAAAACAACCGGTCAACGAATATTTACGCAGGAAATCAAGAGGTTGAAAATCAAATCTACAAATATTATATATATATATATACACACACTGCGGTTAAATAAACACTCGTATTTCCAATTCCTCTTCCTCTATTTAATAAATACATTTAATTGCAGTTTAGACATTACGCGTTTATTTTTCACTTCCTGTACCTCCACATGTCTCTCCAGCTCCTGCATCAGCGTGGGGTATTTGTCCAGCCTCATGAAGGGCTTGCTGAGACTGGTGGTCAGGGTCAGGATCCCTGGAGAACTGGCCCCTTGGCTCTCCATGAACTTGTCCAGTTCCTCGCTGTTGAACACAAAAACAAAGATAAGTTGAAGGCAACAAACTACTGGTTTACAGGTCGCGGCTCGAGGACCATTCAAAACGACGCAGATTCACGATGGCGACTAAACAATGCAAAAAGTTTTGAAGTTTCAGTAGATACATCTGTATATGTTACACACAGTAGTAATGGGATTTATATATTTCACACAAACAGTTTTAGTCAAAACGCTGATATGCTATATACACTGCAAAAGAGTGAATTGTTAACATTATGTGTTATTATCTGTGTGGGTCAAGTTGAAAATAAATGTATAGATCGATTAAATGCAACCAAAAGGGGAAGGGGGGGGGGGGGGGGGGTAGTTGTTTCCACGGGCACACACACCCAACACAAATACACACAACTAGAAATCCTTTGAAAAAGAAAACCTTTGTAGTTTACTGATTTGCCGCATTCTCTCTTCTTTCTAGACAGTGAATCCATTAAATAAGAAATATTTGACTAATTTTGAAGGGTTTATATTTATTGATCTTTGGCTGTAAGAAACACAAAAAAACATGACAGAAACACTCCTATCACACCGGTTGTGCACGCGAGGACGGACCACAGATGACTACAATGGTGTTAGTAGCACACAAAAAGAAAGCACGGATGAGATCCTACTCTCTTGTCATGCTCTCAGTTCACAGCAATTTGTAAAATGTGCTTTTAAAAGCACCTCCATTCACCACCAGCCAAAGCATCAATCGGACGGTATTCCGTAGCAACACCAACTGGCAACATTGAGTAAATGTGAATGTCACAAAACTAAAAACGGCTCCTGCAACCCAAATGCAAATGTGCTTACTGTGAAAGAGCGCCTGGCATGCCCGTCAACATAACCACAACGAAAATGTATCCTGTCAACAGTTTGCTTCCTGTGTGCAATCCGACCCGCTCTGCAGCTCACTTTGTAGAATCTCACCAGCAACTTCTACGTGACTGCATTTCAGTTTGACTTTGTTTTGCTGTTCCCCAGCGAGTCTGATCCATGGAAAACAGTTTAATAACGGCGGCCGCCCCCTCGGTGAGAGTGATGCGCTTTAAAAGTAGCCGGCTTGAACGGACACTTCGGCACTTGGGTGTCTCGGGGGGACTGCTCAGACCGAGTGGGGTCACCTGGTCATTTACAGATGGGAAGACTGACACCTTGTGGTTGAAAGTTAAAACGATCAGCGAACTATGGCTCCTCCTCTTAAATATACGAGGCCATTCATGCTCCTGATGTTAATTGTTTCCAACTTTTCTTGGGAGTTTTTGAGCAAATCAAAGATTGTTCCATTTGAAAACATTTCAGCAAAGAAAGTGTGAAAAGCTTCTCTTTTGGAAAAACATTTACCACTACGCAGTTGTTGCCTTCATGAGGACGGTGATTCTGCCCCCACGTGTCACATTTAACTCAATCAAGACTGGGCCAGTGTTAGTAACTTAACACAGCAGGTATGAGACAGCGGGGCAACACTCATCCACATTCTCGAAATGTCTTCATGATTAAGACTCAGACTTGTCTTTGTCGGAGGTGAAGGTCCTGTGCTACGACTGACCTGTGGTCAGTGAGGATGCAGACAGCTGAAGGATGGCTGGAACAGTAAGCCATGTACAGGTTCTTGATCTGACACATGAGGTTTAAATAGCAGCCGGCCACTCGCTGCTGGCCCTCTGGGACTCTGCACAGACAAGAAGGAGAACGGTTGGGGAGGGACAAAGCAGAGAGATGGAAATGGCAGAAGGGTTTGCAGTGATGACATGGTTAATACGTTTTTTTAAACTGAAAAGCTGCCATTATTAAGGGCGTCTGGAATTTGATACAGTCAAAAGAACGTTCCTGAAAAATTCTGGAAATACTTCACACAGCTTCCAGCCATTTCCCAAAGCATTAGGTACCTTCTGAATGTATGAACCTAATTTTATTCAGCCTTGTTTTCTCCAGAAGCCTTCGATGTCAGTTTCCCAACCAGTGCACGAATGCAGCAAATTGATGACTGCAAACAGTAACCGTATAAACATTGGGCCGCATGTCGACCATGATGGATTACCATCATAGTCCAAATGTAAATTTTCCAATCTTTGCAAGTCGCTTTTTGAGCCGTGACGATATAACAGAGGGAATGTCTGGGAGCGAGGAGGTGATTACAAAAATGTAATCACGTACGGCACGCTTTGCAAAACACGTGCATTGTATAGTATGTGTGCAGTGTAGTAACCTAAGACAAAACATGAATCAATACCTACATCGTCACCCAAAAGGGCTTTTGATTACACTTTCTCTTTCTTGAGTTCTTTGAGAAAACAAAAAAACAACAACAACTGACCAGACTGCACAAGGTCCGTGTCCAGCATGACTTACTTGGTACAGTCCTCCAAAGCCACACACAGTCCCTGCTGGAAGGTGAGTATCTCCTCCAGGTTTCCACCGAGGGCGACGCTGTCTGCACTGCTCAGCCTGGAAACACACACACACACACGCACACACGCACACACGCACACACAGTGAATTTCAGTCAATTAAAGACTCATTTATACAACACATGTGTTTTATAGAATAACCCATTGGCCTTCATTATGCCCATTGATGGATTTGTCACATGCGTTTTCGTTGCTCTTACTTGTCGCTGGCTTGCAGGGGTCGTAGATAACTGTTGAGCACCGCCTGCAATTCTTTGACAAACTCCCGCTCGTGTTCCAAGATGTCGTGCACCACCTGCAAAAGCATTGAGCAGAAAGGTTCATGTTTCATCAGTTGTCAAGACTGCACAACATTTTCTAAAAGTAAGTTGTTCCAGGTAAAACTGGTTGATAATCAGGAAAATGTGGAATGTTATTTTGTTTTATTAGTCCACATATTTGTCACTGATCACTATATTTTCTATTTGATGAAATACTGCTTTACCCATTATTAACATCCCAATAAAAGCTCATTCTTTTTACATGAATTTGACTCACCACACTGTAGTAGTTTTTGGTCAGCTGAGTGCCTTTAGGAGACGTTGGCTTCTCTGTGGGGGAGGGAAGAAAAAAGGTTAACGCCCGAGATCCTGTTTGAATTTCATCGTTTTAACCCTTTTAAAGAAAAAGCTCACAAGGAGCTTGACCGCTAGTACCAAAATATTGTTTGTACAAAAATCGGTGATGTTCCGTGCAGGCGTTTGTGAGATGAGAATGAGACGGACAGACACACCGACGGATGGAACAGCATAAAACATCACGCTTTCCCTTTTGAACAGGAACATGAAATAAGTTGCATCCTCAAACTCCATATCACCACCATATCACTCCACGTGCACAACACGGTGCCAAGTGCCCATTTACAACTACCGTGCAAGTTGATCTAAATTCTTATTTTGCGTGCCGCACAAAATGCTCATGCAAGAAACTCCCTTCGCGGCTGAACTCACCGCAGGGTTTGATCTCCCTCACGTAGTTGCTGGGGAACCAGCCCGTCTTGCCGCCGAGCGTCCCCTCCCACCAGCCGCCGTCCTCCTGCCGCATCACGTGGATCAAGTCGCCTTTGTTGAACGACAGCTCATCCTCATTGTTGTGCTTGAAGTTGAAGCGAGCCTTCACCAGCAGCTGCCCGCCTCCTCCGTTCTCAGACATCTCCTGTTAAAGAGGAGAGAACGCGCATCAGCAGAAGACCTCTCGGCCGTTGCACACGTGAACACAGAAAATATAAGAAATAAATATGTTAAAAAAGGTACCGTACCACTGATTTGGATCGTCTACGCAGAGAGCCTTTGGACTTGGCAGAGGAGAGCGTGTGAGAAGACGTCGACTGGCGAGGAGAGTGAGCGGCGGACTGGGGACATGATCTCTCAGCAGCACATTCTATGCACACACAGAGGAAATAGGAAAATACTTTACATGCATTACACGGGCGGCTGACCATGTGACTCTCTGGCCTTGTTGTCATATCACCATCGTCGTCATCATCGCGGTTGATGAAGGGGCACACACAGTACGTTGGGTGATATGGTCCACTGCTCTGCGCAGCCCCAGGATAGAAAACACACGCACACACGCTACACATTTACAACGCCCGATGGAGTTGTCTGATTTAACTAAATCTGGCATGAGAAGATAAAGCAGCTGTCAGAGAAAGGCTGATCTTTAGATTATAACACAAAGTACGTCTTAGTGATCGCTCATGCTGACCGCGTGTTGCTTTCAGCAAGTACATTCATTCAGGTTACTCGTCACGTATTTGACAGGATTTCCTCAAAACACCTCAAGGAAAATTTAAAAAAAAAATCTAATTTCTGTCGGTCTGGCTTGCAGCAGAGTTACAGTGATTTATGGTCAGCAGCAGCCATCCGTCCCGCAGCGGAGGTGCACTGACACAGCCGTCCATTCCCTCGCCGGTACTCACGAGAAAAGTGACACGCGGCAGCCCGCCAGCCTCCGGCGAGCAGGAGCACATTCACATAAGGACTACCCATCGAATGAAAGCCATCGTGTAATATTTGTGCAAATCCCAGAAGGAAAAAAATAAATAAAAACAGTCCTCCATTAGCCTCGATAACCTCTTATTCAGATCCAATGAGAAATTCAGACCAGAGCAACAGAACGAAATGCCACCGTGCTGTGGTAACACTTTGTGTGTACTCGTGTGTGTGTGATCAGCAGATCACGTGGAACCCAGTTCACGTAGGGACAAACCGGGAGACCCCCCCTGGGGCCCATATTTTAAAAGGTGAGGGGGGGTGGGGGGGGGGGGCTTACTGATACGATGACAGCCACACTGACGGCAGAAGGGACGGCGCACATGCACTGCAGGTTGGATCCCGCGCGCCCCTCCGGACACCCGCGGAGAAGCCTGACAAGCCCTTCTGTCAGCTACGCTCCGTGGTTATTTCTGTACGCTCTGTTCAAAAGCTCTCAGTCTGAGAACAGGGTTGTCAGGAAGGACGCCAGAAGAGGATCATGAATCAAAAGGGCCTTTGTGTTCGCTCGTATTAGCTAAATTGGGGCTTAATCCACTTCAAATCAAGTTCACTTTCCAGGAGTGGAGAGCAGCCGCGGGGGCATTTCAAGCTCTGCACATCAAGCGGACGGACGGAGGCTTCTGGTTCGACGTCTCACATAGTGGCGCACGTCCTCCCCCGTCATTGAAGTGCACTCAAGAGATTGATCGCGCATTTACAAAGTCAGAGCAAGCGTGACATATCAACAGAGGACACATCACGTCATGCGCGGTTGAAACATTAGCCGATTAATTGATTGACATCCGCTTCTCAAAATGTTGCAACATTTATAGACTAATCAGTGAAACAAATGTGAACGTGATCTACGTTTAGACCGTATCGCGTTACGCTGTTGACAAACCGCAATGTCACAAACACGTGTTCTCAAATCAGCTGAAAGCTTAGGGCTATTAATGAGGCAGAAACGCTGACTAAACAATTCTAACGCTGCTGTGAACTGAAAAGAAGAGGGAGGCTGGAATCACCTCTCCGGTACGACATAATGTCCTTTGCTTCGTTCCCGAGCTCAATCCAAATGATCCCGAACCAACAAGGATATGGATGCACATGAGTAACTATGGCGCGCAGCAGCACGACACAAACGCACACTGCCATGCCAGCTGCCCACGAGGAACACACAAACAATCACCAACGGCCGCATGGAAAAGGTCTGTGAAACCATCGCACGCGCTGTTGTTTTCCTGGAATATTTGCAGCAAGTCCCCGGGGAATGGAGCTCAATATACTTTTGATGATATAGCAAACCGTTGACTGGCACTGTACATTTATTTTCGCACATCAATATACTGTAACTTTACAACAAACGCCACTACTCACTTCTATTTTATGCTTCCCTTTCAGAGAGGACACGTTTGTATTAAGGGGGGGGCTACAAGACTCTTACCCTGTGTGGCAAAGTTGAATGCCAGCAACGTGGTCAGGACCTTGCCAAAATTTTCACCAGTGTACAGCCACTCTGGTTCAAACCCCTGGATGGAAAAGAAACAGAAGATTGCATCAGACTTAAAAAAAAAAAAAAGAAATGTTCATACCATACGAGCCAGAATGCATCAGATGTGGAAGGAGAGTGGGTCCAAATTTAGAACCGATAGCACAGATCAGAGCCGCACAAACAATAGAGCTACACACACACATACACACAGATGTTGAAACACACATGGATTTGAATAAGCTTCTGACGAAACTGAGATAAAAAGTGACATGCGAGTGTGACCTATATTTTGTGACTTAGTGCCTTGTAATAGAACACACGGTGTCAGTCTCATTTGCAATTTGCTGGGCACACACAACGATGCTCGCACAGACACACAAACCGTCGCCCCTCTCTGTGTCGGACCGCTATCTTCTTTCCTCGAGCGGATACGGTTTCCCATTTTAAATAAAACATCTTAAATATAGAGTTTGCGTGGTGCGGCCTCTGCGATGGGTTATGTAGAACTTCATCCGGAGTAAAAGCAAGCGTGACCATGACGATCAGCCTGAGGGTCACCATGACAACCTGTTTTACTCTGCATCACTAAAGCATAACATTATGCCTAATGATTTTTAGGAAATATTGGGGGGAAAAAAACTAATTTGCATTGATAATACTAAATGGAGCATGTAGGTCTTACATCACAATATTGATCAGTGACAACTGTTGCCAGTATTGACATCTCCACCATTCTCAGCGGCAGTACTTTCAACGAGACACGTTATGATTACACGTTACCTCGGAAATAGCGTAGCGGTCTGTGAATTCAAAACAAATAAATAAATAAATAAATAAATAAATAAATAATCGCATGCAGTTCATAACGCTGCAAAAATAATCTGTGGCCTCGAGCGGTAATTGGGGGCTTCCTCTTTCTTCATCTCCGGGCAGAAGTGAAAGCAATATGACTGCTCTCTTTGTGCAGCCACAGGAGAAGTAGCCTCCATTTGCTATGGCTGCATAAAGACATTTTGAAAAAGAGAGAGAAGAAGTTCTCAAACCATGATCCCATCACTGACCAAAGGACGGGGCAGAACTTTGCTGTGGCACCACAGACATCCCCTGACTGATCAAATTGGACAGCGGTAAAAAAAAAAACTGTGCAAACGACCTACTGGCCAGCCACAGAAAGTTTAATTATGGGCTCCGGCAGCGTTTGTGGATAAAAGCACAAGGGAACCTCCCCGACTTAACAAGCCAGCTGGGCCGGGACTACAGAAGCCAAGCTCGCTGACTCAGTTAGCTGTTTAAAGAAACCTACTGAGGTGACTCAAGACCAGAGAGGATTATTTATAAAGCTGAAATTACTGTCCAGCCTGGGACAGAGACAGGGAAAACTCCCAACATCTGGGAATGATTTGACCATCGTTTGAGCACCAAAGCCCTGCAGTGTGGGATTTAAATAAAATAAAATAAAAGCATTATCATTTTAGCCGTCTTGATAAGTTGTGGCCATTAGAAGCAGCATGGAGGGAGAGCGATGTCAGCAGGCCGAGCAGATCACAACACAAGGCGACACTGAACCGCAGTGGGATCAGAAGGTCAAGTGAATTAATGATGAATGAGAGGGAGAGAAATACTTACCTCCACTTTCAAGGAAGAGCATCCTTTTAAAAACTCCTTGATATTGGTAATGCAGTCGGCTTCAGCTCTCGGGTCCTGGCAATACTGAACACACACACACACACACACACACACACACACACACACACACACAATAAATATATAAACACAAATCACGAAATACACACGAACGTATCCGACTACTACGTCGCTGTCAGTCACACGGATAAAGTAGCATTGCTGCGTCAGTAAAAGTTAAATCGTGAGTCGTTCTACGTCTCCTTCGCGCATATACATAACCATTAACAACGCACAGTCGTCAATAAAACAGGGTTCAAGAAAAGCATCCGGTTTACTTACTTAAAACTTTCAAAGTAAAAGGTTTTCTTTCAACCTTCGTGTTGGGCGCTTTGCCGGCGAAATGTGGAGTAACAAATTAGGTTTCTCACTGGTTGCACGTAAACTACGGCGTGTACGACCCGCCAAACAGAGACACGCGATAAGGAAGGGCGGTTAACCAAAAAAAGAGAGAAGATACTATTTCCGGTTTTATTCTATTTCAGACGTCTTGACGGTTCCATTTTTTTAAGGGGGAGGTTCCTACAGCGAGAGCCATTCAGGAGGAAGTGACGAACCGTCTTGGCAACTGTTACTTGTCATTATCAACTTTGTCATCTCAATGAGCAAAGCATGTCGTTACGCGGAGAGTAACACGCCCCAAAAAAATAATTTAAAAGTTGCCTAAAAAAAGTGTCCAGTTTAACCCCGACGCCCCCCCCCCGCTCGACCTCTCCAACGTGCATGTCCCCCCCCGTCCCAATGTCTCACGCGCTCTTCCTATCGACTATGTCCCATTTTGGTGGGTGTTCACGCAGAGTCGCTCGCGGCAAGAATGCGGAACATTGCGCCCGCTTCACAGGAAGGCACACCTAAAAACATGTTTAAAAAAAGCACAACTGTTTTGTTTTACTTCGATGCGCACGGCTCCACGCGCGTCCATTAAAACGGCTAACGTACGGTGAGCTACAAAAACATAAATAAATAAAGGCCTACAGCAGTAGGGGGGGGGGGGGAGGTCTCGGGATCATTTTCATCAAAACCCTCCCTTCCGTCAGAGGGGCCGTCGATCGCCTGGCATTTGTTGACTTTAAAAAGTGACCCTAAAAGACGACGCCTCACCTTGGGAGTGAAGCCAGGCACGAGCCGCTCCGCGAGCTTGCACAGGACGACCCCATCCTTCAGCGACGTCTTCAGGAACTCCTCCGGGTCCGCTACGTTCTTTTTGGGCGAGCTGAGCACACCGAGCGATATCAACCAGGTCACCGTCTGCTCCTCTGGATTCATAGCTCCGCACGACGAGCATCGCCTAAGCACGCATCCTGAAACCAACAACAACAAAACAACTGGCGGCCTGTTCCGTTTTAATGTGCAACTCACATCCGCACTTCTGCTAGAAGTAAAAAAAAAAAAAAAAAAAAAAGAGGCGGTAGGGGGAAGGACGAGGCTGTTTCTACACGTAAAACTGATGATCACCCCTACTGGCAAATAGGCACCTCCACAATACACAAGGAGACGGCTTTTTCCTCCGCAAAGTCGCACATGTTCGCACTTCCTCTAATGGTTCGGTTACATAACGGAGAGTCTGCAAACACACGTTTGCGTTGAAAGTTTAATACATTTATCATGATGCAAATTCATGCTGAAGTTTATTGGCACCACCTGTGTTGCATTGGGATATTTGTAGGAGGAAAGACTGAGAGCCTCAATAGATAGATAAAAACTGTCACAAGCAGATACTCCAAATACATGGTCCAGTTTTAAAAAGTAAATATTAGGAAGTAATTTGGTGTAACTGTCCATTTGCAATCTATTTTCATGATGAAACCAAACAGAGTAGACAAAAAGGTTCTTTAACGTCTTTATTAAAAACACCAAACACGTTGATCTGAGCGATTCCTGGGCTTGCGTCCGTCCGACTGTCAACACGCGCTCCCACTCGAAGCCCCGATTCCACCAGCTCGACAGAAACCAGTTTCCGGGCCACTGAAAGACATAACGTTACAAATAAATTTCACCCGAAAAAATCCACTCTTTGAAATAGTTACTCAGTTTGCAAAAAAAGATCTTAAATTAGTCTGGTAGACCTACCCGGACCGGCGCACGGAGGTCTGATTGGTCCAACATCTCCAGGAGAGAATTCGGTTAAGTTGCAAGAGCAGTTGCCTTGGACGGGTGGGGGTACTCATCCTGCAACGAAAACACGCAATTAACATGTTGCCCTTCTCTTAATCATGTATTAATAAAACATCTGGTAATTCCATTTTTTTTGGCCTTGGTCAGACTGCGAATGTTCACTTTGTTTGCGATAGTTTCCGGTTAGGACGTCGTTGTTCATCCAGAAGTCTCCGTTGTTTCGATTCCCATGCTCGTGGAAAAGGTACCGAGAAAATGGCTTTTAATTTAAAAGAAAAAAAATGGCTTTCAAGTTTCACCAGGGCAGTCCTTATGGATACCCGGGTCATCTTTAATAAGTAGTTTAAAAATGCACGTGACAATTTTACTGAGCTCCACGGTTGGTCAAAAAAGGTCATTGTGAGGGCACAGCGGGCAAACTGGTGGTTAAACTTTCATTGCTGAAAAGGGACGGAACTTCTTGGGATGTTGCTGCACTTTTGACAATGTTAGCTGGTGAAACAGACTACAATGAAAAAAAAAAATATTCAGGTGACCCTTTTTCGGTCTTGCAAGGCGTCTTGTTGTCTTGAGTACCACCCTTTGTGGGGAGATTGCAACACAGGACAAAGAAACTCATTTTACAGATGAGAAACAAAGAGGTTTGCTTTGCTTACCAGCTGTTGACTACCAGTCGAGCTGCATTTGGTTGTTGCTGTTGCCTTTGGTTTTGTCGTGCCATCGAGTGGCTCTAGGGTGACGGATCCATTTCCAAGGGAACTACATTGGAACATTTCGACAGTAACATTTGCCTAACCCTTGACAAACAGTACCGTCCAGTCGATGGCACATTTGGGGTTAGGTAGGGACTGAAGTCCGCGAACTTTAAAGCCTGGGCAGAGACTCACCTATGCTCTGCAGAGAGCAATGTAAACAAGGTCATGATGGAACTTTACATTCATGTCACGGTCTTTGGTCCTCTTTGGAAAATCGACGAGCAGTGGTCAAGGTACAACTAAAAGCTTTATTAGAGTAGGAAAGCCAGACTGAAAGGGCATTGCAGATTCCAACAGCACTGAATGTACAAAAACTAACACTCACTTGGTAACTGTACGGTTACACGACCAAGAGGAATACTTAAAAAAAAAAAAAAAATTAATTACTTTTACACATAAAAAAAACTGGAAAAGTTAGGATACAGGTCAGAGCTAAGCTTCATTTTTCCACAGATTTAGACATGGCTAACTTGTCTGGTTGTCAGATCTCTTCCACAACACTCGTTAGCGGTGCACCGAGACCACGGTTTGCTTGAACGTGTTTTTCCAAGTCCAGTTTCAGTATCTGCTGCGAGCCATCCCTCTATCGGGCCGATTGCCGCCTCGCCCGCCACGTGGCCCTCCGCGACTTGAGCTGCTGTACGAATCGCGAGGAGGGTAGCCTCTCTCGACAGGGGGAGCCGGGCCCCTCTCCTGCCTGCCCATTCGCTCGCCACGGCTAGGTGGGTATGGGTCACTCCGACTGCTGGGGAAACTGTCACGACTGCCATAGCCATCCCGGGAGCTGCTGCCATAGTCATCGTAACGACTGCTTCCACCGCTCCCACCATAGGATGGTGGGGGGCCCCGTGAAGGTGGGGCGCTGCGAGAGTTACCTGCAGGGTCAATGGGTCAGGTAATTGGCACGGTTCAATTTATACATTTCCTTGCACTGTGAAGTGCTCATTTCTCTTTTGCCAATGGAATTAAATTTGCTGGCAAATGAATTCAACGGACGACACGTTTAAATGTCCCATCATGTTATCGACCTTACGTTCAACATTGGTATTTAGTCGACACGGGCAGTAATACACATCCAAGCACAGGGAATAAACAGGCCGTGTTTCCCCATTTTCAGCATGCCATTGATTTGAGAGGCCAGTTTTCCTTTTAGAGCTCCAAGTGTTAGAATTGCAGGTAAGGAGGAGGTTTTCCGAGTAGTCTTGAGGTTTTTTTTTTTTTTTTTTTTTTTACTCCTTGAGGGAGTGCTTCGCTAGGAAACACGTACACGGCGGCCATCAGACGTTTCCAAGGTGGTCCCTCATGGTTGCAAACTCTCTGGGGATCATTACATATTTGAGCGAGATATTGAGCGCGGCAAACTGATTTTTTTTTTTTGGGGGGGGGGGGGGGGGAGGTGTTGTTGCCCCATGCAGCGGCAACATGGACTGTGATACGTGGAAACCGCTTTTGATTGTAATTTTGTTTCTCAGTTGAGATGCCAATGACCATACATTCGTAATGCCGAAAAAAAAAAAATCACGCAGCTTGGGACTGCAGCTCACGGGTGCGGCTGAGAATGAAGAAAGCTTTTACGAGGACGCCTGAGATGCCGTTTCCTCTGCGGCTTCTTGTGACTGGATATTGCGGCACTCAAACGGCATGAATTGGTTGGTTATTCGTGCAGCCTTTTCTTTCTTTGTGGCTAAGTGGATGTGCCGCCATTACACCAATTCATTCATATCTTACCGTAACCGTCATACGAGTCTCTGTAAGAGCCACCGCTCGATCGGTCCACGTAGTTTCTGGGTTCCCGGCCTCCACCATAACTGTCCCGGTCACTACATGATAGGAACGAGGGTTATTGAAGGAACAGATGGGACCCAACCTCGGTTTTTAACCTTTCGTATAAACCCATACCTGTATCCCCTCGACATTGAGCCGTAGTCATCGCGGGAACTGGAGTTGGAGTATTCTCTGTATGAATAATCTCTTTGGGGAGGTCCGTAGTCCCTCGAGTCTCTGGAATTATAATCCCGACTGGAGTAGCTGTAAAACAAAAAGCACAAATAACCACAAAACTTTAGTTCTAGGATTTATTTTTCTCTCCATACAGTTAAGTTTTCAGTTTGACTGAAGTGAAACATATGGGATTAAATCAGTCAGCACAACGCTGTATAACTAAACTAAACATCCCACCCATCTTTGGAGTTGTAATGGTCGTCTCTGGGTGAAGGATAATCATCCCTCCTTGACATGGAGTCCCTGCGAGGAGGGGGTGGACCATAGGGATCTCTGTCCCGTGACATGGGGGCTAGAATATACAAGACAGAAAACGTGCTCATTAATCATCAAATAGGGTACACTTGCAAAAAGAACTATTAAAGCCAGAACACTTACTTCTGCTCATGGGACCAGAGGGGGCAGACCTCTTGGGCGGGGGACCTCCATTACGAACCGGAGGGCCTCTCTTCAACGGAGGGGGACCCCTGGATGACATCCCCTTAAAGAAGGGTTCTGGGTCTGAGTCATAGTAGTCTTTTCACAGACAAAAACAACAAAAATGAAAATATTAAACACATCAAACCACAAAGATGTCAAACATGAAAATGCATTCAGCTACAGTATTGTACTATGAACGCACAGTCTACCATTTCACAAACTCAAATGAACACACTAGGGAGATCACCTCTGGATGGCGGGCCTCTCATGCCACCTGGACCTCCCCTGGAACCACGGGGTCCTCTGGGGGGACCTCGACTGCGGGAGTGCATTAGCGGAGGGCCTCGTCTCCCGGCGCTCTCAAACTGGGGCTTCGTTGCCTGCTCCACTTTGATCGGCTTGCCATCAAGAGACTAGTGGGAGAGTTCAAATGTATTGAATCATACATTTAAACAAATTGTTGTTTTTTTAAAAGATTGTGGCGGGCTTACGGTTTACCTTTCCATTCATCTCTCGCGCTGCATCCTTTGCATCGGCAGGACTTTCAAAAGTAACAAAGGCGAAGCCTCTCGATTTGTTGGTTTCACGATCTTTCATCAAAATAACTGCAACGAGGGAATACAGAGTGAGAGGAGATAGTGCGCTCTGTGACTGAACCTGTGCTGATTAGGTTAATCTCTTGCAAAAAATGTATTTGGCAACTGAAGAAGTTTAAAAGAGACGCCTCTTAATAATGTTTTCACAAATTCTCACATTTATTGTTTAATGTGTTCACTTCATGCTACGAGACGAAAAACACTTAAACCGTCGCTCGGATTAGAGAAAGTGGGGACGGGATGTCATTTAATAGTTATTAAAAATTGAATTTAATACCAGTTAATTCACCGATCCACGGGAAGTCGAAAACAAATCGTACGATCGTCTTCTTTTAAAGTGACCGCCAGGCAACACGCGTTTAATAAGCAAGTAAAAGTAAAAGTGAGAATGTAAAAAATAGTTTGTGCAATTTGAAGAATTACGTAACGCAAAATAAAATGGAATAGATACGAGTTAGCAAAGTTACGAATCGAAAAGAAAAAAAAGTCTTTCGCACCTTCGACAATCCTGCCGTATTTGCTGAAATACTGCTCGAGGGCCTTCTCGGTGGTCTCGGTGTTCAGTCCACCGATGAAGAGCTTCCCCGGTCGGTCTGCCTCCGCCATGCTAAGCGATGCAACACCTGCAAAACACACAAACGTCGCACGTTGTAATTCGAGCGTGTTAACGCGTGGGAACACGCCTGTGTTTCCTCGTGTTATCCAGCGCAGATCCACGAGGATTACCTTGCTCCTGTGCGGTTGAAAAGCGCAAAATGGCGATAAACGTGCCAGCTGTTTTCGCTAGTTACTTTGCTAACACTAGCTAGCAAGTATTCCAGCTAACGTCGCTAGCGGGATACTCGAGCTCCCCAAAGACAACGTGATGCTTTTTTTAAAAAACGTCAAATTAAAAGCCGAACTGCTACGTGATTTATATTAAGTACACAAGCCCGCAGGCAGCTTTTGGCAGTTCGCGGCTTTGTGTAAACTGCGGTGCGCAACGGTTGGTCGTCGCCTTTTCTCCTCCTCCTCCTCCTTCTTCTTCTTCTTCTTCTTCTTCTTCTTCTTGGTTTCTGTTTCCGGTAGACCAAACGCCCCCCAGACGTTACGCTGCCACCTACAGCTGGAAACGGCGAATCACGGTTAAAGTGTTAGTGGTCTTCGATCTGTGGAGTAATTCAAGCAATCTTTAAAACAATATATATTTGACATGCCATGTCATTTTGAAAGCAAATACGAATATAGCAACGAATTTAATGTTTTTATTTGTCACCAATGCTCATCGGTTTGCTGCAGAATAAAAGTAGCCAGTATGGGTTAATATTTTGATTAGACACTGTAAAGCGAGTTTACGATTGGTTTATCTATTATTATTTCCTCCTCCTCCTCCTCCACCTCCTCCTCCATTGTTGTCTCCTTTTCCCCTTGACTTCTCGTAGCTCTCACTGGGAGTCCTCCGCTCGTCTTCCTTTTCAGAGTGTTGAAGATACTCTGAAAAGGGCTCAGACCGAACCAATATTTTATTATTTTCAATCAAATAAGGTTATATAGCGATTTTCAGAGAAAAAAGGTTAATTGTAAAAATTCGAACAAAACCGGGTAAAAGTTTTGAGATCCAGTCGTCCTTAAAAAGATCATGTAACAAAAACCACAATTTTGTATATAATGCTATACGCTTAATAACCAGAGGTGTCAAAAGTATTCACATTCATTACTCAGTAGAAGTACAGATACTAGGGTTTAAAAAGACTCCTGTAGAAGTTTGAGTACCAACTCAAGCTTTTTACTTAAAGTAAAAGTATAAAAGTACTGGTTCCAAAATTACTTAAAGTAAAAAAGTAAAAGTAATGTAGAAATTCCATTAAGGACAAACTCTTAATGCGTAACCTCGCTCACACAACACGTCAGTCCAATGTGTTCTGATTACAATGTGATCAGAAGGTGCCTGCAGATCACGTGACCTACCGTTGGGATGGTGGAAACAACAACAACAACATGTATCTGACAGTGACACGAGTCACACACACGTTGTTCGCATTGATGAGGTAGACTGCAGTGTCTCCCCCAGGTTCACTACGTCATGGGGGGGGGCTTCAACATATTGAAGCGAACGGATAAATTGATGGAGAAGACGTTATCTGTCAGTGCGCAACACACACATTCAGCTTCCCTCAGCAGCTCTCAAGCTGGGCACCGGTTCACTCACTGCTCCTTTCATGCTGATACGACAGCGCAGGCACCAGCCAATCAGATCGCGTTTATGCTCACGTCTAAAGAGCGTGAAGCTCAAAAATAAAAGATGGCGGACCAAACTCCGTAGAATAGGGCGTCCCTGCTCCACCTCGCCATCAGTTTGGGGGACCTTGGCTTGAAAAACGTTGAAGACCTCTGGCTTAAGTAATTAAGTAAAGTAAGTAAAGCCATTTGAGAACCTTTTAGGCTGTCTTGTGGCTGGTGTTTTTTTTTAACACTGTATAGATGTTAGGCTGTAAAGCCATTGTATTATTGTTCGATTAAACATTAGGGTTTTTGAATCGCTCTTAATCTGGACTCTCCCCTGAGACCTGTTGTCCATCGCACAAGGTCACAGGATCACTGAGCCACTCAAACTCCTCCACCACGTTAAGGTGGCAATTCGCAGAGGAGATTTTTCTTTTTTTGTGGGAAACCCACAGTTGAACCCAAAGATTTTTTTTTTAATGGGGGAAAATGGGGGGGGGGGGGGGCGATTTGTGTTTTTTTTTTTTTTTTTTAATGGGGGAAAACTTTTTGCCATTTGAGGACCCAACTCATTCAATCTGTAATCATGAAAATGGGTATATTTATTCCCAGTGCTCCAGTAAGTGTTCTTTTCCAACTTCATTGACTGGAAAGTAGCGGAGCACAGCGCCTGAGGAATGAGGAATCTTTTTCTTCTTTGGCAAAATGCAAGACCGCAAATGAAGATGAGGGGATTTCTGTATCTGTGCATATCCCCTGAACCCGATCATTTGGCCAATGTTCGGATAACCTCACACAGCCGGTTTGACAAATCAATAGTAACAACTTGTGAAGGTAGGCCGATAGTTTCATTCGTCTGTCGTTGGAAATTGGGATCTCGGTTTGGTTTTTCAAGTTATGCATTAGACAAGGTAGACACACATGTCCCCCTCTATACTTTGTATTAAAGGCATGGCTAGTGGTAAAAAATAGCGTCTGTTAAACTATATTTATGATATTTTAATAAGACTCTGGAAATGAAAAGTGGCATTATGAAATAAAAGACTCTGAAAATGAAAAGTGGCATTATGAAATAAAAGACTCTGGAAATGAAAAGTGGCATTATGAAATAAAAGTACCATGAAATAATTAAATGTATTTAATATTTATGTATTTATTGCCTCATTTATTTTTTTCATGATGTATTTCAAATGCATATTTCATGTATTTACGTATTTATTCATTTATTTAATTTTGACTAAAACGGCATTCCATAACTGCAAAGCGTAACACTTTCTCCAACAGGCTGATTCAGCTGTGCTGTCGGAAGGACAGAAACAGGAAACATTCCTGCCAACTGCAAGAAGACTGTAAAACATATCACCTCGTCAAGTCCTCCTTCAATTGAATCCAATAACCCTTGACTGCTACACTGTTGTAGTTAGTTAATGTATAACCTCTTCCCTTCCACCGTATACACAATGCAAATATAATTTGTGCGTTTTTTTATTATTTAATTTTGTTAAATGTAATATTTTCTGCTCTGTCATTAAATTATAGTGTGTATATATATTTTTTTTTAAATCTGTAACTTTGCCTGTTGCTGCTTCAAGGAAATCCTCCCCACCCCCATCTATATCTCTCTATCTCTATTTATCTCTATCTATCTATATATAACTTTCATCTTATCTCCAATACCACCACATATCTTTCACAAAAAAACATTTTTATTGTCGTTTTCATAACTTTTGTTTGGTATAGAACACAGTAGCGCTACTGTTCTTTGAAAAAATGGACTAGGATGTTTATAGGATTAATAAGCAACGTCAGTGCTACTTCCACGGTGTCAAGTAAGTCGTTCAGAACGAAGTAGGATGTTGGTTTTTTATCCTTTCAATATAAAACCATTAAACATGTACCTGGATTAAACTGAAAATGTAACTGATTATAATGGGATTCATACAAACATGTCCTATATATGGAATGTTATCGTTGTCCCGATATCTTTTACAAATGTATAAATCCTTCATTTTAAACAGATCGTTTATTATATAATACTATTTTGAAGGGAAAATAGTTAAACTTCCGGTGCCTTTGTTGCGGCTTCCTCATAACTTGATGACGTTCAACGTCACCGTTCCTGCTCGAGCCTTTTTGCAAATGAGCTACTGTGTCCTGTGTAGAAAGACGTAGCTAGCTATCAGTGTACAGCTAGCGAACATCACCTTTCCCGAGAAGAAGGAGCACCGTCTTCGGACATAAGTATATCAGATCCGAGGAGAACCGTGTCCGTGATAAAAATGAAGAGGCGGATGCACTTTGGCGTTGTGCTGGTTTATTCGCTAGTTTTGTATTTCTCTTCGTGCTCTGCGTTTTATCTTCCGGGTTTAGCCCCGGTGAGTTTCTGTGAAGAAGGCAATGGCAGTGAAGATTGCCAGGTATGTAAAAGTCACGAGCGATCTTCTTTCTTTTTGTAATGTTCCGTGAGTGTTATTTTACTATTCAATTTATTTGGAATTTGCATGTTTGTGTGAATGTGTTATCTGTGATCTACCTTATTCTTGCTAGCTAGCCAACCACCCTGTTTAGGCCCAGTCAACTACCTGGCAGCGGACCCCTGCCAAATATAAGCTACTTCATATAATATATATATACACGTTGTTTAGTAATACTAACATTAGTTACTAACTTGTGTGGTGGCCAGAGGGGGTTATAGTACAATAGGGGTTTTCACCATTCCACCATGTTTATTGGTATATGAGCGTTCATTCAAATCATATGATAGAAAATAGTTTTCGTTGCATCTTGCTGCTTTGTTTACGTTTCCTGTCGAGGCATTTTTTGGAGTCACCCAAAGAACCCGTCAGCTTTCTGGCTTGTTGTAATCCCGGGTGTTTTTTCAGTTAACAACTGAATGTCAGCGCAGACTAACCGGTTTTGCTTCTCTACAGACCGGAATCACGCTGTTCGTAAATCGCTTGGACTCTGTGGAGTCAGTCCTGCCTTATGAGTATGACGTGTAAGTTACCAATTCTCTCTCTTTTCTGCTTTTTTGGGGGGGAAGGGTAATATGTTTTCCAGCTCAATGACATGTTGTCTGTGTGTCATCTCTTGACATTCTCAAAGGTTTGACTTTTGCAAAGATGTCAAGGAAATGAGGCCTTCCGAGAACCTTGGACAGGTGCTGTTTGGTGAACGGATTGAGTCTTCACCGTACCAGGTGGGTGTTAAGAAGAAGATTTAACCTTTTTCCGCCCCATGGGCCCCATTTTTGGTGCAAACTGAGCCAGAACCAACTTTCAACAGGAAGCGAGCGAATATATGGATGCTTCACATCGTTTGAAACATCAGAGTCTTGCCTACAATGTGCAGCATATTGTTTGAAAATACACCAAACACACATTTGAACAAGTTATAAAATATGGTATGCAAATTATACCAGAAAACGCGCACGTAGCGGTGCATTTGTAACATTTCTCAGCGAAGCAAGGGGCAAACAAAGAAAACAGCACCCCGAAGAGCAAGCTGAGTATTGTTTCTCTCAAACAAGCCAGATCCTGTATAGCCACCAAACGTCCAGCATAAGAGTCGTAAATGCCCTTTACCTTTGACGTTCTGAACAAAATCCTGAAATTAATCATTTTTGGAGCGAGAGACAGTTGTTGAGCACGTCCAAGAGTAGTAATCCTCACTCTATTAAGGTAAAACCTGCCATGGATACTGTCCACACACACTGGGGCGTCACCAAGATGTCGTTTTACCCTGGTATCTCCAGGTTTTATTGGAGGGCTCTGATTTATCTCTTAAGTTTTTCTTTTGTGTGTATTATATTGATTTATTTCTTCACCAGTAACAACAAAGGATTTTTACACATCAGAACACTCGCAGGGGTTCTCCTTTATTCCTGCAGAAAATAAAATGTCCAGATAAAGTAGTTAAACAGTTATTACACTTTTTATCATGGGTATGCCTTTTTCTGAGCAGAGGCCAAAAAACCCGCCTCAGAGTGCAGCAGGTCCCTTGCGTGACCTATTTTTTTTGTCTTTTTACAGGTCACGTTCAAAAAAAATGTTAAATGCAACTCGGTGTGCACCAAGACCTACAAGAAAGGCAGCCAGGAGGATGCAACCAAACTTGATTTTCTTAAGATGGGAATGCAGCTGAACTACCAGCACCACTGGTTTGTAACCGTTCCTACTTCAGGGTGTGGTATCTTTCTGTATGAAGAAATTTCTTCAGGTAATTTAGATTGACTTTTTCAGGATCATCGACAACATGCCGGTGACATGGTGTTATGATGTGGAAGATGGTCAGAAGTACTGCAACCCGGGCTTCCCCATCGGCTGCCTCGTCACCACCGATGGCCGAGCTAAAGACGCTTGTGTTATCAATGTGAGTGGTGATTTTTGTCATGTTTTCTGAACATGTTTGGTCTACTTTACACATCACCTTTTAAGATCATTGTTCATCTGCGTGTGAAGTGGTCCTCATTCTGCCGGGAGCCTTGATTTTTATAAAGGAATGTCGCAGAAAGACCTAGAGATATTCACCCTATGTATTCATTTTAATGTCTTCAGTTGTAATGATAATGTACATGAAACAGTTGGGATTAATACGTATTTGTAGAACATATTAGCTTTTAGTGTTAAAAGAATACAAATGAAATTTCCTATATTAATAGACACACTCTAACATACTTTTCAAATCACTTTTTGAGGGAATGTCGCTAATGTAACCAGAAATATGTATGTAATATAATAGTGCAACGGACATGTGTGTATTGGAAGGAAAGTTAGAAGTTGTCGAATGTTTTGAAATAAGACGAATGCGGTAGAAACTCAACAACAATCAGGTGTTTACGAATCTGAGTACTTGACCTTTTTTCCTCAGGCCGAGTTCAACAAGAAGAACACTTTTTACGTCTTCAACCATGTGGACATCAAGATCACTTTCCACAGTGGGACAGGAGAAGATTGGAAAGGGGCTCGGCTGGTCGCCGCCACTTTGGAGCCGAAGAGGTAATTGTGGTTCGTAGTAGTTTAATATGGTGTGAATATATTCCAAGACGTGTTGCAGATGCATTTAATCAATGGATTGGTTCATGATCTAACATAAGTGCTTTTGTTTTGTTCACAATAGTATCAAACAAACCGATGAGAAAAACCTAAATTGTGAAACAGGCGTCCCAATGGAGGTGCCTGGGACGTTCGAGGCCGATGTGTCGGTAGTTTACACCTACTCTGTCACATTTCAGGTAGGCCACCAAACTACCTTCCCAATGTATTATACAGCAAATTGCACTACAACTAATATATAACAATTTCCATGTGGCTATTTTGTGTTATCTTTTTCTATTTCCTTTGGTAACTATTTCCTTTTTTTAACAGGAAAACAATTCCATCAAGTGGGCTTCCAGGTGGGACTACATCCTGGTGTCCATGCCCCATACCAACATCCAATGGTTTAGGTATGGAGATATTTTCCACGTTGTGCACCACAAACACCATATCCCTAAAGGTTTCCGTGTCTCAATCCTTTGAAGGTGACGCTATGGTCATAGAAGTCCTGTCCTGTGTGTTTTCTACAGCATCATGAACTCCTTAGTCATCGTCCTCTTCCTGTCTGGCATGGTTGCCATGATCATGCTGAGAACCCTGCACAAGGACATTGCCAGATACAACCAGGTGGACCAGGTAAAGTCCCTGCAGAACTCCCTCCCAGTCTCTGTCGGCTCCAGATGTGCAAGTGAAGCACTGGCATACAAGTGAAGACGTATAGAAGATGCGGGTGTTTGTTCGATGATTTGAATGACATTAGTTCTTGTCGTTATCTGTCAACATGTTGCCCCCATGCAAATTAACCATTCAAAGTAGGTGGATGCTGCGCGTTCTGGCAAAACAACGTTCCAGGAGGAGCAACTTTATGCCTCTAGTTGTTCATTCTTCTCACTCCACAGTTGATGAGCTGAATCCTTTTTCAGAGGTTGAGGTTTCCACCTGGCAGTAAACGTGTGTTTAGTGGTCGTGTTGATCACAGTAAAATGACTGTTACAACTCTGTAATTCTACAGGGCAACGTACCGCCCAGCGCACTTGGTGCCCGTATATGAATATTTTGTTACATTTCACAGGGAGACTTGATAAAGCTTCCAACGACCAAGGAAAAATCCTCTTTGCTCTACGTAAGATTATTGAAAGCTGTTTTTGAACAGAATTTTTTGTGTTGATTAAATCAGGTGTTTGGGTCTGTGATTGTAGTAAACCGGCACATTACAACAAAGGGTAAAATGTGGTGTGAATCCTTTTATTTAATGTGAAACTGTGGAGGGGGGGGAAAAAAAGGGACTTCTATACTAATGAATTGACCAAGCAGATCTTTTTCCCACCACATTTTACAGCTCTTGATAAACTGCGTGTCTGTCTTCACCTTGTTTGTCCCTGCTAACAGGTGAGGTAGTGCTCACGGCTTGGTGGCGGGTTAACCTTTAACTTCCGTCACGTGCAGATGTTGACGTACTTGCTGTTGCTTTCGCAGGAGGACGCCCAGGAGGAGTCTGGCTGGAAGCAGGTGCACGGCGATGTTTTCCGCCCCCCTAGGAAAGGAATGTTGTTGTCCGTGTTCCTCGGACAGGGCACCCAGATCTTCATCATGACCTTCATCACTCTCTGTAAGGACTGCTTTACACGAGCCTTTGATAAGTGTTACCCGAGTTTGTCTTCGTATTACAAATGTCTCATTGGTTGGACATCAAGGAGTTCAAGATACGTCGCTGTCGCATTGTTTTCTCTCACACACACACACACACACACTTGTTACGTTACATTTTATTTCAAAGTAAAGGCCCATCTGTGGGAGCCTCTGGCGTTAATACAACTACACAACCAACCAAGACCTGAACATTTTCAAGTCAGTTTTAGTTTTTTAAAATTTCCAGAATAAAGTCAGAGGGCAGCGGACAGAATTTGCAATGAAAGCAGTCGCGCATTCTTATTCCAGTGCCTGATTTGCTCTGGTGCTGCTTGTTCCCTTCAGTCCTGGCCTGCCTGGGCTTCCTGTCACCAGCGAACAGAGGGGCGCTCATGACGTGCTCCGTGGTCCTCTGGGTCCTGCTGGGGACGCCCGCCGGCTACGTGTCTGCACGCCTCTACAAAAGTAAGAGTCCAGGGGAAAACCTCCCCGGCTTGTTTGCCCACCCGCCAGTGTGATGCTTCTCATCCTGATGCCCGCATGCGTCTCTGTTTCTGCTCTCAGCTTTTGGAGGTGAAAAGTGGAAGACCAACGTCCTGCTGACGGCCCTGCTGTGCCCCGGGTGAGTCGCGCTCGCACTTGGCTTCTGCCCCGAGGAGGGACGCGGGTAGCCTCCCATTTGGTCTTTGGCGCCCGCTTGACTCGCTCGTCTGTCTCTTCTTTCCCAGTATTGTGTTTGCAGACTTCTTCCTGATGAACCTGATCCTCTGGGTGGAGGGCTCCTCGGCAGCGATCCCCTTCGGCACTCTGGTGGCCATCTTGGCTCTCTGGTTCGGAATCTCTGTGCCCCTGACCTTCATCGGCGCCTACTTTGGATTCAAGAAACCTGTGAGTTCGGCCTCCTGGTTGATCAAACTGTGTAGCTGGAAGTTTTTGATGTGTGTTTGTGTGCACGCTTTAGGGTTTGTAATCTTTTTTTCCACGCTCGTGTGTTCCTTTCGCAGGCGATTGAGCAGCCGGTGCGAACAAACCAAATCCCCCGCCAGATTCCCGAGCAGTCGTTCTTCACCAAGCCCATTCCTGGTATAGTGATGGGTGGGATCCTTCCCTTCGGCTGCATCTTCATCCAACTCTTCTTCATTCTCAACAGCATTTGGTAAGAAGACAGAATCGACGTCTTACCTGATTGGCCTGCCGTTCCTGTTTTGAGCTGCACCCAATTGTGTGTCTTTGACGCGCCTCATCTTTTCTCTTTCAGGTCCCATCAGATGTACTACATGTTCGGTTTCCTCTTCCTGGTTTTCATTATCTTACTCATCACATGCTCTGAGGCCACAATTCTGCTCTGCTACTTCCATCTTTGTGCTGAGGTACCTGATCTATCCGACCTAATGACAGTCAAACATTCTATTTCTGTCCTACTTGTGCAAATACAGAACAAAATATAAAAAGCTAAATCAGCTTCCTCTTCATCTTGCCTATTGAGTATATAATTCGTTTGTTATTATTTTATGCCAATGACGGTTCCCAGCGTGTGATCCCCTGCTTTATGTGTCCAGGACTACCACTGGTGGTGGCGTTCCTTCCTGACCAGCGGCTTCACGGCGGTCTACCTGTTTGTCTACGCCATTCATTACTTCTTCTCCAAGCTTCAAATAGTTGGAGCTGCGAGCACCATCCTCTACTTTGGATACACCATGATTATGGTCCTGATCTTCTTCCTCTTCACAGGTGAGCCTTCGAGAGCTTCAACGATTTCCTGCTTGTCTTGGAACATCGCAATGATATTTTAGATAAAGTATAGTAATTTATCTGCTCATGTGTGGACACTAATTTTCACTGTATTTATTTTTTTTGTTAAATATTAACGGTGAGTAAGCTGCATACCATCACAGCGGTGTGTGTGTAGTTTGTGGGTGGGGGTTAATGTTTGCTCAGTCTCGATTCAGGACCTCTATCCTGTTCCTGTTCCTGGCACTTAAACTGACGGGAAGCAGTCCTCGCTGTTGCGCAATACTTCTTGTATTGTCATTTAGTTGAAGCCAAGCTTTAAGATTTTTGTGAATGTTTTTGTAAAGAGCATTCACTTGCACGGATCTCTTATGAGCTCTTTTGTTTGAACTCGAATAAAAAAATTTGCGCGACTAGGAAATTGGACTAGAATGTTCAAAGTCCCGCTTGGTCAGATTCCGTTTTTCCAGATTTGCTTTTTGAAAAGCCTGAGCCTCGTTATGTCAGCCCAGGTTTCTTTTCTTCTTTTTCTTCTGTAGATCAGAAGACAAATGCACCACTTTAGCTCGTAGCCACGGATGGCTCTTAAATGGTCTTTAAATATTCTCGGGATTCCCGAACCACGGCTGCATTTCCCTGAGCTTAAACACCAAATCTGGCTGCGTGTCGCGAGGTCGTGCGGATTCACGTGTCGCGCACGTTTTCACGGAGCTCGGACGATGAAGCGAACGCTGTTGCTTCTTTTGTCTCCCATGTTCGCGGAGACAAAGATGACACACGTTGACATGGCAACCGCACACTCTAGGCCCGGTCCGGCCCTCCTCGTACACCCACACAGACGAGAATGTGTGTGTGTGTGTGTGTGTGTGTGTGTGTGTGTGTGTGTGTGTGTGTGTGTGTGTGTGTGTGTGTGTGTGTGTGTGTGTGTGTGTGTGTGTGTGTGTGTGTGTGTGTGTGTGTGTGTGTGTGTGTGTGTGTGTGTGTGTGTGTGTGTGCGTGTGTGTGTGTGTGCGCGCGCAAAAGGATAACATGCAGGCCTAGATAAGGAGCTGTTCCCTGGTGTTGTAGCGGGACTGGGCCAGATGAAGGTTAGCCTGTAGCCCTGCTTGCCACTGCAGCACGGCTTGACACTATCTTAAGACGGCGCTGTAAGTAGCAAGGGGACGAGGTGTCAGAAGATCCCCCCCCCCTCCCACTAAGAAATAATCCAAGGATTCCAAGAAAAGATGATCAGTTTCCCTCCTCGCTTCCAGTTTTGATCTAAATAATCCTAATCTCTCTCACGCCACATCTTTTTTAACTTTGCATTTTCATCCTAACTTTTATCATAACTTAATTCTGGATGGGGCTGCTTGGCCCCTGATGAGTTGTCGGATAGGACTTGGGAGGATTTTGACCGATCGGGCTTCCTAACATTTGGCAGAGAACGTGTTCTCGCTGGTGTTTTCGCGTTCGCGTGGAAATTGCAGTCTTACCTCTCAAAATGTTTTTACAACCTTTTCGTGGAGGGAGTCTGGTTTAACAGCAAGCCACCTTTTCTATGCCATTTGATATAGTTAGTAAAAGAATTTAATGAAATCTTTTCTCTCATTTTCTCTCAGGTACAATTGGCTTCTTTGCCTGCTTCTGGTTTGTAAATAAGATCTACAGTGTGGTCAAGGTGGACTAGAGGACCGAGGAAGAGTCGCAGTGTCGTCTGAACGGCCCCGAACTGAAACCATCACAAACCTTGAAGTGCAGAGCCCGTCCCCTTTTGTGCTTTAAACCTACGTTACTATTGCGTTCTTTTGATTTCATATATATATATATATATATAATCTATACGAAAAAATATGTATATATATTTTTCTCTTCACTGTTGACCAGTAATATTGTGAGTGGCACCTTGAAAATCTGTGTGGGTTCCAATGATCTATCTGTCATAGTGAGCATTTGTTTCGATCGGTTTAACAAGACAAGCTGTTTTTATTTTAATTTTATACAGAAAGTGAAATGTTCTGTATTTCTTTTTGCTTTTCTATTCCCTTTTGGTTAAATCTTTTGGTTTTTCTTGCGTGTAATAATGAAAAAATGTGTGTACATATACTGTATAGAGAAAGTGAGCGAGAGAATGATCATCTGTAGGAGTTTCTTTTTGTATGGTGAAGATGGGGCTAAACATCCTTAATTATCAGCCTGTAATGTAGTTCAGAAATTATATATAAAAAACTGACCCTACTATGATACATGTCCATTTCCTGGTTTTTGACATTTTAGTTTGCATAGAGAGAAGTGGTACACTTGTTGAAGAAGAAGCATATCTGCATCGTAGAAGGAGATGCTGCGGTACGTTTCACATGAAGGACGGTGCGTGTGCGTGTGCGTGTGTGTGTGTGGCCACAGAAGAGATTCTCGCGTAGTTCTCATAATGCCGTTAGCCATCTTTCTGATTAAGTACATATGCACCTTTTGGAATGCACTCTAGATTTTAATGAGCAGTTTGCTGACCTGTAACTACGTAAAACACTGCTGCCTTTTGCTTCTAGCAGTGGGGAGTTAGCGCCCAAGGTTTCTTCTTTTTTTTTTTTTTTCTTTTTTTTTACAAATAAATGCAATCCATTTCCTCAAGGAAAGCCATGTGTTGTTATTCTCTTTGACTAACCGAGAATGCATGCATGAACATTTTTCACACAATACATTACACTCTGTTTTTGTCCAGAGGAGGGAAGTCTCAGGAGAAACACATGTCTAATTGAATATAAAACCTTGCACATACTACAATAAGTTCACCTTTATTAAACAACATACAACCTTTTAATTTTGGATCAGGTAATCTGGAAATGATACAAAAGCACAATAGAAATCACAAAATGATCTAGTTTCTAGTTTTAAAGCACTTGAAAACATGACTTCCTCTAGATTGACGACACACTTGGTTACAGACGGTACTGCACCCCTTTGTCTTTTACTGAGCAACACTAAGACAAACTTATTATACAAGTTTGATTGTCATTTATTATACTGTAGTATGGATTTCTACAGTGAGCTTTTTTAATAAATCAAGGCTCAAATCAAAACCACTCCATCATAGTCTCAACAATACTAACAATAAGACGGTGAGAGCATCCCTGCTCATTATTCTAACTAGTGTCTTTTTTCTTTCTTTTTCTAAAGGCTACACAAACTTGACACACTTCACATAATGTTGTGATGCACCAATTACTTCCTTTGGCAACACGTCATCCACCCAACGACTTAATAGCTTGCCTTTCTCTGAGATGAGTCTGTTGACAGGTAGGCTTATTTATTCGGCCTACCTGCGCGGCGGAACAATGATTTTCGGAGAATGAACGGACGTCCAGGCGTTTATCTCTTTAGCCATCCGACTCGTGGCATTCTTTAATGTAAGCACACCATGCTCAACTGCCCGCTCACGGGAGAGACGGGGACACACAGAGAAAAGGGGAGGGAACACTGCCCTTATATGGGAATGGTGCTCTTGATATCACGACCCAGGAAACAGTTACAGGTACATGCATTCATACACTCTTAACACTCCCACTTATGAATGACATGTATACTGTGCAAAACTTACATGACCAAATAAACAAAAACAGAACAAAAACATGGCATAGCCAAATATCAACATTTTATACACCAAACATGATTTCCCCGAATTTCTTTAACTTAAGTTTGGAGGCAGGCTTTGTCATAACGTCTGCGACCATGTTGTCGGTGGGACAGTAAACAAGGGACATCTTGTCTTCCCTTATGGTAGACCTGATGAAATGATATTTTATGTCCACATGCTTAAACCGTTGTCTGCACACCGGGTTCCTAACAAGCGCAATTGTCCCCTGGTTATCCTCGTAGACGACCGTTTTCTCATACACATAGGAATCCATCCCTCCCAGTAGTTGCTCCAAGTGAATACACTCCTGTATTGTCAGAGCTAGAGCCATGTACTCGGCTTCGCATGTGGAGAGTGCTACTGTGGGTTGCTTCTTGGTTTTCCAAGATACTAAGGAACTACCTTTACTCATACTCACACAATACCCGGTGGTACTGCGTCTGTCACTAACATCCGCAGCCCAGTCTGCGTCGCTATATGCTCGTATGCCTAGGCTTCCTTGGCTTTTTGTGAAACAGAGCTGTTTGTCTGCAGTACCTCTGAGGTACCGCAAAACATGTTTCACCGTGACCCAATGCTCATCTGTAGGGTCAGCAAAATGTTGTGATAACTTGTTCACTACGAAACATATGTCTGGGCGTGTACAGGTTGTCAGGTAAATGAGGCTGCCGACAGCCTCCCTGTACTTCTTCACATCAGAGATTTTAGGCGCACCTTCAGAGTATTCTAGCTTTGGTTCACATGGGGTTTCTCTAACCCTACACTCCTGCATGTCGAAACGATTCAGTAGTTTTTCAACAAATCTCCTTTGTGACACTTTTACCCAGCCGTCAGACTGGCTGAAGTCCATGCCCAGAAAATACTTCAACCTACCTAGGTCCTTCATCTTAAATCTGTTGGAAAGCATGTTTTTCACCCTCTCCAAACTCTGGGTGTTGCTGGCTGCGATGATCAGATCATCCACCCAAATGACCACTATTACCTTCCCTGTCTCTGTAGACTCTTTTGTGTAAACACAGTGGTCTGTCGGGTTCTGAATAAAGTTATCATCTACTAGGCAGGTGTGGAGCATCTCATTCCAATTTCGCCCCGACTGCTTCAGGCCGTAGATTGACTTCTCTAGTTTACACACCAGCTCATCTCCCTCCTTTTTGTAACCTTCAGGTTGTTCCATGTAGATGTCTCGATCAATGGGGGCATGTAGGTAAGCGGTTTTCACATCCATTTGATGCAGAATCAAATCGTCTTGGGCTGCCTTCTGCATCACTACACGAATACTTGTCAGATTTGCTGTCGGTGAGAATGTCTCGCCATAATCTATCCCTGCTCTCTGGCTGTATCCTTTCGCTACAAACCTAGCTTTGTACTGGTCGTTTCCGTCAATGTCTCCCTTAATCGAATATACCCATTTTCCTCCCACTGTCTTCCTGCCCTCTGGTAGCTTAGTCAGGGTAAAGGTTTGGTTGTCTTCTAGGGACCCCATCTCCTCGTCCATTGCTTTCTTCCACTTTCCTGACTCAGTTGATGTCATGGCCTCTTTAAAGGTCAGAGGCACACCACAAACTGCTCGGTAGCAATAATCTACACTAGTTAGCGTACTGTCGTCATCAGCATCTTCCAGAGAATAATCTCTTAGATACCCCGGGGCTTTACGCTCTCTGGTAGGGTATCTCCCACTGTCGTGTGGCGTCTCCCTAGGATGCTTCTCGCAGTCGTCCTCTGATGCGGATTGTGGACGATCAGTCAATACATCGGTGTTCGGTACGCTAGGCTGTGAAGTCTCTACTCCCTTATCACAACCCCCTTTGGGATCCAGTCCTAGCTCCTGAGTCTGAGTCTCATTTTCACAGGTTGTCTTGGTGACAAACTTTACCAGCCTGTGCTTCTGTACTTTTCCTTTGCCCGGGTAGTAAACTAGGTAGGCGGGACTGCCCTTGTCGTGCCCTACAAAGAATCCTCTGTCACACCTAGAATCTAGTTTGCCTCTGTCTTGCTGGTAGGCACAACACTCTGACCCGAATTTATGCATATCGGCCAAATTACACTTTTTACCTGTCAGTGCTGTGTATGGGGTAGTGCCTGTGTGCTTGTTGAAACACCGGTTCCTGGTATAGGCTGCTTCCTGGATGGCATAGTGCCAAAGGCTCTTAGGTAAGCCACTGTCAATGAGCTTACATCTGGCCATCTCGAAAAGAGTTCGCCCTTCCCTTTCAGCTGTCCCGTTCTGGTGCGGAGAGTAAGGACAGGAAGTCTCGTGCCTGATTTTGTTCTTTCTCAGTAGTGTCTGAAACTCTCGGTTAGTAAATTCAGTCCCGTTATCTGATCTGATGCACTTCACAGTGCCGTAAGGCGCCACATCTGCCAGGTACTTCTCTGTAGCCTGAACTGCATCGCTTTTTGCTTTCAGAAAATAGACCAGCACTGCCCCCGTACACACGTCTGTGAAAGACTGCATGTATTTAAAACCATCTATGGACTCATTGTTAATTGGGCCGGTTAGGTCTGTGTTCACCAGCTCAAGCGGCGTCTTTGCTCTGTTAGTCGGGTCTCTGTTTCTCGTCTGCGTGAACTTCCCCTCTATGCATACTGCACATTCTTTATCAGGCCTGCGCTTTGGACCTTTAATGTGCATGCCCTCTGTCACGTCCTGCAATTTCAAGATATCGTCGTAATTACAGTGACCCATTACCTCATGCCATGTCTGAATATCATAGCTGACGTGACACACATCATCTAGATCACACTCGGTTTGCAGGTAGTACATTCTCTTGCATACATAGATTTCAAACCTTGTGCCATCCGTTGACTCTAGAACGTCTTTTCCTTCGTCGAAAAACACTTTGGCGCCGTGGGCGGTAGCTGACTTCACTGAGAAGAGTTCTTGAGGGTACGAGGGAATGTAGAGAGCGTTCTTTAATGTCACTGTACACCGGTGCCCCCCACTGCTTATGAGACATACCTGTGCGTCTCCCCTGCCTTTCACCACACCGACAGTACGCTTCCCATCTGCGAGCTCCATACTGTGTCTCTCCGGCCTGAAGGTGCTGTCAAAGCTTTTGAACTTGCTTCTATCGTTGATGATGTGGGACGACGCGCCCGTGTCCACGATCATTCCCCTTCTCTGGGTCTGCAGCATTTTCCTTGAGAGACTGGCATCTTCTGTTTGTGCCCTGAAGGTGCGGTCTTCTCCTCCCGTGGCTCCCCGGTCGCCGTCTGGTTCACACCCGGGCCTACGGCCACCGCCGCCATCTTGTACACATGCGCACCGGGCGCCCCGCTCACGCTCCTTCTTTGTGCACGCTTTATCGGTGTGCCCCCTGCTTCTGCAAAAACTGCACCAAACTTTCTCTGTGCAGTCATCCCTTCTGTGGCCCTTTTCTCCGCACCGCCAACACACCATCTCCACTGGTCCAGTCTTTTTCCTTGGCGCCGCTTGCGCCCTCAGCACCCTTTCTCCTGCCTCTTCTAGGACTGGGTCTGCGTCTTCTGAAGCCTCAAAATTTCTTAGCTTTGCCTTGAACTCTCCCAGTGTCATGTCAGCTGAACCATGCGTCACCATCAGTGTGAACGGCTTGTACTTCTCCGGTAATCCCCTCATGATCATCGCCATCATCAGTCCCTCGCTCGGTGCTTCGCCTGCACTCCTGAGTGCTGTAATGATCTGCTCAGCTCTGATGATGTACTTGGTTACGGTCTCGTTGTCAGCTTTCTTCAGCGCTGTCATTGTTATGTACAGGGAAACAATCCGGGGCCTACCTTTTCCTATGTAGTGTTCTTTTAACACTCTGAGACTCTCTCGGCCCTTGTCCTTTGTGTCTCTGAATATCAGCCCCAAGCTTGTGTTGTCAAGCAGCGGCGCCAATGCACAGTAGGCGTCCGCATTCAGCTTATCGTCCTTAGCCCTGTCTTCCTCCGACAGTGGTTCAGCGGGCTCCGTCAGGATCGTCTGCTTCAGCCCCACCCCGTGCATGCAGCACAGCATCCTCTCTTCCCAGAGCTCATACTCTTCTGCCCTCCCGTCAAAAGTGGGCCACTGGCTCTTGCTTCGGTTTGCCATGGCTGTTTGTAGTTCGGTTTAGCTCCCGTTTATTTAGCCTAGCTTTAGCTTCCCGGTTCTCCCGATGCTAAACTAGCTCTTTTGGATACTTCTGTATGCTAGCGCGGTCATGCTAGCCATCGACGCGCAAGTCCGTCAAACTTTGGAATCATTCCCGGTTCCTGGGCCCATAACCTGTTGACAGGTAGGCTTATTTATTCGGCCTACCTGCGCGGCGGAACAATGATTTTCGGAGAATGAACGGACGTCCAGGCGTTTATCTCTTTAGCCATCCGACTCGTGGCATTCTTTAATGTAAGCACACCATGCTCAACTGCCCGCTCACGGGAGAGACGGGGACACACAGAGAAAAGGGGAGGGAACACTGCCCTTATATGGGAATGGTGCTCTTGATATCACGACCCAGGAAACAGTTACAGGTACATGCATTCATACACTCTTAACAGAGTCATTGCAAGCATACACCACTTACACAAGTACTCATTCTTTTTAAGCACAGTTTTTACAAATCTACATGTGTTCAGTGGAATATAAGAAATGTCTTATATAAAAAAAACTGGCGGCATGCGGCCTTCGTTGAATAACTGGTGCAAGGAGTCCACGGGAGTCGTTTTCTTGGAATGTTTTCTCATAGCCTGCACTCTCAATAAAAATACCGAGCTCCCTCAAAGAAAGACTGACATTGATAAAGGCAGCAAATACGGAGTCCAGATCGACAGTGTCACACTGCAGAGTTGACGCAGAATTCGCACCTTGGTGGAGTTAAAGGTAACTGAAGCGCTAAGACACCAGCTCCCGGCACAATAAATCCCCAGTCTACTCGGGTACTCAAAAGGCGCTTCTGAGACCTTGAACAGTTACCGTCGCTTTCTCTTCAACATTCAAGAACAGAGACCATTCGTCGTTCCACAAGCATACACCCTGAGTTCAATCGTTGCAGGACAAGCTTTAGTAATAGGAGAGTACATTCCGTGCCCTCAGGCAGGATCACAAAAGCGAGTTTGTAGAAGATGTGGTTGTTGTGCAGATACTGCAGATCAATGCTATATCAGAGGCATCCATCGCCCGGGATTAGGGTGAAAGACCTTTGATCCGACATTATCATTTCTGTCTTAACAGCCGGTTTAGTTGGAAAAGAACATTAAAACATTTGTAACAGACGTGTAGGCAGTCAACCATTAATTAAATTCAGTCTTTTGGAGAAAACAAATTGATCTAAATACCCAGTTCATTAAGTAAGAGTAGCTTGTGCAATAGCTGGATACATTTCAAATACTAACAACTAGATGACAAAACACTCAAATACAAAAATAACAGCTGCTTACATTGAGACTAATCTGAAACGTTTTTAACGGCTCCAAGAAGTCTCAAAATAAATTAATGAAAATAATGCTATTGTGGATTTCTTTCACTCCACTCTATTATACACTTGTAATGCAACAAAAATAATTCTAGCATCAGGGACAGTTTGATGATCAACTTCAGAACGAACGACCCTGTTGTCAAGGAGAAAGTATTAGTTGATGTTCGTGTTCATGTGCCCGGTTGGCTGTGGACTGTGAGCTCCCTCTCGGAGCTGACGCTGGTGGAGGTCGTCTCCTTGCGGCCGTCCCTCGACCTGGGCGAGGACGACGTCGTGCACTCTTCCCATGTCCGCAGAGGGAAGACTCGGGCCGTCAGACTGGGCAGGTGAGCGTGGACCACCAAACGTCCCTCCGTGGTCGTGAAGCCGCTCTCGGCGGCGGAGCTCCCTCTGGGGCGGCCCGGCGCGCAGAACAGCCCGCAGAGCAACGCGAGGAACTCCTTCCTCACGCTGCGGTGCATGTAGCCGTAGATGTACGGGTGGAGGCAGCACTGCAAGAAGAAGAGCACGAGGGCGAGGGAGGAGAGCCAGGGGGGCACGGCTGCTCTGGCGCTCATAGATAAGGAGTTAAGTATGCTGTAAGGCCCCATGCTGAGGATGTAGGAGGCCATGATCACGAAAACTACCCGAGCGGCCTTGCAGTGGTAGTGGAAGCGTCTGTGCCGGACCCGAACAGGGTAACCCCTGGCCGAGTAGGGGGCATCGGGGGAACAGGCCTGCTGGGGTTGTGGCGGCTGGGGTTGTGGCTGTGGTTGGGACTGTGGCGGGCACTGTTGACCGCCGGGTCCCTGGAATTCCTGCGGCCAGGGCTGGGAGTAGGACCGCGTCTGTATGGGGTGCACGAGGGCGTTCTGCCTCCGAGCCGCCCTGAACACCATCCAGTAGCATCCCAGCATGACGAGTACAGGCAGCCAGAAGGAGAAGGTGGACACCACGACGGAGTACGAGAGGCTGGAGGACCACACCACCGAGCACACCTTGTGATGCCGGTCGAAGTCAATGGCCCCCCAGCCGTAGAGGGGAGGCGTGCTCTGCAGGAAACTGAGCACCCAGGTGCAGATGATCAGGTTGGTTCCCAGGTGAGGGGTCATACGGGTGGGATAGGACAGAGGGTGGATGATGGCCAGGTAGCGATCCACGGAGACGACTATGATGGTGTTGACCCCGGCAAACGCGAAAAGGTGCATGAGCACGACGAGGGCCTGGCACAGCCGGGCATCCAGGGGCCACACACCCGGCACGGTGGCGGCAATGGCAAAGGGCATGACCAATATGGTCTGGAGCAGGTCCGCCAAGAGGAGGTTGAGGACAAAGCGGTTGGCGACGTGGAGGAGCTGAGGCTTCCTCTGGAACACCAGCAGCACCACCACGTTGCCGAACAAGGACACGCACACTATGAGAGATATGAGCACCATCTTGACCACGCTGTTCACCGTGGAGGACCACAGCGTGTCTCCATTGGAGCCGGTGAAACCGGGCTCCCAGGGAGCGTCGGAGAAATTTGTTCCCACATCGGGAGCCGGGGAGCTCGGCATTGTCCAGCGGCACGCGTGGCCTCACATCCAGCGGCGCGTTGACAGAGAGTCAGGTTAGTCCCATCTCGATCAGCGGAATAAGGAAGAAAAAAAAAGACCACCTCTGGTGCAAGAACGAATAAACCGGTCGTTGCTGGTCCTCCTTTTGTCAGCGGATTTCAGGTGAACAACTCAACGTGCAGCCGTCGCCCAGAGCACACGTGAAGACAGTCCGGTCGACTCATCCACGAGGCTCAGCCCGCGATGCTGGAGATGATTGTGAGGAATGATCAGTGATTAAACCCACACAGGGTGGCACAGGCCCTATTCTTCTCGCAGCCCACATCTGCAGAGGAGGGTAATGGGGGGGGCGGGTGAAAAAAAAAAAAGATGGAACGTGTCTGGCGACAACAAACGGCGCCGTTTCAGGCGGTCAGCGTCGACTCGCGACGTGCGGACGGCGCGCACACATATCGCCGATCGCTACTCTTTGAATGACGTATAGTACCTTAAAACGATCACTCGGCTGTTTTTTTTGTTGTTGTTGTCTTTTTTGGTGGTGTTGTGGCTGTTTGTTCATCATTTGGCTCCCGTCGTCGTCACGTCTCAGCTCGACACGCGCCGCGTGCGTCGTCGCCCCGCGGGGGGTCTCTCATCCAGACGAGCGCGTCTTTCTCCTCTTCGCTGCTGCTGCTTTCGGATTTCATGGCAGACGAAACATTTATCGTTTTTTTTCTTTCTTCTTCTATCAGCTTTGGGGTTCCTGCTCCACCGTCTTAGGCTACTTACGGTCGGGTCTTGTCTCCGATGTGACAGGAGAACATTCTTTTCCCTTTTTTTTTTTTTAAACCGAGGACACCTGCACTGATGCTTCCCCCGCTGGAGCTTGTCACCGACCCCCCACTACCTCCCCCCCACACACTCCCCCTTCCACCCTTCTCCCTTTCCCATTCGCTGTCTCCCTTTTATTGTGATAGTGATTTTTTTTTTTAATTCAAACCCTGGAATCACAAGACACCGTTAGCCCAGCATTATACTATATATATATATATATATATATATATATATATATATATATATATATATATTACAAAACTCACAATGATATATATATATATTAGGGAAACAACTGTTTGAACATGATATTATCCTCTCAGCAACGTTTAATGGTCCTATTTATAAGGGATCATTAAAGAAATCCCTTCACAAGAAATGCCTTCAATGTATCTTCTCACATATCTCCTATAATAACAAGTGATTCAATTAGTGGCTGTTCATGTGCTCTTCACATAATTGGATGGTGGTCAGATGAGAAGAAAGAAAAAGAGAACGTAAACCAACCAATTAGCTTCTAGCGTTTCGAAAAGAGCCCTCGAACACCATTGGTCATTTAATCCTTGGGTAATGGCACACCGCCAAGACTTAGTTCCAAAACTCACCTCAAGGCACAATGACTGCTGCTTGGAGCATCATATCATCACATCTACACTGGCAGATGTTTGGCCAGTTCTCAATAGGTGTGTACGTTAAAATGTTCATTATTTGGCTAAAAATGCTTCGGAGTTGATTCTTCAAACTGAGAAATGGTCTCACCAGGTCCATTGAGTGGATGGTGCTTTCAGGTGCTTTCACTCACATCACTTATACGTGACCAGTGTCGCAGGATCCCACAGTTTTGCTCATGCTCCATATTTGGTGTTACACTGAAACCGATCAATACACAACCTTTTGAGAAACACGTCAAGATGACGTGAAAGAGGGAATAAACTATGTGTACAACCTCTGACAGGATGAAGCTGAAAACTAGACCTCGACTTCTAAACATAACCGAGACCTGATAGATAAAAAGGGGCCATTGCACCGAGCTCATCTGTATTCACCTGAAGCTTTGAACATTTCTATTAACAGCAAAATCTGTCACACTGTAATATGTGGAATGCTCGTTTTTGATCAAACATACACAACCCTCTGCCTACGAATGCTTGTACCAACGTCTATACAAGCCCTCTTTTTCGATAGGTATAAATATTTTAAAAAATGCATTGACATTATAGCCTTTCTAGCAAAAAGACGTCATTGAGATGCACAAAAAAACAAAGCAGCATGACATGCTACATTTTGCAATCCAATTAGTCTGTGGCCTACTGATCAACGCTGGTAATTAGCCATTTCATTTCAAGTCTTTGCTCTAACCGAGCTATCACAAGCCCTTTGATGTGAGTCTCGAGCACCCGGCCTTTTAGATTTAGATCGCAAATGAAATGCTGGTGACTGCAAAGGGATGAGGAGGTGTATTCTTGTTCTTTTGTTGAGTGGACCGTGGTTGAAGGGCAGACCCACGGGCCTGCTACCTCATGGGATTATACGACTGTTAACACAGCGCGTGTTCGATGTGGCACCAGGTGCCCGCCGCTCCATCGCTGGGCCTGTCGCGTAGCCACTCTCTCATTTGCTGTCACTCACTGACACCTATGGGCCAATTCAATAAAACACACGACGGGCAGAAAGGACTGCAGGCGGTCAAGGGTTTCTCTATTTTCTTTCTGTCCTGTGGGGCTGTTTTTCATTTATTTTCTCTTCCAGCTAACAAAAGCTTTATCGTCATGATTTTAAACGTAACATTTAGTCAAATTAACAATGTACGAGTCTGTTAATGTAATGAGAAGAAAAGGAGGAACTATGCATTATAGATCTAAGACCCATATTCGTTTAAACGTACTGACACAGTTTCCCTTTTCTAACTTAAAAAATGAATGCAAATCTATCCGTCTAGCTGTTTATCCTCAACAAATTGCCACTTTTATTACCGTCTCTGCTCCCCATGAGGAAATTCTATCCTCTGCTATCCTGTAATGGATTCTTTTACATCACCATCCTTTTTTCCATCCCAGTGTCGGATAATGTTTCAAGTTAAGAGACTGAATACTATTTTATATCAGCCTTGTGTTGTACTTTTCACTTATTTGCAAGTTTCCGTTTTGAATGTGTAGCTTTTTGGACTATGAAGCAGAATATATGATAAGCACGGGGACGTATTCATAAAGCCACGACATCATGCCTTATCATGGCCGACAGGAAAACAGGCTTCTCACAGCAGCCCCTGACCTGACATTGATGAGAAAACACAGGTGTACTTAATAACAATGTCATTACATGACTAACCAGTTGCTTTGATGTGCGCCACACCCGAGCTATTATGTGTGCTGGGTCACCGGGACACGTTGTCACACTCTAAATAGGACAGGAAAAGACAACATCCTTATGAGTGACATCTGCTGTGACATGTCAAAAGGCCTATGACCTTTTCCTGAGAGTAACTGAAAACATGTAGCTGGTATCAGAGCTTTGAGGTGTTTACTCAAGCTAGCTTCCCTCAAAAAACTGCATGGCAAACGCAGCAGCTACTATCTAGCTGACCATGTTTCTACAATGGAGCTGAAACTGACCAAAACAGAGCTGAAAGGTGAGGAAATACTGAACTTACATTCATCGAGTGGCCGGAAAGGGAAACAATTCATAACGTTGGTTTGTGTCCAGTATATTTAAAAAGTACAATTTTCTGCCAGCATTTTAGCCACTTAGAATTTTTGGCATTTTATGACTTTCAGCCCCTACGGAGCAGAGGAACTAACACCTGCGAGCTGATAGTTACCAGAACCCAACATGTTGCCAAAATATTATTTGTTATGGCGTATTGGTTAAAAAAAAATTAATCGTTGGCCAAGGCCCAAAAACTACAGAAATGTACCTTCTTTTTTATTATCATCGCATCATGTGGTTACTGTTATATGGTGAGTAAAGGTTCAAATTATATTTGTGGCCAGAAACCCAACTCGAAATGTTGCTGCATGACTGCCAGATGTGAAAGTATTGTTCGCTAACATTCCTCATTTGAACTATTTGCATCAATACATGTTTAGCCAAACATGTTCAAGAAAAGCAACTATATTGTACACTGAGTCTAAGGAAAAGGTAAACTTGCTGAATGTTGTTAGTCTCACCGCAATGACCCGGTCCGTCTGCTGTTGTTGATTGTAGGTTACTGTCTGTCGGCTGGTTTTTATGTTTTCTGCCCCCTGGTGGCCAAAACAAGACGGTTGTAGCGTTAAAGGCTGCGTTAAAGTCAAGCTGAGTTAGAGCGGACGATGCATCGTATCAGAACAACCACTGCATTGGACCCAGATGACTACAAAGAGCCTTAACTCCATCCGATCCTCTATTACTGCTAGACCGAGCCACAACATAAGAAAAGACATACCGTATATATATATATATATATAACAAATTTCAAAACATGTATATATAAATTTCAAAATATATATATATATATATATATTGAAATTTGTTTCTCAAATGTGAGAACTCACGCTTCTCCTCTATGTGTCTTAACTAAGATTTTACTTATTACTACTACTTATTTTTCCCTTTGAAAACCATGTTTTAAAATTTTCTTCACTTTTGCCCCACAATGAACCGTCTTTCAAAATTGATTGAATGACATATGTAAACATTGTGTATTTTCTTCTAATGGCATAAGAAGTCCTGTGTGGAGTTTGGAATGAATTTGTGTTTGATATTGTATATTAAAGAGATTGTAAGGAAAATTAAGGTCTCATGAATTTGAATAGTTTTCTTGTTGTCATTGGAAGGTTCCCATCACAAGTAAACAAGTTTTCTCCCTGGCGAAACACATTTCTGATTATCTGTAAATTTAATGATTTAATGATCACGGTTAAAGAGAAAAGGGCCCACATGCTTTTTCGACATTTAGGCCACTTTTTAACTTAAAAATCATAATATGAGAGAATATCAGTGTTCACTGTGTTCCGAATTCACTGAAGAAAATATGGTGGATAAATCACAAATAACTGAAATACACTATGTGTTCCTATTATTATGTGCAGTGGACCTACCATGTACTTTGGTTTACAGAATATGGCACTGACAGCAAACCAAGACCATACATGTACATTTATAATGAAATACGGTGTAAACTTTCAGGGCTGCGGAATCTGAATTGAATTAAGCCGCTCTGCTGATATCTGGTTTATCTGGTTATGGTGTTGAACAATGATATTCCTACCGATGATACTTAAGCTTCAAGGTGATTAGCGCTAAAGTAACGGTGGCGTCGCCTGTGAGTGTTATTGGAAAAACATGTCGGAGGTTGTATAACACATTCGATACAGTTTAATAACATATACAAGTACAACACGCAATATTTGTGTAATTCAGCTGGAGGGATACTATTCATAATAGTTTCAGAATTTGTATATTTTATTTTTTATCTTGCTGCTTCCCGTCTCCCATCTGTCGAAACAGAAATGAGGCATATGCTTCATCAAAAACTATCTCACCGGGAAATAGTGTCAGACATTCTTCCTTCACTCTCATTTAGAGACCAACAGAGGATGAATGCAGGACTGTTGGAATGAAGGAATGTGCTCAATTAACACATTACTCTTGTTTCATTGTTTCATTGAAATTAAGAGACTCCTATAGTTCATACAAGGCAACGCAAGCTCAATGGATCTCGGGTCAGGAATACGCAAATAGAAGCGCTTGAGGGATGGAGACAAATATAAACTAAGACACATGCATGCACACAATCACACACACACACACACACACACACACACACACTTGATTGAGCATGGTTGTAGTGGAAAGCTGCAAAGAGAATTCTCTGTAAACAAACAGATGACAAAAAGATCGAGAGCAGCCATCACAGCTCTGCTCTCTGAAGGGAGTCTTTCGTTTTATTGCACAATAGCAGTTGTCTCCGAAGCCCAAACAGTTTAGAAGTAATTACTAGTGTTTTCCCCACGAAGGTGATTATTTGCCACACTTGGCAGCCATTGTCACCGGCCGGGCACCACACTCATCAGTCCTA